TGTATGTATGTATATCTGGGTGTGTGTCTCTGTGTGTATCGCATTCTGGTGGATGGCCATGATGGAGGCTTGAAACGCGAGGGCGGGAGATGAGAGGCGAGCACGAGAGCCTGGAACTGAGAGGTGAGGGAGGGAGGGAGCGAGAGTTGGATTGGGAGCTCCAGATCTGGGATACTTGGGCGTAGATAGCTGCCTTCGCCATTGACCTGGAAGGAGCGGTAATCTACTAATTCTACAATCCGATACTTAAATCCATCAATCCCACCGTCCTTCTCGCTTGTCCTCTGTTTCTCCAATCCTTTTCCTGCCTGATACGAGCTGCACAGCCCCCCCCCTCCAACGAAAGCTGCCCTGGCCACTCACTAGCCACTCGGGCGTTATGTAAGGCCGCACCCCGACTGGGCGCTGTGTAACGCGGGCCGGAGTTAAGCATCTGTTTGTGCTGTGAGCGCCACAGGGATGCTGCTGTGCGACGACGACGACGACGGGACTCCGATCCACGACCGAGACGATACAGCAGGTTACAAGTTACAACTCTCCACAGCTACGCCCAGCACGAGCAACACTCTCTCCTCCCCTGCGTGTGGACTGTAAACACACGCATCCACAGCCTTCTTCTCTCTCCAGCATCATCTAAATCACTCTGAATATAGACACACACCCATACATACATACATACATACATACATACATACATATACACCCCCATACCCTTCTAGAGCAATCCGGGCTGTCATTCCTCCGTCTGCCGCGTGTGTCTATTCCTCCGCTCCTTTCCCCTCCCCCCCCCCCCCTTCATTATATATATATACCACGGCCACCACTCCCCCCAGTGGCCCTTAGAGCTCACCTCTTCTAGCAGTCAAGCTGCGTCCACCGTTCCTCCTCCACTCTACAACAAACCTCTTTTGCCTCTCGTCGGCATTCTCTCTTGGATTCACAGCTCCGTTCGTCTCCACCCGCATCGACAGCCACTACTCTCTCTTCCGCCGTCACCAACACGGGCTCACAGCCCCGAACCCCCCAAACGGTTTCATGCCCGAGGCACGAACCCAGCAGAGTCCCCTCGCCTCAAGCCGAGGGGCAGAGACCCAAGGAACTGCCACTGCCGATGCCGGAAAGGCTGGTATCAGGTTCCCAAATAACCTCTTCCCCCTAGGATACAAGGAGGGATTCAGCCAATGGGTAAGCTCTTACCTATAACATAGCTCAATCTGAGCTTAGCTTCTTCCGTCAGCTAACAATGACCCCAGTGGACCGCTGTATCACCAGCCGCCGCCGAAGCCGCTGTCTTGGGCTTTTTGCCATTCAACAAGAAACCTCTCCCGGCGCTCACGCCCAGTGATGGCAATGCCGCCGCCACCGCCTCGCCACCCACGGCAGACCCATACGGTCCCCGTGAATGCGCATCCAACATGGTGCCGCTCTCGGGCAAGAACCGCATCATGAACGAGTTCAGCGTGACCCGCACCGGCGAGGGAGAGCCGAAGCACCATCTCGTCATGCTCCACGGCTACGGCGCCGGGCTCGGCTTCTTCTACCGCAACTACGACATGCTGTCGCGGCGCGCCGGATGGAAGATCTGGTCCCTGGATCTCCTCGGGTACGGGCGCAGCTCGCGACCCCCCTTCTGCATTAGCTCAAAGGACACTGAGGGCAAGATCACCGAAGCCGAGGACTGGTTTATCGACGCCCTGGAAGAATGGCGAAAGATCCGCGGAATTGAGCGGTTCACGCTGCTGGGACACTCGTTCGGAGGATACCTGTCTGTGCGATACGCACTCAAGTACAAGGACCGGGTCAACAAGCTGATCCTGGCCTCCCCCGTCGGTGTCCCCGAGGACCCCTACGCCGTCCGCGAAGACCTCCCCGACGCAGCGGCACAATCAAACCTACAAGACGAGTACATGCAGACACAGGAGGAAGCCACCCGCTCAAACCCCAACATCCCCGACACCCTCAAAGTCCCCCACAACCCCGGAAACAACGTGCACTCCCGCTCCACCACCGACCTCCCCTCCTCCTCCTCCTCCTCCAACACCCCCGCCGCAAAGCCAAACGCAAAGCCAAACGCAAAGCCCCGCAGGCCGCTGCCCAAATGGCTCGTCTACCTCTGGGAAGCCAACATCAGCCCCTTCAGCATCGTGCGCTGGTCCGGCCCCCTCGGCCCCCGCCTCGTCTCCGGCTGGACCTCGCGTCGCTTCTCGCAGCTCCCCGCCGAGGAAAGCACCGCGCTCCACGACTACGCCTACTCCCTCTTCCGGCAGCGCGGCAGCGGCGAATACGCGCTCGCATACGTGCTCGCACCCGGCGCGCACGCGCGGCGCCCGCTCATCTGGGCGGCGCAGAAGCTGGCCGGCACGCCGAGCGTGTGGATGTACGGCGAGATGGACTGGATGGACATTGCGGGCGGGTTTGCGGCGGAGGAGAAGATCCGCGGGACGGCGCTGCCGGAGGAGAAGGCGGCGGCGTATGTGGGCGGCGAGGAGTGGCGGGGGGAGAAGGCGGGGAGGGGCGGGGAGGCAAAGGTGCAGATTGTGAAGAGGGCGGGGCACCATTTGTATTTGGATGGGTGGGAGGAGTTTAATGAGCTTGTGGGCGAGGAGATGAGGGATGTGGAGGTGAGGGAGAGGCGGTGGGCGGAGAGGCAGCAGTAGTGGTGGTAGAGGTAGATACATAGTGGGTTATGTTGTGCATGATGCATTTCTTTCCTTTTTCTTTTTCTTTTTCTTTTTTTTGTTTTTTTGTTTGGGCATTGGGGTGTTTTTTGCGTGTGGTTTATTATATTATACCAAAGTAGTTGTTGTAATAAAAAAGATGGTCTACTTTTGTAATCTTTCTCCGGCCCCCCGACATTTGTGATTCGAGTGAGTTCCTGTGGTTTTGAGAGTGCAGTTCTGTAAAAAGAGCACTCTACTCCGTTTTGGGTATGGTCTTGGCAAAACGGGTCCGAGTGATGGCGGGTGAATCAAGCAAGGCCTTACTAAACACAACAGTAAGAGACGCCCCGCGCTGACAATGTTCTGGTTAACAGCTACAGGGTGACATCTGCTATAAGGAGAATACCCTGGTAGATTAGACGGTAGATAAATAGTCAAAGTCACGGCATTCATTCTCCATGGGCTTTCTGCGTTAGCTGGCTTCGTCTCTGGCCGTGGGACATGTAGGATCACTCGTATCCGTGTTCTGGGAGTATGCGTACATACATGTAGGTTATTACGACAGGGTTAGATATTCCCTGGCCAGCTTACCCCCCCCAGTTTGTTTTTGTCTTGTCTCATCCCACGTGTTGTTAGCCCTTAGGTCCCCGTCTTGTTTTGCCAAAGGTCTTTTTGCCCCATCACTACTAGCTCGAATCCAGGCACCACGGCAGAAACACCGCCCACGTCTTCTATTCCAGTGACGAGACTCAGAGCTAGTGGTATTCTAGCTTACATCATGAGGCTTGAACGCGCCGTAGTGGGCGATCCGCCCCCCCCAGGGGGCGGGGGTAGATGTGCGAGTGATAGTTTGTGACGCAATTATCCTACATAAGTACGATCTTTTATTTTTTTAAAAAAAAAGAAGAAAAAAAAAAAGGAGGGGGGGGGGGAGGCAATAAATAACTAGAAAAAATTATAAGCAAGTTATTAATTATTGGCCTCATGATTGAGATGAAGATATGCAGAGGCCGAACCTTACTATTAAGCCTGACTTTCCCAATTGCAACGTGGATTAGTTGGGGGAAAGTCGCCATGACAATTTTTTTTTTTTTTTTTTTTTTTTTTTTGTGTGTGTTCAACGGTAAAAGGAAAGAAGAAGAAAAAAAAAAAAAAAACCATGAAGGTAAATAAAAAATATGTATATGCGAAAGTCGCGTGAAGAAAAGCACCTCATGAATTTACATTTTACTACTAGGGAGGGGGGGGGGCACCTAAAACCGGTTAGACGCGCGCCCTCCGACCCATTCTTGGCGTCCAAATATCATTTCTAGCCAAGAACTAACAGTACATACTCATAGGCGATCGGGCGTTCTCTGCGCGACTCGCCTGTTGGACACCGTGTCCAGGTGGTTCGGGTCTTAATCTTCGGAGCTACAGATAAATCGTTTTGTGTCCTTTACCATTCCATTTGTATAGAAAGAGAGAAGGAAAAAAAAGGACAAATGATGCATTTACTGGGCTATTAAAGCTACATATAAGTACTTGTTAGATCTATAAAGAGTGCAAAAAACTCACCGTATGAGTCCCACTAGGCCGAGCCTTAAAAAAGCCAAAACTGCATAAACGGAAATAACACCCGACACAGGCCTACGACCTGTGATCTAGAAATCGGTGGTGTGAATTATTTCGAATTCGTCCATATATAGGACAAAGTGTCTGATAAATTCTATGAGTTTGAGGTGATACTCCGTTGATGGCTGATGATTCAGGTTTTAATGCACAGTAATAGCTTCAGGATCGAGAAACCTTCACATTCTGCTTGGGAATCTGATAATCGTGCCACTTCAAATAATTCACATTCGTTGAAAACCATTCTCTTCTTACCCCCACCGCTGAACGAATCAACCGATCAATCAATCAATCAATGCCCGGATACTGAGAAAAGAGCCGTTCCATGATCTATAGGGACTAGACCAGATAACAGATAATTACCCACATACAGGTGAGCCCGGAGAAAGAATTATTATATGAGTATCATAGTTGGAAGATTGTATGTAGTACATAATCAATCAATCGACTAGCCAGGCTACCCGGGTCACAAACGGTCACTCGCTGCTAATTGTGGAACCAACCTTCTTAGGCATATATAAAAAGCAAAAAAAAGGAATGACTTTTTATTAAACAGCAAACCTGTAACTCCGGTCGTCTAACTACATGTTATCCATATCCACCCAAATGCATTTCGCCCTCTTGAGTCCCATCATTAAAAACATTAAACAATAATCAACACATACATGTATTCATTATTAACTGAACAACAAAGGAAAACCTCATAATTATCGGATCGTAGTAGCTTTCTCAAACGTCTTGGTCAGACTTTGCACACTCAGCACGCGCGTCTTCCTCCTGCTGCTGCTGTCGTTTCCTTTCAAGAAGGAATTGACAGAACTTGGAGTTATCTCTGATTTTTTGTCCTATAAACACTTGTTAGCGGGAGGACATAGTAGAACTACAAAAGCAAGAGCATTATATACCATGCAGAATGAACAAATATGGAATAATCGACATCAACACAGCAGCAAATCCAAGAAGACTTGATGCCCAAGGAATTGTTAATTTACTATACACTACACGTACTAAGCATCAGTATATATTGCTCCAAATTCATCAAATATCAGGGAAGACTTACTATTACCCGCGAACAGCGGAAAAGCTGCCCCTACCATACTTCTGCACATGCTTGTTGCCGCCATCGCTGACGCCGCATAAATCTCATATGCATCCGTGAGATAGTTCAAGAACGCCGTAAAGATAATACAAAATCCGAAACCAAACGGAATACCAGCAAGCATGGGTACAATCCAGTGAATGTCAGAACGTGCTGTCCAGGCCTGCCAGAAAAGGGATGAGCAGTAAATGATGCCCCCAAAACAGGCAATAGGGAGGCGGCGGTACTCGGGGCTGATGACGCGGGTAGGGTCAGCACGGGCAAGGCGGTTGATGTATTGATCCCAGCCCATGGCGACAGCGCAGGCGAAGCCGGCACCGACAACGAGAGGGAGAAAGGCAAGACCGGCATCACCGGGGGCAAAGCCGTAAATCCCTAGTTGGAGTTAATATATTTGAAAATGGTTTAAAGTGTAATTTATTAAATAACCGACCTTGAAAGATGAGGGGGTAACTCGTAAAAAAAAGATAGAAGGTTCCGTAAAGGAGGGCCAGAAACATGCTGGTTAGGAAGACAATACTTTCCTGCCAGAACATTCGGAACGGACGGGTTAAGGTTGTTGCGAAAATGCTCAGGAGGGAACGTTCATCAAGTTCGAGGGGTGCAATAGCATCCTTATTGCCCGATTTCCTCATCTTCTGCGCTTTTCGTACAAGGAGGATTGGGCCATATGTCTCTGGGCAAAGGAATAGTAGTGGGATGAAGGAGGCTCCGGCAACCATTACACCGAGCCAAAAAGCCATGCGCCAACCCGCAGGTGAGGCGGAGATATAACCAGTAATAAAAGGTGCAAAGGTTGGTCCGACCATCGTGAAGGCGCAGAATAATGCCATGGCTGAATGCAATATCAGTATTATGAGGTTAATGGTGGATGTCTATTATGACTCACCTCTTCCCCTCTGTACTGGGTCGTTCCAGATATCTGCTAATTGACCTCCAACAACGCTCAATGGTGCACTAGCACCAATCCCTGAAAGAAATCTGAACGCGAGCAAAGCACCTAGGTTCGGAGCCAGAGCGCATCCTATGGACATGAGAGTGAACCACGAGAATGCGACGACAGAGACCCATTTTCGTCCATAGAACTCACTGACTGGTGCAAAGAATATTGGGCCGACGACATAACCGATCAGGTAGAGCGAGATAGTCAGAGACGATACAACGGAACTCGAGATACCAAAATCCTCTCGAATAAAAGTAATTGCACCGGATGGCAGTGATGAGGTGAATGTTGAATTTGATACAGTGAGAATTCCAATGAAGGATATAAATGTTTTTCGTCCCTGGGTTGTAGTCATCAGCATTCATGGAGCTGAATGATGTAATCAATGAATTCCAACAACATACCATGGACCAGTTATACGGGTTTTCTGGATCTCCAGGCGCAAAATACACCAAGTTCAAATTAGGCTTCTCATCAAACTTCTCATCCATCTTCTCAGCTTCATCTGGCATGGGCTCTGAATAATCGGTGTTCCCTGGGCCTGACCAATGGCTAGGCCTAATCGACAAGGACTGGGTGAGCTGTAGTTCGGCCATGGAATTAAAAAAAAAGATTATTTCACTTCACAATTAAATTAAGAAGTACCGTCGTACTACTGAGGGAGAGAGCTCAAGGAGAAAGTGATTCTGTTGAAGCCAGAACAATTGCGTCAACACAGGACCCAAGAATGAAGCTGTTGTTGTTGAGGAAAGAAAAAAAAAATAAGTGGACTTGTCTGTTGATAAATATTGCCTCCACCTTGGGACACTAACAAGTTACTCATTGCCTTCTCAGTTAAAAGTCCAGCATTCGGTTATTCGGCACGGGCCGGTTGGGGTTTATTTTGCTTTATTCAAGGATTAGCTACAATGGGCCGCCGTCATACATGAAAGTTCCCACTTGTTGGGTGTGTATACCACTGTAAGTAGCTGTGAAATATTTGGCCAAGTTGAGTAGGTCCATAGCTATGGGACCTTGAGTATTTGCCCTATGCAGTTTGGTACGGCTTGACATTTCACACTACGATAGTAGTGGATCCATGAGTTCTGAAAAACAGAAATTCCCTAGAAAATAGAGAAGCTCTTATTTTTTTCTTTTGGTGTTAACTCCGCATCCATATATGTAATCCGTAAGTTATTGGGAGGGGGTCGTCCCTTCCTTCTGGAAAATATCTGTGTTCCACAAGGAATTATTAGAACACTAGCTAGAGCCGCAAATGCCGCTATCAAGTGCCGGTACATATCCTATCCCTCTCGAAAAAAAAATCTTTAAAGCTGACCGTATCATGTAAACAATGAAGTACAGTCGCGTATGTTCCAATAGAATAGCCGTAAAGTAGCTCCGAATTAAAATATATTGGGCCACTTCTTTTGTTCTTTAGACTCGGGTGTTGCCGAGGGCCAGTAACCAAACATCACAGCCAAGAAACGCCTGCATATCAGGCTGATGGCGCCAATTGCAATAAGATTCGACTTTCGGGAATCCGTCCAGCTGCCCCGAGCTTATGATTGCAGATAGTTACCTAGTATGAACGAGGTATGTAGAGTATGTACAGCTCTGTATGGCGTATGTGATAGCTGGGTTCTGCTGCTCAACAAGTTAGCCAGAATTTCTATTGAATTATTATACCTACTAGCCATATGCCTCGCCTGAGCGTATCGGCAGTGTGATGGGGCTCAGGATAATGGGGCTCATACCAGAATTATACCAATGCACTGCGTCAAAAGATAACGACCGGCAATCTTCACCGGCACTGAGTGGTCAGGAGAAAGAGCCCCCGTAGATATCCCCCCCCCAAACGCCGTTCGTCGAGGAATGTTGTATGGCGATTCTGATTTGTTAATAGGAAGACCCCTTTTGGAAACTACAGTGCTTTAGAGGATAGATGGCAACCCATTTTGGCGCTTGTTTACTTCTAGACTCGATCCTCACGAAAATATAAAGCAGAGCAGTTGTGCTGATTTATCTAATTGATCAATGCATCTTTACTCACCTCGTAAGTATGCTATTTTATTTTACTTTGGTAAATCCCACCCGAAAACGCGAACAAGCCTGGCTCTTAAGTGTCTCCCACAACGGAATATCTCAAGCAGGTGAGAGGAGATGACGATCTTGAAGAGGGCATACTCTACTCTACGTGCCTAGATGCATGTAACTTCTCTGCATGCACCGGAGAACAGAGCCTCGGGATGCCGCATCAGATACTCTAGCGCTATAGCTCGGTAGAGGTTTGTATGCTGCTTTGCCGGTAGAGTACATGATACCCAAGTTACCCTTTATCGTAGATTCTGATGTTGCATCGAACTCAGCTCCAACCCCACAAGCATGGGCAGGTTGTGGAAGCCATATGCTGTGATCCCATTCTTGTGAAAAGATCATGCTGCCAGATTCCCAGCAGTAAGTTTCTCTGTACGCGGAGGCCGGGGAAAGTTGCAAGACAATCCATTTCTTGGTATGTGTTACATGTACCTACCAGGCATAAACGTATCCCAGGGCGGCTGAGGCTACCGTATGCAAGTATCCTAGAACTGCCAGGCAATACTTAATTTCACATAAAGAGGATACCCACAGATAGAGAGATACTGACGATACCGATGCCCCCTCCTTTCAACGACGTTCGCGTCCATCCCGATTGCGGACCCGAGTGCTGGTCGGTGTCTGGTGTTCCCGACTAAACTGCAACCACGGGCGAGCCAATCGGCAACTCCCACGGAACCCATCAACCAACCTTGTCTCAAGCTTGGACCTCCATCCTGGCGCCAAGCCAAACCACGGCACATCTGGAACAAGCAAAGAAAAGGCACATACAGAGAGCAAGAAAAAAAATCTTCTGAAAATTTTTACTTCTGGGAAATTAACCCCCCTCTAGGTTTTTTTTTCGAATTCCTTTACGCTAGCTGGGATCGGTGGTTTTGGGGCAGAATGCCTTTATTACATCATGGTAACCTTGCCATCGAACCTCCATGTAAAAGGTTTACCCTACACAAACAGAACATTCTAAAGATCACCAGCAAGGGTACCTGGCAGCTCCCAGCCACGCCATCGGTCCAGGACCTCCTTTCCATCAGCTTCCCTACATGTTCTAGCTACTTTACTCTGGAGTTAAGCTAGGTGGAGCAGGTAACCAGGTCCTGGGCCTCAAAATACCATAGTATGAGCTGTCCAAAAGGCAAACGAGGAAGGATGTTGTCGTGGCGATAAAGGGGGGGCAAATGTAGGTATGGTTTTTCCGTTGTCGGATAAAAGATACGCACAAGGAAATAGGCTTCAACGAACTTTTTTTGGCCCTTCAAAAGCTTAAGGGGCTGGTTGGCCGCTGGCTGGCGAGAACGAGAGATCGATCGACAACCAGCCTGACGAGTTGCGAGGCTGGTACCCAATCCAATCAATACTTGAATATCAAAATCAAAACCCGTTTTACTTTCTGTAGCTCCCCTCCCCCACAACAACCTAGTGGGGGTCTAGAGTACCGCTCCTTTCACACATACATACCCGTGCTCTCTTGTGAAGAAGTCCAAAATCCCATCACAATTGCATGCGCGACTGAGTGCGGGATGGAGAAAGGGAGGTCGTTTGTTCGATCTAGTAAGGCGTGCGAACCTATCTGAATACATACTAGCGGGGGGATCAATGCTCAGCTCACGGAGTTCCCTATAAAAGGCCTCAGAGAATTGCTTTGCGGAGGAAGAGTAAACATTCTTAAGCGGAGCTTGATCTTCATCGTATTTAAATTACTCACGCTATTACGAATCCCTTACGACTCTTTTTGATACTATTTCCCTCTAATTCGTGATATTCGCAATTATGTCGTCGGAACCAACTCAAGGAACAGCCACCGGGATAATTGTCGGTGCAACTATCGGTGTCACGATCTTCATGATATTGATGTTTACGGTGTGGCACTACTATTCGCGGAAGATGCATCGCCCAAAGGGACTGCCACCTCTCGGGAGTGAGGACATGAGCGAGAGCGAGAGCGCGAGTGTGGTGTAATGCCGCGCCAGAAACGATGAAGGGGGAGAGGGAGAGGAAGGTGGAAATGATTATGAGAGATGTCTTTTGTGATGATGATGATGTGAGATGCTTAAAGCTTAAAGACTTATGAATTGTAAGAATATTGGACAAGGGGAAAGAAAGAAAAAAACAGAAAGAGCCGTACGACCAAGAAGGGGGACGGATTTGTTAGAGCGCTTGTTTTTCAAGCCGATTGATCATTGAAGGTATGTGCGCTCTCTATTTGTAATCAACACCTCAACTTAGCCTAGATCAACCAAGTAACCGAATTTCTTCACGGATGTAACGAAGCAGACTATCTCCGGTAGGTTACAAATTGTACCCTTGTTGAAAATTGCTCTTGGTAACTGTGACTAACTGTAAATAACAGGGCAAGCGGGGGATGGCGTCATTGTGGAGCGGACAACATCGTGAGAATGCCAATTGGGTTTGGAGATAGAAGAGAAAAGAAGTAGATCGAGGGGGGCGAATAGACAGCTTTATAAATCCGCTATATATATAGCTATATATATATATGTAGCATTTTCTGTTTAGAACAAACGTCCCCTTAATCAGTTCAACAACACTGTACCTACCACATACCTACACACACCTCATATCAATACTATAATCCACCAATCAACCAGTTCAACCTCATATCTTTCAAAATGTCAAACACAATGAAGGAAGTTACCGTCTTTGGTGAGCCTTTCCACGCTGAGATTAAGGAGGTCCCCATCCCGTAAGTCGATTCAGTACATATCCTATAAATGATAGCTGGAGCAAGTAGACTCACAAGCCGCCAGCTCCCCTTCCGCCGATGAAGTCCTCGTCAAGGTCATCTACACCGACAGTAACCCTAAAGACTGGAAATATCCTATCATAACAAGCACCCCCATGAACCCGGGCGACGACATTGCCGGATACATCCACAAAGTAGGCTCCAATGTGACCGAATTCAAGCCCGGAGACCGCGTTGCAGCCTTCCACGTCATGCTCTCTCCACATGGCTCATATGCTGAATATGCCATTGCTCCTGCAGCTACCACTTTCCACATCTCATCAAAAACCTCGTTTGAGGAGGCCGCTACAATTCCTCTCGCAGCCATGACCGCCGCGTTGGCGCTCTACCAGCAGTTCAGATTGCCACTCCCATGGCTCCCAGCTCCAGAGGGCCAGAGAAATCCTCTCATCATTTATGGGGGCTCCTCAGCTGTTGGCGCATTTGCCTTGAAGCTTGCAAAGCTTTCAAATATCCACCCAATCATTGCTGTTGCTGGGTCTGGAATCGACTATGTCAAGTCCCTCGGCGCGGCCGACCACATCGTTGACTACCGCAAGGGTAACGTCGTCGCAGATCTGAAGACCGCCCTCGGGGACGAGAAATGCTACCTCGCCTTTGACGCTGTCTCAGAGAAAGGGTCATTTGTCAACCTTTCAGAGGCTCTCCAGAACCCTGGTGGCAAGATTGCGTTGGTGCTCCCGCGTAATGAGGACTACCCGGAGATCCCGAAAGGAATTGGGCAGGTGAGGACCTGGGTTGGGTCAGTACACAAGGGCAAGTTCCCTGGCGATGTTGGTGAGGGAATGGGGGATCTGGACTTTGGCTGGGTGTTTTACAGATATCTGGGACGTATGCTGGCCACCGGAAAGTTTTCCGGACATCCAGCGACGGTGGTTAAGGGTGGGCTGGAGGGCATTGAGAAGGGGCTTATTGATCTCAAGGACGGAAAGGCTAGTGCGACAAAATACGTGTACCAAATTGCGGACGATAGGTACGAGTGAGATGATGGTTTTGCGGGCGAGAGGTTGTAAGATTACAAAATTGTTTGTACAAAATAATTGAACAAATATGTACGTACATCTTGTAGATCACATGCGCTTGCTCTATCCGAAGGAACTTTTGTGGTCTGGATATAAAGTATCATCATACCTACATGCACTTATATGTACGTTGTACGTAGAGGTTTTGAGCTTTATGTTCACGTGTATACAAGGAATCCAATGTATTTCACCACAAGCTATGTAAATGGAGGATGAAGGTCATGAGGACATCCGAATAAGTAGTCGGCTGCGCTGCACAGGCACTCAAGTGGGTTAGATGGGGGAAGGGGTGGGACAAACAATCTATGTAAACAATAAAACACATGGTCCATTACAATCAATAACTGTAAGAAAAAGAGAGAAGAAAAAAAGAGAGATTCCCAATAATAAATGATATCCAATATCCGCCAGCTACAGTACTAATTGATATTCATGGTATAGAGATAAAAGAATAGTTAGAGCAGATGTTACAAGGAAACACAATGGAATACAGACAAGAAAGGATAAATAAACACGCTACTCCAAATCCATGCATAAAGACGGCGAGAAAGAACATGAATTAGTTACCACCCAGAAACAATACTATCCCACCTTTTTTTCTTTCTATTATGTCCAATCGTGAACCACTAACTCATCACCGCTCTCTTGATCATAATCAAACCCTATAAGTTTCCACCCAGAATAGCTTCCGTAGCTGCGCACAATAGGTTAGTAAATATGTTCATAAAGCGGCCTTAGGTGGACTTACCAGAATTAATATACGCCCTTCGTGCATCCAAACTCATTCCAAACTTCCTCTCTAGTTCCGCCTTAATGCTCTTCTTCGTAACAGTCATCAAGTCTGCGGTCCTAAGGATCTCCCGGATTTCCGCAAGAATGGCATCGTCACTTGGAAGGTCAATATTTGACATTTCCATTTCGCCATGACCGAAGTAGGCAGATCCCCGCTGGGACATCATTTCTGAGGGTGCTATGCTCATGCGACTTTGGTTGCGCATAGGAAGCTCTAACTGTGACATCGGCCTACTTTGGTAGCCCCACTCGGATTGTGTTGGGGCATATGATTTGGTAGCGTATGAATAGCCGGAAGCCTCTGAGCGAGTATCATCATGACCACGGAGTGTTTGTGCTTCCCAGAGACCTGCTTGATAATCTTCCCACTTCTTGCGAGGAATACTGGCAGGATCAAATTTGCCTTCATCTGAAATGACAATCTTTTGACCCTTTTCACCAGTGACAATACGGGTATTACCCCATGAGAAATCGTCCATGTGCCAGAAAGAGTAGAGCGGGAGCGCAAAACTGAAGACCGGGATAGCAATGACGTAAAGAACCATCCATCCGATCTATATACTAGTAAGTACCAAACTATAAAAGGAACAAAGTAATAGACTGCACTTACCATTTCCCACTTCCTCCTGAGAGTGAAAATAATTGCTTGTAAACCATAGACAGCCGCGAGCAGGATGAAGGCCATCATCGGCACAACAGATGAACTGGTAGCAACCATGACAATGAGGTAGACAATGTATGCCACAGTAACTGGCTGGATGATGGTACTGAGCAAGTCAAGGAAGACAACAAATCTCATTGAAAAACAACAGAAACCACATAGTTGCTGCATAGGCATCAATTCCATGAGATTGTGTAAGGTTGAATTAATCCATCTACGACGCTGGGACATGAAAATGCTCCACTCATCAGGCGCAATGGTCCAGGCATGTGCGTTGAAAATATACTTGGTCTTGTAATTGTTGTGGTGCTTGAGGAGAAGGGTTGTCAAGTAACGATCCTCACCAAGATGTAGAAGGTTCTTCATGTGTAATGTATCAACACGGATTTCTGAGTAGGCTTCAACGACCTCCTTGCTGACGAATAATGGTTTTCCACTCTCGGCGGCACGGACACGATACATTGAGAAACAACCGGGTAGACAGGTAACAGACCCAAACAAACTTTCAAATGCCTTTGCGAGATTGTGAGAGATGTAGTACTCGTATACCTGAATCATGGTGATAAACGAGTGTTTGGCGTTGGTAAGTCCGGTTTCTCCACATAGAGCAATAATTCTCGTGTCAGCAAGGAAAGCAGCGACCATGCGAGTAGCTGAGTCGTTGGCAACAACAGTATCGGCATCAATTTGAAATAGAAACTCGTAAAATGTCGGGTTAACTCCAATGATGTTTCGAATCTGGTGGTGCATTTCCAACTCCATAGGGCTCATGGGCAAGTTGTAGTGGACGCGGTTCAAGAATCTCATGAGGATCATTTGAGAATCACGCTTTCCACGGTTACCAGGCTTGGAAACTTCTGATGGCTTTCCAACCTTGACGACAACAAGGAAGGGAACGATATGACCTTGAACCTCGAACAACCCTGAATAGATTTTGCCCATGTTGTGTTGTTTCATGCCCTCTCCGAGAGACTCAAAGCTCAATGGTTCCGGATCGACATTTTCCGCGACACCAAGGATATCCAAAACGATACGGGGAGTAGGCCGATCGTTTCCTTGACCGATAATCATGCCGTCACAAATGACAACCAAAAGCTTGCGCTTATCATCGTACTTCATCCTTGCAAGAGATTCGATTGCACGGCGGAGAGACTCTTCATCTTCGGTATAGGCTGGTACCTGGCACATGACAAACTTATCAAGGTTCTCCGGCATAGTTTTACGACCGAACTGAAGGGCAGCAAAGAACTTGAACAGAATGACACCAACCATCATAAGTGAGATGGCAAGTAGGAGGTACGTAGCAAATTGACACTGGGGGGAATTACGGGTATCGACGTTTCCAACATAGAAGAGGTTATCAAGGCAGACCTTCTGGCGTTTCTTGAGGTCAGCCGACATTGGGAGTGCATTCCAATACTTGGTGATGTCTTCACCAGCACGGCCAGCGAAGAGATCTCTGACTGAATCATCCATGAAATCAGTGCTGATGGAGGGAACATCAATCTCGGATCCATCTTCTGGCCTTTCGATTCTTCGTCCACCTTTGTTATAGTCTGTCATGTCATAAACACGGTCCCCGATGATCGCGATGTTATTGTTTCTGTCTGCAAGCGTTCTAACATATTGAGAAGAATATCCGATATTTCCTTTCTTATAGTTTGCCTTAAGAACCATCATTTGTTCAAAAAACCAATCAGGACGAGAGTCGTTCCTGAAAGCTCTGAAATCGTGGTATTTGGCGTTCTTATCAACCGTTCTATCGGATGTAGCGTTCGTTCCCTGGAAATCGAGAGTAACATATGGGCTGACGGATCCAGTGACACCATTGCACAGAGCCGAGACCTGGACAGGAAAAAGAGAAGTTGCGTCCTTCCCGCCATACGCCAGAAGATTCTTTGAAGTGACAAGAGTAGGGAAATGAGCCGGAACAAATGAGGTGAGATCAAAAACAACACCGCGGATTGCGATGTAAGCCGTGTCTTCCATGTGGTTTTTCCCGCCATCGTGCGAAGATAGTTCCTGAAGAGTAAAGACGTTTTGCTTGGGACAAATAAGTTGGGGAAAGAAGACTGTGAGTGGTTAATAATTATTACTAAACAATGGGACTATTCGAGATGCCAACTTACTCAGGAAAAAGACTGACAACAAGCACATGAACCAGATCATGAGATTGATAGCAAGCTTTTCTCGCCACGCTACTTGAATATCTTTTCGCTTCATACCTCCAACCCACCGGAGTACGAAGTCTGGGATAAACCATGTAACGGACCACACCATGAACATCCATCTTTTACGACCTGGTGTTACCGGCAGCTCTTCGATTTCTTGCTCTCTGGCAGCAGCACCCTTCTCTGCCATCTGTTCTCGAGTATCAAAGTTCTTAAACATGTCGCCTGAGTGGAAAGCAGACGCTGCAGCTTCGGATCTCAAATCATCCGATTTGGCAAAATAGCCCTTCCCAGCCTCTCCAGTGCCGTAAATGTGAGTGCCTAGTCCTCCGGGACTAGGAGTTCCATGTCCAGGAATTAACCTCACCCTGGAGTCTGAACCTCCAAACAAACCGCCGCCTCGGGCGGTCTCACCTACAGGCGTCATGGGTGTACTCCCTGGCTCCTCGCCGTCACCCAAAAATCCTCCAGAAGCGTATCTCTTAGCTCCAGCATGTTCACCTATTTGTGCAACTTCTGCCCAACAGTTCTCACTCAAAAAGATACCTGTAGCACCTACTCTAGCTTCGTTCATAGACCAGTTCCTCTCTTCGACCACAAGCTCTGCCTTTTCCTTTTCACTACCAACAATATTGCTCTCTGGTTCCGCGAGGCCCAAGAACTCACCAAATGGCAAGAAGACCGAAAAGTCCGCATTTCGTATCCTTTGCGAGATCTCGGCAATCCCAAATGTTCGGATTTGTGTTCGCACGCACTTAGAATCGAATTGATTGGCGATTCTCCTGTCGTTGGGCTTGAGACAAAACACGAAATAAGGGTTTGTGTTCGTTCCAGTGAGAGACCTTGTAACTGTATCCAAGGCACTAACGAATTGAGCGGCTGCACCTTGATCGGGTGAAGAGGCTGATACGTCTGAATCTAGGTTTGGAGTCTTAGACTCTCCTACACCCTTGATATTTGGTCTCTCGCCCTTCTTACGCATTACACTGGGCATTCGCAAGGGCCGCGATGAAATTTGTCCCTGCATGATTGCGGTCTTTTCACGGGGATGCTGAACTGTAGTGACAGCTTTGCTGCTGAACAAATCGGTTATAAAATCACTCGTTGTGCCACGGAACAGGTTCATAAGATCTCCAGAGATAACTTCTCCGTTTTCTTCAATGAGGCTGGCGACTGGGTATTCGACCTCTCCTGCAAAGTGCTTGATGGAGAAGCTGTTCGCAGCGGAAGAGCTGCCAATGGTAATAGCAGCATTATTCTTTGAATCAAATCTCTTCTTTAAACTCTCAAGAAACTGTGTATCGGTCTTTCCACGTCGTGTTTGATCGTCCAGAATACTAAGAAGCCCGTTCCCGTGCTTCAATAACCCACGGACCGCATCTGAATTATCGAAATAACTTGTGGCAGTCACACCGACTTCCTCACTTTCAAGCTGCTCGGCTTTTCTGTCGAAGAAGCTTTGAAGGCAGAAATTGTATAAGCTCTCTGTTGCAGCGTTGTTTAGGAGCTGATCTAAAGTACTGCCAGTAGACGATACTTGAGAGAAACCAGGGAAATCGATGATGGAAACGGTGTTGGCAACCGCATCCTCAACTGCGCAAAGTCTTTCGTTGACAGACTCGATGATCCAGGCTACAAGGAGCGAGTATAGGGTCCTGGCTAGCTCATCCGCATGGGCTCTGGCACCTCTTGCGTCCAGCATCACAGTGACTCTCTCACGGTTCAGGGTTTTCGTCTTATAAGACAAGCTGTTCTCCATAGCCTCCTGACTAACGCCTAAGAAGGCAGCAATTACGCCCAAGACGTCCTTGTTCTTTACGACAACAACTGCATCGCCCCCTTCCATTGCACCCGAATCTTCTCCTTTTGCCATGGTAGCATGGGAATTTGCAAACTCGAGTTGGCCGATATGGAGGATAGTTGCAAGCATTTGGCAAACCTCTGCAATCTCTTGTCGAGGGAATTCAAGTTTTCTTAGAGCAGTCTTGAAATGTGCAAAGCCTTCCGCATCATTTATCCCAACCTTGAGTTGCGTTGGGTGACCGAGATACCTCCACCTCTTTTGACCAGCTCCATTCCTCATTTCCCCGCTGCTATGTCTGTTTCCCGCAGCAGATGTGGCGGGGGTATTCAACCCCAAATGCGCCTTTTCGGCATCCGATGTACCTGCAAGAAGATAGTACAGAATATGGAAATTGCGCTCTCCGGTGGGCACACCAGCAACACGAGAACGCTCTAAACGATGATCCAAAAGCTTTCCTCCGATCAAAGTTTGAGATATGTTGTCATATTGGAGTTCAAGAAAGAGTCCCGCCTTGGATGCGGTAGGTGTGGTGAGAGATTTAGTCGAAGTGAGGGAGTCGAAGAGAAAGCTGAAGAGGGATATTTTCTGAGATAGTGGGGTTGATGTATAAGAAAGAAGATGAGACAAAAGAAGTGACCTCAAAGTTGTCTTCCCAGCCCCAGATTCACCACTAAAAAGCACGATTAGTCCTATTCTTGTAATGATGCGAAAAAAATTATTGGTAAACGAAACCAGAGGTTTTGGCTTACAGAAACAGAACAGCTTGATTCTCTCCTCTTCCGCCAAGCCGTCTCCATATACGACCTGCCAATGCTTCCAACTCCACACTAGCGGCATCGGGGGCAGTATAAGTATTCAATGCAACTATGGCGTGGGAACTGATTGTAGCGGTGGGCAAAGACAAGTGGAAACGGGAGGCCAAATGTGCTGTTATGTGAGTGTCCGACTGGAGATGGGCCGGCAACGAGGGTAGTGACGGCTGTGACTGGGGAGTTTGCTGTGCCATGATGGGCTAAAGCTTGACTACTACAGTCGAGGGGGATGGCAGCCCCCGAGTGAGTAGATGTATTAGGAAATTAATGAACGGCGGTTGAAACGCCTATACTACAACGGCGATGATACTGAATATGTTGAGGATAGGTTGACAAAACGAATAGAGTCGTTATGGAGTAGGAATGTTTAGAGGCGGGAAAAAGTAGGAGTGGCAAGGCGGTTCGTTTCTAGTGAAGGTCGCGAACAAAACCAAGGAGGTGGTATGTGGGAGATAGAAAAGGAGTAGTAGGCCGAACAACACCAGCAAGAATGCAATATATGCAAGCGAGCGTATGAGAACAACAAACAATAAACGAAGGTGATGAAGGGTACAATCGAGCTGTACTCAATTAAATCCGAAGACACAAAGAAGTAGCAGCACAGCGAGTAAAGCAGCTGGTTGAGAGAAAGACGAAGGAGAAAGATTCGCAAAGTCCACGATCGATAGTAATTATGCCAAATCCGATTGTTTTGCCTTGACAGATGGAAACTGATTGGTGTAACACTTTTTGCCCTTTTCCGTTTCTTCCTTCCTGGCGAGACCTAGTCAGCTAATTATGCGGGTTAGTGGGCGAGAATCCCACTCCCTCAGAAAATCGCTCTTGTTGTTGTTGACCTTTTCCCCTTCCTGGCAGAAAACCCTCTAAAATATCTATATACCCCTGTTGCTCTCTTTAGGGCGTCCCCGTCTTCCCGTTCGCTTCCTTTTGCCACACCCTCTTGCTGTCATATGTTTTTGTGGATATAACCTCCTGCCTGGACCCTTTCGACGAAGAGGCTCTCCTATCCACCCCCAGTCCAAGTCATTGATTTATGATCACGATACTAACCCGAACTTTGCCGTAACTTCCTCCGAGGCTTCCAATAGCTATCTATATATGGGGCCACAAATACGAGCATTTGCTCTCCTCGAGTAGAGCTAGAGCAGATATGTTCGTGTAGAGTGTTAAAAGTGCTGCTTTCTGGCTGAAAAGCTACCTACCTATGTACCAAGACAGGACGTTGATCAGCACCCAACCTTCCGGTTCCAAAAATAGGGGCACTTTAAGAGAATTACTCTATTTACTTACACCACCCATGTCTCACGTATCTTTCTTTCAAAAACATACATACACAAACCTCTTTTCTTTTTCCCGTGTTGTTTCTTTTGGGACTGACGATTCCAGAGTGAATCGAGCACAGTCCGGCAGGTCGAGTACCCGACCGAAACAGGGGTAGCTGCCTACTTGGGAAAAGCCCTCTCGGCCCAGGGCCATTCTATTCGTCATAATCCCAAAGCCAAAGTGGCGTTATATTTAGAACAGCCAGCAGGTCAGCGCAGGAACTGCTTTTGGTCTTGGCTAGGTCGATGCTTTGAGTTTGTTTTTCTTACACACCTCACTTGTTTATTTATTTTGATTTCTATTTCTCATGTGTTTTTGCACCTGACGAAGGTCACATTACTTAATAAATCTGAAAAAAGAGTAGTCATGATGTCTATAATTGGGGCTGTACAGTAAAGAAGCTTTTTTACCAAGAGTAGATGGCCATGACAGGAATTATGAGCCGTGTATATTCCCAAGTGGTTAGTGAACATGTTACCAGGGGTCGACGAGAGTTTTAGGTACGACATGAATCAAAAGAAAAGAAGCAAAATCGGTTATTTTGTTCAGTGCCTGCAGGTATTCCACGCTAGAAGCTAAATTTCAATTGATATGCCAGTTGTGCGGGAGAATCAGAAGCGGTTGGAACAACCGGTACCTAGTAGGTGGTAGGTAGAGTACATGTAGGTAAGTCTCTGTTTAGGATAACATCCAAGCGGTGGCTACATCCATTCTGCCAATCATCTATTTTGCCCGGGAGACAAACAAAACAAAAAGGAAGACTAGAAACGAGAGTTAGAGTGACAGTATGGGAAGGAAAAAGAGACAGAACATTCCATTCTTCTAGCATCCCATTCTCGCAGCTCGCTCTGCAACCAAAACCTTCTCCTGTCTGTTTTCTATCCAACTACACTCGTTTACTTTATCCCCACCAATTCTCTGAATCCATTTAATTTGCCTCTTGTAGTCCCTCACTTTGCTGTTGTAACTTGTTCCTATTTCGGTCCAGCTGAGGAAAAGGGGAAAATTACAATTGTGCTACTGCTGCAACTTGCTTGCCGCAGCAACCAAAACAAACACCACCTCCAGCTTTATTATTAGTTGGCAATCGTGAACATTGTCTTCTCGTTGTCGTATCACATCAACAACTCATTCACTTACTTGGCCCATAACCTTATTGGACTTTTTTGGTTTTCATTTTTCAGCTATTCGCCTTTGTTTTTCTACCCCCTGGTTGTGTTAACACTGGTAAATCTGGTGCTTCTCACTCACAGAAGGTTCCTCCTTCACTACTGAAGTGAATTTTGCAGTAATACCCCCCTTCGTTACATTGAATTTCATTACTATCCAAAGTCTAGTAGATTGACACCGATTTCAATAGCTTCTCCACAATGTCGTTCTCGAATAGACATTCAATCTACTCGACGACGTCCGCTTCACCTTACGCCGCGAATCAACAAGGCGGAGGGCAGATTACAACCTCGTCCCTACTTACAGCTCTTCACAATTCTTATCAATCAGGCCAACCTCACAGTCTCGATGCAAGCACAACGCTCGTTGTGAATTCTGGAAATGGCCTCGGCAATGCAGGCTACGGGGGCGGGGTGATTGACGAAAATGTTGGAACAAGAGCTTGGGAGCATGCCCGGAGACGAGCAGAGGACCAAACTATTTTATTAGCGTAAGTGGACCCTTTTTGGTTTTTGCTAGTCGAGGTTTTTGGGGTCTCCGTTATCCTTCAAACGGCCCAACCCAAAAAAGCACATCAAACCCTTTGTTAATATTTGCTAACATCGCTCTAGATCTCTACATCCCCACTCACCTTCACTTTTAACCCCGATTTTGGGTACACTACCCTCACCACCAGACATCCTTACCAACGCCCTTGCTCTAATTTCAGCATTTACATCTTGCCTGACACCTTCATCTCCATTCTCTGTACCGTATCATAATGGTTTGGTGGTCTCTCTTCAGCTATCTTTAGCCGGGAACATCACAGGAGCCCACATCTCCCTCTCAACCGCCGGGATCGATACTGCCAACGGTCTTCTCCAAATACCTGCGAAGGACGGATATAGAGCCTTTGATGTATTTTACTATCTCCTATCAGCAGCATCCACGCCTGCTGAAAGGCAGGGTCTCGGTCTACAAACACCCGACAAGTATTCACTACTCGCCCGAAGTGGGACCTACTACCTTCCAAGCTATCTGCCTACCGCAGATGACTCAGCAGCAGCGGAGGATTGGAGAGCAAATCTTAGGGCTATCGGGGTCAAGGGGAGTCTTCTTAGGGGTCTTCTCTCAGCGCTTGCTGGTATTCTCAAACTTGGGAATTCTGTCGGACTTTTAGTAGATGAAGATGTTGTTGAAGAGGTGTGCGAAGATGTATCCGGCCTTATCGGCATCGAACCCGAAGTTCTGGCAAAAAAGATGGGCGACAACGAGAGAGAAGCATTCATCGCAGCTGTCTATGAAGCTATTGTTGAATGGATTGTTGCAAGATCGAACGATGCTATTGCCGCTGACTTCGAGGCACGGAAAGAGAATGAGTCAGGTACAGATGGAAGTGAAGGCGATACCGTTCAAATCAATGTTCTTGAGCTGCCTGGTGAAAAGATGGCGAAGGCTCTATGTCTTAAAGGCGTGTTCGACGACGAAAGTGGCCTCAATTTAGAAATGAAAATGGACGGAGTTCAAATGCCCAGTGCTAACGGTACCGTGCTCAGGGAGATGAAGACTGCATGGACTGAAGCCGAGAGTGCGGGCCTCGTTGGTATGAGTAGAGATAGGGAATACGAGCGTGATAGAAGGGAGCAAGTTATTGAGAAGGGCGGTCGTGAGGTTGAGGAGGGTGGATTTTTGAAGGAACTCCTATTCCCAGCCGAGTATGGGCGAGATATGGACTCGATCAAATTTGATGCTGTGCAGCTCCTTGCAGCCTCTCGAGTCTGGTGGCATTTAAACCTATCACCTTCAGAAGACCCAACCACTGGGCAACAGCCAGCTCAATGGGCTGCTGCTGCTGTCAGTAAGCAGTTGCGTAGCTGGAGACTGCCTGAATGGGGAAACCGCAGAACCAAGCACCTCGATTTTACTTCTGACTTCGATTTCGACGAATTCTCGGTAAGATACGCCCCTCTTGGCTGCACTGGTGGTCGAGATGGCGTTGAGAGCTGGGTTATCGAAAGAGGCTGGAGTAATGGTGAAGTGGTAGTAGGAAATGAGAGGGTATGGATGCGGGAAGGAAGTTGGTGGGAAGCAGAGAATATGCTCGACTTGAAACAACCAATGCCAGGTATGATGGGCATGGGGGCCGCTCCAATGGACACCGGCTACACTACAAATACCAACGGGAGCGGCTACTTCGCCATGGGCGGTGTCCAGCCATTGACACCCGGCGCATCCAGAGATAATCTTCTTCGACAGAGTACCATGAGTGGAGCATTGCCTGGAAGCTCTCCCCTCGCTGCATCCGGCGGTGAGGGAGATGCTCCTGGAATGTCAAAATACGACGAAGCCTACTATTCTGGAAAGCTTGACCCCGAAGCTGCCGATCCCAAGCATATTGAGGAACAGCCGACCTCTAGAACCCGTAAAATCTGGGTCGCTGCAGTGTGGGCCTTAACATGGTGGATTCCGAGTTTCTTACTCCAGCACGTTGGCAGGATGAAGCGGCCTGATGTCCGAATGGCTTGGAGAGAGAAATTTGTTCTTTGCCTTTTCATCTTCTTGTGTAACGCTATCATCGTGTTTTGGATTGCTGCATTTGCCAGACTGGTCTGTCCGAATTACGACAAAGCTTGGAATACCAAGGAGGTTGCAACCCACACGGGTGAAAACGATTTCTGGGTCAGCATCCGTGGTTACGTCTATGATATGACCGATTTCTGGACCCTCCAACACAGTGACAGCAATATCGAGACCACCAGAGACAACATGATCGATTTTGCTGGTCTTGATCTTTCTGCCTACTTCCCGCCACCTATCTATCTAGCTTGTCCTGATCTCATTAGCTCCCAACTCGTAACCATGAGTTACAATGATTCCTCTACAGTACAACAATTTGCTATTGGTATTCACAACTCTGGCCCTCGTCTTGCTCAAGACACAACCTCCGAGTTGCATTCAGCAAACTGGTACTCACAACGATTTTTACCCTTCATCAAAGATTTCAAAAAGGGTGACCTGGTCTGGGATCCAAAGGATATTAGGAAGACAGGGAAAGCAGACAATAAACCATGGGGTATCATCGATGATAAGATCTACGATCTGACAGATTACTTCTACACTGCGGACCTCAATCCCAATACCGGTGCTGCTGGTGTTACTTCCTATAACTACCTCGATTCGGAGATTGAGGATTTATTTCAGCAGAAACCAGGTAGCGATCTCACCAAGGAATTTCATAAACTGGGTAACAGCACTATGCGGGCCCAAAACTTGAGATGTATGAACAATCTCTTCTACGTAGGACGCACGGATTTCAGGAAAACAGCCAAGTGTCAATTCAACAGTTATATTCTTCCCATCTTCGCTGGTATCGTCGCAGCTGTTATTGTCGTCAAGTTTTTGGCTGCGCTTCAGCTTGGTTCCAAACGTCGTCCGGCTCAACAAGACAAGTTCGTCATTTGTCAGATTCCTGCGTATACCGAGGGCGAGGATCAACTTAGGAAGGCACTCGACTCACTTACTGCCCTGAACTACGATAACAAGAGGAAATTACTTTGCGTGGTATGCGACGGTTTGGTCGTTGGTGGTGGTAACGATAGACCTACTTCGAGCATCGTTTGTGACATCCTTGGTGTTGACCCAAAGATTGATCCTCCTGCGCTGCCTTTCAAATCCGTCGGAGATGGAAGTGCTCAACTGAATTACGGAAAGGTTTACTCTGGTTTGTATGAATACGAGGGATGTGTCGTTCCTTACGTCGTCATTGTCAAGGTTGGAAAACCTTCCGAAAAATCAAAGCCTGGTAATCGTGGTAAACGTGATTCCCAAGTTCTGCTTCTCGACTTCCTTAACCGCGTCCACCACCGTACTCCTATGTCTCCGCTTCAACTTGAGATATTCCACCAAATCAACAACATCATTGGTGTTGATCCAGAGCTTTACGAATATCTTCTCATGGTTGACGCTGATACAAGTGTCAAGGAAGATGCGTTGAACCGTTTGGTGGCTGCTTGCGCAAACGATGCAAAGATCGTAGGAATCTGCGGTGAGACTAGTTTGGAGAATGAGGAAAGGTCCTGGTGGACTATGATTCAGGTTTACGAATACTATATCTCTCACCATCTCGCAAAGGCTTTTGAGAGTCTATTCGGATCGGTTACTTGTTTGCCTGGATGGTAAGCCCCTTTTAAGCCCCTTAACAAACGTATATATATTGACTCTTTGTTAGTTTCTGCATGTATCGCCTACGCACTCCTGACAAGGGTCGTCCTCTTATTATCTCTAGCAAAATTATTGAGGAATACTCTGATGGGTGTGTCGACACGCTTCACAAGAAGAACCTGTTGTCTCTCGGTGAGGATCGTTATCTTACGACTTTGATGACTAAGCATTTCCCATACATGAGCTACAAGTTCATTCCAGACGCCTACGCTCTTACTGCTGCCCCTGAGACTTGGAGTGTTCTGTTGTCCCAAAGGCGTCGATGGATTAACTCTACCGTTCACAATTTGGCCGAATTGTTCTTCCTCAAGGAGATGTGCGGCTTTTGTTTCTTCTCCATGAGATTCGTCGTCTTTTTGGATTTGATCGGTACCATCATTCTTCCTGCCACTTGCGTATACTTCGGATATTTGATCTATCTTATTGCTAGCAAGACAGGACCAATGCCTATCCTGTCACTGGTTATGATTGCTGCCGTTTATGGTCTCCAAGCGATCATCTTCATTATAAAGAGGCAATGGCAGCATGTTGGATGGATGATCATCTATATCCTTGCGTTCCCAATCTACTCCTTTGTTCTCCCCGTTTACTCATTCTGGGCCCAAGACGATTTCTCATGGGGTAATACTCGTATCGTCATTGGCGAGAGCGGCGCCAAGAAGGTTGTTGCTACTGCAGATGAAGGATTTGATCCAAAGAGTATTCCGCTGCAATCGTGGGACGACTATGCGGCTCAAAACGGACTTCCTGGTCGTCGCGGTGGTGCACCGGAGAAATTTGATGGCGCTTATCAGGACGGCGTTGAACTTGATGACATGCAATCTATGTACTCTTCTGTTAAGCCAGCCTCCACAATTCTTACTGGTCTTCCAAATATGGGCGGGCACCCTTATATGCCACCCCATTCTCCAGCCCCGTTCAATAATAACAGGCAGTCAACTTATTCGGCTTACACAAACTTCAACGATCCAAACCACCACCAGCAGCAACGTTTGATGTCACTAGGAGGTATGAGCCAGAGGGATTATTGGCAAGATGGTCCTGCGAACAATCGCCAGAGTGCCATGAGTACCGGGTTGCCAAGCACTGATAACCTCCTCTCCATGAACACCCCTCCACCAAGAGGGCCTAGTCGGAGTCCCCTTGGATTCGCTGGAAGTAGACCAGCAAGTACCATGGACTTCATGAGGGCTGGTGGCGGTCCAGATGATGATTCGATCATTGAAAGTATCAGACAAGTCTTAAGAGAGGTGGATTTGGAGACTGTTACGAAGAAACAAGGTTTGTTCTAAATTCTTTCTTAGAAACACTTATCGTTTATCAATTACTGACTCTCAATCAGTCCGTGCGTTGGTGGAGCAAAGATTGCAGACAGAGTGCCAAGGCGAGAGACGGTCATTCTTGGATAAACACATTGACACTGAGTTGGCAAACTTGCCAATGTGATTTGTCAAAATCATATGAATTAGGTTTTCATTCATGGGCGTTATCCTACCAGTATTTTTTCAATTAATCTGTGCATTGTGTTTGCTTTACTTATCATTACTTTTTTATGTTTTACACTGGATTTCATATTGTTAATGCGTTATTGCAAAAAACGGTTAAAGTGGATGGGAAGATGATGGATGGATTGATGGGGGTTTGCGGTAGCGGCATATATACCTTGCATGGAACGGAAGGTGTGGTTTATTGTGATATTGTAATAGTGAATGCTGGAACCAAAGCATGGAGTTTTTCGTTTTTTGCATCACCTGTATTTGATCAATCATTGATGTGCACTTTTTTTTAACTCAAGTTTGGTATTTGCTAAAATTTTATACCATTTTACCTGATCTACCTGCTCTTTTTCTCGGCAAGAGCATATTTAAATTCCCTAGGATAGTACAATAGAACCCGTGGAACCATCTGGCTCGTCCTGAGCATTTACCCTTACAATCATGGTGATTTGGTTCTCTTCCTACGGAGCCCAAGATAGCCCGAGAGCCCTTAAATCCTTATAAGGCGACTACCCTTATAAGAGGGACTCTTCCAGGGAGACATACTAAAATCGACTACATATATGTGTGTCTCCACAGCAACGGCTCTAAGCAGGCTTAAATCCTACTTTGCCGCTAAGTAAAGTATTTACATAACCACAATTCACACAGGGCATACAATCATAAGGAACTCGACGCACCAGCTCCCTCGCTGAGATTTTACTACATGTAGGTACATACTGCTTTTTCTATTACAAAGTCAACTTATTATCCCGGATCCATTTGCCGTCCCGTACGAAATCCCTACAATCTTGGTAATCGAGTTAATGTGGCTGACTGTACTATATGTACTCTATTTATCAATATTGTTGATGCCACTCATCACACCATAAAATAGTCGATTAAAATGGATAGCTACAACGACTTGGACATGTAGGAAATCATTCGAATCTTTCCTACGCTCGACTCATTGATTTAGCCTTATTACGAGCATCAGTAATAGTATAGTGCGCACTTCACAGCACAAATGTATTCTCTAGGGCCTTGAAACATTTATATCCAACCAGTCTGAATCATCAGGTTGGCTATTTCAATATTTCGCCCACAAGAGACGCGGAGAAATTGGTCGTGTCTGTCCTACGCCTGTCAGGGTAGGTCTGTGAGCGGTGGGCGTACGCGTAGTTCTATTACCCGGAGAGGCCTAGGCGTATAAACTAGCACCTCTAACTTAGTCAAAAGTTTACGGTCAGGACTATGCTCGTGATAGATGACGTTATTCGTGGAGAAAGCTTTGAGTCGCAGTACTATCTCCATATTTATTATAATCGCCCTAGGTACGACTATTTTTAGGTAGTAGGTAATTATTAACAGGGTTTTATGAAGGTACTTTATTCACGTCAAGATCTCGATCTCGGTTGAGACCAGAGCCATCCGCGATATGGCTGCAGCTGTTGAGTCCAGAAATTATAAAGACTACATGTATTATTGTAGCTGGCCGCGCTAAGGGTAATATAAAACTTCAAGCCAAAATTTCTATTCTCGAAGCATAACAGAATCCTGGGGCCTCCGTCCAGAGGTTTTCAAGGCTATGGTACCTACCTGAGGCTCGATAACTCTCAAACAAAGAAACGTACCTCGTACTCGTGGGCGTGTGTTAAGGGCTTGGTTGGATTACTATTGACGCCTACCCACATCATTCCTGTATCTTGTGGGGGGTTATTTTATAAGCAGCCATAACCATGAATTCCTTACATCGCGATCAGGGTTGAGGGAAACGACTAAATAATCATTTCTTTTTTACCTAACCACCACCAACTTAAAATGTGTGACCAGGGCCCAGCTACACGGGATATTCATGATCTAGTAACCGAATCTATAGAACACGTCTACAAGCCTACCTAAATCTAAACCCTCATAACCATACCATCGAAGGAGGTGCCAATGTCTAACTTATAATTATGGTGAACTAAACAATTACTCCTTCGAGGGTCGTTGATGATCAGACTGGCTAACTCAAGCGATGTTGTAGAATTTCTTCTCTTTTACTGGATTGATACACGCCGTCATACTTTGTCATAGGAAAAGAAGCTTTCGTAAACTCCCCAAACACCAGTCAGCTAGCTAGATATAGCTACCCAAGCATACCATAAATAACCCCTCAGAGTGGCGACTGCTTTTGATGAAGTCTACACATCTACTGAACCACACGGGATCAAGTCTCATATAAATTCTCTTTTCTCCTTCCATCTCAAGATACCTACTATCCTTAACCTCCTATACAGTTGTCCTACCAGAACTCACCAGCCTATTTACGGGAAATCTATTGAAACCCATCTTCTTTTTGTGAGTTGAATTTACTTTTCTCTTCCACCTAATCCCGAGTTTGAACTCTTCCCTACATCAAAAGACTGGCGGCAAGTATGTGCTTGCGAGTCTAATTATGAAAGTTATAAACACACTGGCCATAGTATATATATGTCATCAGCTCCATATATTACTATCATCAAGATACGAATCGAATTTCTTGTAAAAGCCAATCGTAAAAGAATCTTTAGGTTTGCTAATTAACGATTAAGCGGTAGAAAGTAGAGGAGGAAAAAATAAGAATCCCCTGCCCCTCCAAATGGCCACTCAACCGAAAACACCCTCTTCATTAACCGTATTGCGAGAACTCCCATTAGTCCACGGCCGCATCTTTAGGCCCACCGGCACGGTCACTGAATCTTATAAGCCTGGGTGCTCTTGTAGCCCGCATAATATCAGGGTTAGAGAAATAACTGATCATTCGAGGGGAAATCCCGCTACTATTCTAGACATGAGTGGGGTACTTTTCGGTCTTCGAATTTCACCTACTGAACTTTTGGCGAGAAGGGACAAGAATACTCAGCTATCCAAGGGGAAGATGGGAAAGGATAACAGGATATATCGCCCGCAGAAGACTTCGGCCGGGGAAAAGAACAACCTCGCGAGCGTGGCGGAGACGGCTAGGCGTCATTTGAAAGCTAGACGTGAGGATATTTCGGACATAAAGAATGGCAAAGAACCAAAGAGTGATTTCTTGAACTGGCTGCGGAAAAATGAGAAATCAGGTCGGGTTACGAAACCCAGGATGAGCAAGAGGGGCGCAAAAATCTCATATGACCGGAAGATGCGGAATTCAACTGACAGTCTTAGCGGAATGCCTATTGGTAAGTTTGGAGCCTGTCCTCATCTGTATCGAATTCTTTAGTTAATTTCCGATATGATGGTATACAGAGGATATCGACATGGTAATGGCCTTCCGGGTTCTGGACGCTCAAGAGCACAATCGGGCTATCAATCAGATGGATCAATCAGGACTTGTTGATATGATGGAGTCATTTTCTTTCCCGGAAGATGTGGCAGATGAGGATGAGATGTGTTATGAAATTAATAATGAGGTTGCGCTTGGATCCGAACTGCCGATGGACATTTCAGATACCTAGGAGCTTGGAGTGGCTGGTGTCTTTGAGGTCAGCTTTTCTTTCAATAGCGATCTTTCTATTCGCAAATTGCTGTATTTTAGAGCAATTTCCTCTGTTCTAGATGTTCAATTTAACAACATCATAGTTTTATATATACATGTAGCTGGCGCTTTAATTAGAGTATACTTGTATTTACTAACCGGCCGTCAATTCTGACAATTGACACTTCGCCGCCCTTTACAGCGGATCCCCTTCATGGTGCAATAGAAAGAAAGATAGGTCATGATCCGGTATGTGGGGATATCTATTCCCATACAAACTTCTCTAAAAAGGCAGAAGTTATCTTCTAAAAACCAGCATCTCGACCCAACCACTGAGAAAGGATAACTACTAGTGGGAAGGCGGTAGGAGTAGCGGTGGTGATGATGATGAAGAAGATGATGACGAGAAGAGGGGAAGGAAAAGGCATAAATGTATTTATAGCTGGAAGATGAGAAATAAGGTTTCACTAGCGTAACGTTAGGATTTTCACCTAAAATTTACGAAGTAGCCTTGCAATTTGTCAAACGACTTAATCATCTACTAGCGATGGCGGCTGGAGTTTCGGTCACGTGTAAGTTAAATAATACGTAGATGAGATCTAGAGTAGAAACTGGTATGCCTTTTGCCACTCTCTAGGTGTATCCCCACATGACCGAAATTCCAGTCGGCATCGCTAGTATTCTTATCTCCTAGAGACATGTACTCTATATATGGTACTGTACGTATGTAGGATCCGGGTGATGGAGCTTAGGATATATCAATAGGGTCGCTTCTAATGAACACGTCGTTTTTATGCTCTATAGAGTTATCTACCTTGCTATTTCAACCTGGTGCAGTGAGTGAGAATCCATGCAGATGTGTGTTAGATCTTATCTTATCAGATCATCTTATCTAAACGCGTCTGTCAGGCACTTTAGCAGGCCGACGCGTTTCAACATCCCTTTAATCCCCAAACTCGAAAAACGGGAACTGAAGCAGTACCCTCAATTCGGTATGTCTGGTATCCCGTCTGATTTTGATCCTGCACTTGTCTTCTCTGACTACCTACCCGACATTCAGTCATCCGACTACCCGTCTCAGCCGCTCGAGGAGGAATCCTACACAGACGAGCTAGAAGCTATCGTGCTCCAAGCCGAGGAGACCAGGCAGAGATTTGACGAACAGGGAGTTGTGATTAGACACCGTCAATTGAGTTTAAGATCGGCTTTTAGAAGCAGTAGTTTACCGCCTGGTGAGTGGATGGGGCGCGTTAATTGGGATTTCATTATTCTAGATTTTAATAAGGAAACATGTAGAGACGCCAACTAAAAGCTCGAAAAATCGCAAAAACATCTGGGCAACCCCAACATCTCCACTTGCTTCAGAAGATATACCGTCCTCATCCCAAACAACACCACGAGCAGTAGTGGCAATGCAATCAACACTTGCATTCCCCAGCTCTTCGCCTCCGGCCGCACCCCCGGCGGCCAAACGTCAAAAGGTCATAGCGCCGAACGATTACACTTTCGATTATCCAGATTCTGATGAGGAGGACGCACTGATGCGTCAGGGCGTCGATGAAGAAGAGGGCGAGGATTCACAACGACTGCCCGGAGAATCCGAAAAGGAAAATGCTCTGAAGACTCCAACCGCACCCCTGAGGCCGGTATTCAACTTGCCGTTATCGGGTGGGCTGTTTAGTAAAAAGTTTACGCCTACCGCGACGAAATCATCATACTCAAAACCTACGGAAATAGACCTCACGACCGAAGATTCTGCGCCGGATGTGCCGAGGAACTTCCGGGCAGAATTGACACCCCCGCCCCAACTTCCACCGGCAAATCAAGAGTCGTTTGAAGCATTCAAGGCTACGATGAAGTCTGCGCCTAGAGCTAGTGTACCTAAGCCTACAGCTCAGGTAGTTTCAGCTTCTGTATATTCGTCTATCACTGTCCCTATTATACTTAGCTCGGGGGAGACCCTCCATGTTAGAAAAAAGGCGCCAAAAATAGGTCCTACAAGAGAAAGCTTCGGTCTGTCTTCCGGGGCCGTTGGGGGTGATTCTGGAGAAGGGTTAGACGAGGGATTAAAGAAGAGTTACTTCGGAGTTGATATCAGCTCTTTACTCAGCGATTACAACGCCGAGAAACGCATACAGAAAATACAGCAAGAAAAAGCTGCACTGAAGGCTGCTGACAAAGCCGCCGACGAGGCTCTCGCTGCTGCTCTCAAAACCGATTTGGAGATTTCAGGTACGAAATGTAAGAAGACACAGCTTTGGACTGAAAAGTACCGCGCGAAGCGCTTCACGGACCTCGTAGGAGACGAGCGGACACATAGACAAGTGCTACGGTGGTTCAAGAGGTGGGATAAAATTGTCTTCCCATCTGCAAATTCCAAAGCAAAAAAGACGGAGGAGGGTGACGAGCGAGAACTCCGGAAAATTTTACTTATTCACGGCCCTCCTGGGCTGGGAAAAACAACTCTAGCGCACGTGGCTGCGAAACAGGCAGGCTATGAGGTTGTTGAGGTCAATGCCTCCGACGATCGCTCTGCAGAAGTAGTGAAAGGCCGTGTAAAAGATACCCTTTCTAATGGGGGTGTCAAGAGTATGGGGATGGTGACCAGCGCTTCCAATTGTGCAGTAACATTAGGCAAGCCAGTTTGTCTAGTTGTTGACGAAATTGATGGTGCCTCCAGTGGAGGGAGCGATGGCAGCTTCGTAGGTGCACTCGTCGATCTAGTGCTATCTGACCAGAAAGGATCTAGTGTTATTGCACCTGGAGTCACAAAGAATAAGAGGAAGAATGAAAAGGAAGAATTGTTCAAGTTGCAGAGGCCGGTAGTGGCTATCTGCAATGACCTTTATGCCCCTGCATTGAGGGCATTGAGGCCCTTGGCGGAAATCGTGTATATGCGAAAACCACCGGCAAAACTGATGGTAGGCAGAATCAAGAATGTGTTGAATACCGAGGGGTTTAGGGTAGAAGATGGAGCAGTAAGGAGATTAGTAGAGCTGAGTTGTACGGATAGTGCTGGAAAGGCTGGCGGAGACATGAGAGCTGCCATGGTAGGGTGCGAATGGATCGCAGCTCGGCTGCGAGCTACAGCAGAGCCAAATAAAATCCCGAGCGAGAAGAAATACCTCACACGGAAAATGGTAGAGGAAGAGTTTGGTGAGGGCGGGCTCGGAGACACAGACGGTAAAGGAGGGAGTAGTGGAAGAGGGAGTGTTAAAGAAGCAGTGGAAAGAGTTTTCTATACTGAAGAAGTGATGAGAGGTAAAAAGGAAACAAACGCTAACCACAAAAAAACCAACATACAAAATCTGCGTCAGCTGGTGGAAGGGATAGATGAATTCGACAAGATCATGTCAGGTTGCTTCGCGACATATCTCACACGCCCTTACAACGACGACCCATACTTGACGAAACCCAACGCCGCGAGTGAATGGCTCTGGTTTCAGGATCTTTTGAGCGAAAGGGTTTTTCAAGAACAGGATTATGAATTGAGCGGATATCTCTCAAGTCCGATTCTTGCATTTCACCTTCTTTTTTCTAGTCCTATACGACAGAAGGCTCCGCAGAGCAAGTACAATCGTAAGGACCACGAAGAAGAGGAGGAGATGGCACCATTTTCAGGACCACAAGCAGAATGGGAGGTCCGTGAGGGCACCAAAGAGCACAAAGCCCTAATAGCAAGCGTACAAACATGCATAAAAAAAAGCGAAATAAGGCTGCATGAAGCCTTCCATGCTGCCGAGAATGTAGTTATGGAGCTTGCGCCATGGGTATCTCGGATCCTTTCTCCGAATATAAAACCAGTTGTGATCGGCGGGTCTGGGCCCGAGGGAGGAGTGGCAAGTGTAAGACGAGAAGGAGAAAAGAAACTTGTTATGAGAGGTGTACAGGTCATGATGGGGTTGGGCGTAATGTTCGAAAGGGTAAAGGTTGAGGGAATTGGTAGCGGAGGATGGGGGTGGATTTATAGAATGGAGCCGTAAGTTCCCCTCTCTAGTTTGTGAGTATACATGGTCTAACGTTATGAATAGCCCACTCGACTCACTCTCGATCTTCCGCACATCTACAATCCCTCCTGGCGAACTAGCACCAGCTCCTGTCCGCTATGCCATCCGTCAAGTGCTCTCTCAATCTCTCTACAAACAGCGGGTAGCCCAACGCGAAGCGTCCAGACAAGCCCGGATGGGTACATCTCTTGAGGCCCCACAGCTTAAGATGGTGGTCAACCTTGAAAATATGTTGAAGCGCAAGAAGAACGAAGTCAAGAAAGACTTTTTCGGGCGTGTCATAGCCCCCGATGAACCCCAAATCGGCGAGGAGGAAGAGGGAACACGCTGTGGAAAGAGAAAGAAGGTACAGGAAGATAAGAACGAAACAGTGTGGCTAAGTTTTCACGAAGGTTTTAGTAATGCGGTTAGGAAGGGCGTTACGTTAGATGAGTTTATGAGTGGGCTGATGTAATTTTTATGCGCATGCTTTGGGAGCTTCTTTTGTCTTGGGTATTAGAAAGGTTACATATATAGTATTATATGGCTTTATTACATGTAGTTAGCTGTTTTGTAGAAGAGACGTTCCCGTGATCTCTGAAAACCGTTAATATTAATACATTCGAGTCGATCACCAGAGATCACTCGCTGATTGCACTCTTTGACGATGGTGAGGTGATTTGTGTAATGTGCATCAAAGATAATTGTTTGGCCATGTGATCTTCTTTAACGTGTTTAGAAAATTTTCTGCTATCAAGGCCATGGTTATGGTATCGCTTGGGTAGGCACCGGTGACCAAAGTATTGCCAATAGAACCGGAAGAGCCAGGGATATTAATCTAGATACTATGTATAAACTGTTAAGTGTATATATATATATATGGTGGCTTGTATTTCGTCTGTCAGCGAGGTGTATTATATGGCACATCCTATGTTAGTCACTTCTTGCTAGTGTTAGCAGAGATTGCCCCAAAGGTCCCTCCCACATATTCTATTTCATGTCAGTGCAAGAAGATGCACATATCGCAATGTTTAAGTAAAAGTGTTGATTATCCCACATGGCGGGACGAGCATAGCTCCCTTGGCGCTGAGAGAGTTTTTTTTTACGCCAAGACCCATGGCAGTCAACCGCAGCACCCTAGTTGTGTTATAAGTATAGGTATGGTATCTACTTCTAACGAACGATCGAAGCTGGTCCATTGTTGTGTTCGTGATATAGGTACGTGTATGTGGATACGGTCACGACGAACTTTGAGGAGCGGGGATTTACAAGTATTTCCCCACCGTCAATAATAGAATAGACAAGAGGGGGTAGTTTTACTCAATACGAGAGGCAAGGCTTGACATGATATTACCTATGACGTACTATATAAGATTGAGGAATCTGCGGTCGGCGTACGCCACAGGTTGAATAAAAATATACTTAGACATGAAAAATCACTCGAATGACAATTATGCTAATATGGTGAATTTCAGAGACATCTAGGAGTAAGTGGAGCTCTGAAAAATCCTTAACTCATGCTAAAAGATATATAGTACCGTGCGGTAAGGAGACATCGTGGGTGTGTTGATCTCGGGTACTGCGGTCATAGCAGGAAGAAGTGCTGGAAGTTATGATAGGTGGTCATTCTGGATAAACATAAATGTATATATGAAGAAGACACGCGTACCTACATAATAAAGAAGCCCCATAAGATCATACCATCGAAGAATGTCTCTTTATCTCTCATTTAGACTCTGGGTTCCTCCTCATGGGAACAGAGGAGCCCCTCATCATAGATTCCCGCTATATCTGCCCTGCCCGCGACGCGCGTAGATCGGATACGAGAGACTGTAGGTTTTATTTTAACTCCCGATCACAAGCATGCCTAATTTGATATTAGTTCTTACGTCTTTTTTTATGTGCCTTGTGCACCATCAAGTGGTTGCAGCGTTTCCTGAAACCGATCGAGTGATACCCTATGACTCTGGCTAAATGGATAAACTTCAACCGCTAACTAGCGGAACTCGGGATTGATTCACGGTAAGTCGTCATATCCCCACCTTCACCTCCACTGCACATTGCCGATGCTCTAAAGCGAGCTTGTGCCGACTGAAACGGCCGCGGGTAAGTCAATTGGGCCATTAGGCTCTTATGATCGGTCTCCCTTCAGACCGTGAGCTTGCTTGGGCGCAAATCAAGAGTTTATCCAAGAATAAAAGCTAGATGAGCATGAGCTTACTGCTGGAACAGGGTTCGGGAGTAACAAAAAGTTGACTAATAAATCTGTTCCTTTCAGGAAATTATTTCTTTCTTTCATTAATTTCTTTTGGTAATTTACTTTGAAGAGTTTTTTTTAGTAGATTGTATGGAAATTTTCACATCTATAAGTAGAAGGCCAAAGACGAAAAGAAAATAAAAACCACCCGTTTTTCACAAGTACAAGAGTCTTGTCGCTTCAATACTCACCTCTCTTGACACTTACGAGATACACCTACTATGGCTGGGACTCTACTGGGAGTTAAGTCTCCGTTCTTGGAGCTGATATCCTTTAAGGCTATATACCTATCAAACAATGTTCTCCCCTGCATGATCCCATGGCGCGGATCTTCGGTTGAAGGCCCGACGAACCTGCTTGCGCTGCACCCCATTAACTCTAAAATTTTCCGAAAGTCCAATTTATCCACCCAATTTAGCCAGACATACTTACTCTAAGTGATGCGCAAGAACCGGGATGGAAAAAGGCTTCTTTGAACTTTAGCCAAAAAGACGGCAGTAGGGATGAGACGACAATGTGGGGTGGAAGAACGCGGGGAAGGGGAGAGAAGGCATGGAGCTCTTGACGGAGAGGTATATGTGTGTGTGTGTGGGGGGGGGGGGGGGGGGTTGAAAAGGTATATATAGCGTGCTGTATGGTAGGCAGAAGAAAGACAGACATCATATCCTGATCTTTACGAGATTTAATATGACTGGAATATTTTCAAACTTTGGAAAAAGACTCAGCATTGCATTCTCAGGCGAAAAGAACATGGCGCCTACTGGTATTCTGAAGGTTGAGGGGACGAAGATTGTTGATACGGATGGAAAGGAGGTCCTTTTGCGTGGGGTATGTAGCTCAGTTACAATTAAGTTAGGTTTAGAGGATTGCTAACAGTAGTGATGATGTGTGCAGGCTGGTGTAGGAGGATGGGCAAATATGGAGAACTTCATCACTGGTTTCCCAGGACGCGAATACCAGATTAGGCAAGCTCTTGCCGAGGTTCTTGGGAAGGAGAAAGCTCAGTTCTTCTTCGACAAGGTACTAGCTCTCTTGATAGTATTCCTTCCCCGCACTAACATCATACTCCTAGTTCCTCGAATACTTCTTCACGGAGCAAGATGCCAAATACTACAAATCCCTCGGTCTCAACTGCATTCGTGTTCCATTCAATTACCGCCACTTCGAAGATGACATGAACCCTCGCGTCCTTAAGCCTGATGGTTTCAAGTGGCTCGACCGCATTGTCAACCTCTGCGCCGCCGAAGGCATCTACACCATTCTAGACATGCACACCGTTCCCGGCGGCCAAAACGGTGACTGGCACTCAGACTCCGCCCACCACGTTGCCGAGTTCTGGAACCATAAGGATTTCCAGGACCGCTCAGTGTGGCTATGGGAGAAGATTGCCGAGCACTTCAAAGGGAACCCGTGGATTGCCGGGTACAACCCACTGAATGAGCCTTGCGATCCTACACACGAGAGGCTGCAGGCCTGGTACCATCAGGTCTACCCGGCGATCAGGAAGATCGACCCAGACCATATCTTGTTCCTGGATGGAAACACCTTTGCGTCAGATTTCTCGCACTTTGATGTTGAGGAAACATGCAAGAAGTGGGAGAACACTGTGTACTCAGTGCACGACTACTCAAACTACGGGTTCCCGGCCTCTTCAGAGACATACACCGGTACCGAGGAGCAGAAAGCGAGGATAAAGCGAAGCTATCTCAGGAAGGTACAGTGGATGAAGGAAAACAACCTCCCTATCTGGAACGGAGAGTTCGGCCCGGTGTATGCCAGGAAGGAGTACGACGGAGAGGAAGAAACCCCAAAGATCAATGACAGCAGGATCACGCTCCTCAAAGATCAATTGGAGGTTTATGATGAGGACCGAATCTCATGGAGTATCTGGCTATACAAAGACATTGGGTACCAGGGTAAGCATATTCTCCCCAAATCGATACGGCCAGGAATTAACCGTATGGAAATCAAATAGGAATGGTCTATATCAACCCTGACACACCTTATATGAAGCTCTTCCGTGGCTTCCTCGACAAGAAATTCCGCCTTGCTATCGACGCCTGGGGTGCCGATGACTCCAAGATTCGCGACGTCATGGAGCCCTTTGAGCAGTTCATCACCGACAACGTTGACCCCAAGTACCGCAACCTCTACCCATCCCCAGTGTGGAAATTCAAGGACCGTATCGCCCGTATCTCGCGCAACATTCTATTAGCCGAGTTTATGGTCAAGGAGTGGGCGGACCACTTCGAGGGTATGGATGAGAAGCAGCTAGATGAACTGGCGCAGAGCTTCAAGTTTGAGAACTGCGTCCACAGGGATAGCCTGAATAAGGTGTTGAGGGACCATAGGGGCATAGCGTAGAGTTTAATGGGTTGTACTTAGCGTTTTAGTTTTTTTGTATTTTTGGAATGGAAATCTTTTGTGGGTCCATATAGTTCTTTGCGTGGGGGTGGGGAGTCGGCTATTGTGTCGAAGCACAACTAATCACTCGTTGCATTAACTTGGCTTGGTGGGCGTGACCTTCAATATTTACGGAAAATCCAAAATTAATACATATACCGATGGCTGAGAAATGACATCTGAATTAAACAAAAAAAAAAAAGAAAGAAAAAGAGAAAAAAAGAGTAATAACATCGAAGGGTTAGGGGTTCTGCTTCATCTTGCACACTGCCAAGATCAAATATCACTTTCAGCACAGCATCCACTATGGGCGGGTGGTCTAGTGGATAGACTGCTCGTCAGGCTAGACACCGAGCGTACCCAGGATACAACCACACACACATAAGGTCCTGGGTTCAAACCAGGGGTGGGGGTAGCAGTCGCAAATGTCTTAATAAGTCGCTGCAGTACCTTTTGTAGTTTTCTAGATCGGACCTTTTGTTCATTTTTTCTTTTCCTGATTATCCTTGTGCTCTCGGCGTGCCATCTTGCATCATGTGTTAACGCAGAGTACGTATACCGAGAACTGTGTCATTTTAGACCTTTCCCCTAATCTAATATTAACTATGTTTACATAAAATTGGTTGGGGAAAAGAAAAGATTTAAGAGTAGAAAGTGTACTCTGCGTGACCAGACTTCTTAATCTCTTCATGATGCTAAAATAAGAATAGATGGTGGTTTTATAAACCAATTCTTGTAATCCCCATCTTTCTGGTTTATAAGTTCTACAGCTGTGCCGCTACTCAACCAATTAAGCAACCGGCCAAAGAATTTAATATTTGAGTTTTCTCAGGATATACAAAGAGAAAAATTAAACCCAGCCAAACTTAAACATGTTGTCACACAAACAATCTTTCAAACGAAAATGAGAATCCAACAATCATAGGTGATGTTTGAGGTAAAAAAGAATACATGTGGCATTGAAATAAGAAATTGGGAGGGTTGAATGAAATCATCTACATCTACGCATATCTACCACGACGTTCGTTGTTCATGCTTGAGCGAGACTGCCGCTGGCGAACAGCCCTGTACTCACGGTCGTGGTAGATATCGTTCTCATCTTCGTATCTAGCCCTCTTGCCGCCAGAAATCCTCCTCCTATTATCCCTCTCCCCTCCCCCCTTTTCTCCCGTTCCTTCTCCTTTTCCTTCTCTTTCTCGGACTTATGGTTTCTTCCACGATCCTTGATCCTTTCGTAGTTGTCGACAAGTTCTGCAACCCCAAAACGGCCCTCTCGCCTGGCCTTTGTGGTGACAGGGAGTTCATCCTTTTGAGGGATGCCGAAACGCTTTGCGCGCAAGGAAAGCTTTTCGGCCTCACTGAGTTTGGCTATGCGCACAAGGGTCGGCATAGAGCTTGGGGCTGCACTAGCGGCTATTTCCCTGGTAGGATTTTGCTTTGCTGAGACTGTAAGGGTATCTGTGGGTTGAAAAGAAGAATGGGCTTTGATTGGATGGCCATTTGACTTTGACGATTTGGTAGATGCCTTGGCTTCAGGAAAAAGTGACGCAATCGAGTTGAACTTAAATCCGGACTTGGTAGTCTTAAAGGATACTGATTCAGTGCGGGGTTTGAAGTCTCCGTCTTTTTTAGAGAGACTGCTCGTAACGCCAGTGGTTGCAACTGCGTTTATCTCTTCAACGATGGACGTGATGGTAGTGGTTGGGGAAATTTTAAGGTGATCGAGTGTTGCGGAAGAAGCAGCACTGCCGGCAGAAACAAGATCACTGGGACTCATGGTGACAATATTACCAGTAGAGGCGCCAGGGTGGATTGTAATGGTAGACGTAGGAGGAAGCGCAATTGAAAAAGGCTTGGTGGATGGATTGATAGTCTTTTCTTGTGCTGGGTAGAACTCCGCCGCAAGGGATTTGTATTTGAAACCAGTTTTAGTGACTCTGTCGATAGGAAGGGAGCCAGGAACAGTAGCTGTCGTTTCGGTTTCGGAGGGGTTCTTGTCAGTAGTAGTGTCCGATTCAGAAAAAACAGAAGTAGATAACTCTGACTTTGGGATACTGAAAGAAACCTTGGGGACCGGCCCAGACCTTGGTGCAGGGGGCTTTTTGGATTCGGGGTCAGGAGTTTTGCTAGTCTTCAGTGCTACATCGCCATAGGTTTTCTCCCAATTGGCGTAGTCCCCCTCATCACTGGTAAGGATATCGTTGGAGAAGAGCGATGAACGACTGATGTGAGTATCCGAGACCGGAAGCTGAGGGGTTGTAGTTGGCTTTGGTCTTTCTAGCCTGGAAATGGCAGGAGAATTATGAAGCTGTGGTGATGGGGATGGATCATGAGTGTGATCATACTCCTCTAGGCGACTGATGAGAGCATCTTTCACTCCGAGAAGCGAGAGGCCGCGGTTTCTAAGCAGCTCGATGAGTTCGAGTTTGGTCAAATCGGTATAATCTTTCATAATTATGAAGGGGTGGGATGATGAGAGATGGAAAGGAAGAAGGGAAAGTTTCGACGAAAAGGACTGATGAAGTGTTGAGTTCTGAATGATGATGGCTATGATGATAGATGGTAGGTGATGTGACGGTGGATGTCGGGGGATGGTAGTGGTTGGTGGTGGTTGGTAGTGGAGTGTGGGCGTTTCGGCAACCTTGACGTGGACGGCGGAAGGGTCGTATTGACCTAGACTCACCAAAGCCAAAAACGGTTAAATTAACAGAGAGGTAGGCCGTATATACAAGGTGAAGATAGCCTTCTATTCTGTATGTTGGTAGGCCTTAGCCGTTGTGTCTCTTGAGAGTGAACATCGGAGCCCAGTCTGCGCCAGGGGTGGTGCGAGTGCTAGCTTATGATCAGGACGACCTCTGAGGGCTCATCTAATAACATGGTCTGGAACCGTCAACTTTGTGGCATCTAACTACATGTATCAACAATCAGAAAATTCAAAGAAATTGTATGCAATTCATTACATAACAGACAGATCCTTTTAGAGGAGATTCAGGTAGTAGAATTTGGTATTTCGGTTTTTTTTTCCCCTGGACTCGACCAATATTACAAATTTATTTATAAGAAAGACCTGCACACAAACTTTTAATGGTTCTGACACCACCCATGCCCGCTATTATCTCTATACATGTTCTAAGGTTCTAATTACCTATCCACCGCCCGAACAGAGCGACGTAAAATAGAATCCGAGTGTGAGACCAAACTAGAAGGCCTTAAATACCGGATCACCCTACTTACGAGCGTTACTTTGAACCTCGCGGTCTTCAACACGTACTGACTCTTAACAGTTTCTCCTATTCAGGTTTAATTTGACCATCGACTTTCGAGTTTTACAGTTATATTCTGCATCTACACACCAGTGGCAGCATGATTAACGAATTTTTTGAAGTCATGACCGAGAAGTACACTCCGTTCGACTGGAGCAAGAACTATGAATGGAGCACCTGGCCTCAGTTAACTAGGAGTGGGGCCGGGCATGGCTCTAGTGCACCAAGTCGGTATATCCAGGATCAGGAAGAAAACCAAAGCTTCTTCGAAGGGTTTGGTCCCCTTCCCAGAGCTAACGAGGCCAGAAAAACAGTCTCTCCTGTGGACCGTAAGATGGTAAGCAGACTATACACACTCTACCCTAACTTCACACACCGCGAAGCTAAACGATTCTCACAGTTGCTGAACTACTTACACTCCACTATACACGAGGTCGAGCTACCGCAGACCAGAGTTTTCGAACCGGAGCCAAGGCCTATGTTAATTAGGCCTAAAATATTTTTTGAATGGGGGTGGTTGAGGCCACTAGAAGACGGGGGCTGGGAGGGAGGCCCCTATGAATTTCCCGAAGACCCGGGTGACATCGATATCGATTATTAAATGATTTTTTACTCCTCTATCTTGGTTTCTCTTGGTTTATATACCTTTGATTTTTTCGGTTTCAAATTTCTCCCTCTATTATTTTTAAACCCTAGTTAATTCTCTTTGGTTAATACTAAAGGCCGTGCACGTACACGTGTATTTTAGAAAATATAATGAATATGAGATCACAGTATACTATCAATGTCAGTCCATACTCCAATCAAAGCTTAGTTAGTACTGAGGCGCCTATAGCTATCCGCAGTAGATAATCCATATTCACCGAAAACCAATTAATTCAAAGAGGCCCAAAACCACAGATTTCTTTCACCATGGCCATGTTATCAGCCATGTGCGGGAAATTCTGACAGGTGGGGCGCGACGTAGCTTCTAGCAGGTACACAAACTATATATTACATACGGCCCCAATCTGTGCTATTTTTGCGTAACTAAATATGGCCATGATTTTTATTTGAAGTGGGTGCTTGATTGATTGATTACTTCATTAGCTGTATGCAATGGAGATATATACTTGGCCATGCCCATGACAAGGGCCACTTAGACAACGGACAAACTAGATAAATATATTCATTGAGACTCGGAGTCAAGCTTTAAGCTACAAGGACATGTAGTACGTGGATGGTCAGCACCCAAACCCAACCAAAATTTTGAACTTGAAGTTAAAATAATACATTGGGGCAATTAAAGTACATTCAGGTTATCCCTAGTTAAGCTGTCGATGCTGAACCCCCTATAACAGAGGAATTAGATTTATATGACAGATCTATTATTTGATGAGAATCTGTTAGTAAAGCCACACCAAACTTGCTTTTTTTTTTGGTGGGTCAGCATTTTCGCGACAGCTTAAGGGATAATTGAGTCCCGAATATATATATATCAAAATGCCACCATTTCTTGAATTCACATTATTTACTAAAGCTATGTTGCTTGCATATACAGATATTCGTTAATTTGAATGATTATCCCTAGTAGTTAACAGTATTAATAGTACACAAATCTAGCTAGATAACTTGCTAAATTGGTCAGGGGGTTAAAAAAATAGATGACCAGAGTCAATCAAGATAACAAGTCTAATAAATTCTATTGATATTACTGAAAAAAAGGATACAATATATGTACGCGCAGGTACTACATGTAGGTATCTATGGGAATAACAAATTTGCCAACTCTAACAGTCATAAATGAAAAAAGATTAAGAAAAACAATTGCTATAAAAGCACATAAGGTGTCCTAAATTCCAAGATCATTGATATCCATATGCCTGTGTTGGTCCCCCACCGAGTCCTGCAGGCCAGTGACAATTAGTTAGTAAATTATGAAGGTAAGGAGAGATCACAACCACTTACCAGCCGCTTGTGCCAAATACCAGCTTCTACTCGCGCCCCCGTCCAACCACTCATTCTTAAACCCCTCCTGTGCAAAAAACAGCCAACTACTTTGTGGCTGGAACAGTGCAACATTTGCATATAATATGCCCTTCCAGCCATCGTTAATTCCTGCTGTCCTGTTCGAGAACCACTGGTCCCACTCTTCGCGGCAGAATTGGGCGTCTCTGTAGTAGGCAGATGCAGGAGTCAGTGGGATCATATGGATCCCTTGTATGTATTCAATGTTGGCACCAAAATAGGTGGAGTGGTCCACTTTATTTTCGAATAGCTGAGGAATAGCCATATTAGTATGCATATATCATATTAACATGGAGTAAAATATATATAACTTACAATTCCAGTAACCTTATTCGCAATAAAGTTCCATGGATGCGCCTTGTTCCCGGCTTTTAGCAGAAAATACTCATTGAAACTCCGTTTCATCAATGCCATCATGAGATTTCCTCTCCCTTCGATCTTTGCATCACCGACTACATTGCCCCACAGTTTGATAGCGTAGCCGCAATTCATATCCTCAGAGGTAGATTCTTGGTCCTTTCCGTCGGCAGACTCGAAAAGGCCTTTAGCCCAAGAATGACCGTTGTACCAGTCAAAGGCTCGGGAAACAGGATACCACGGATCAGATGAGGATGGATTTGCCATCTATCAAAGTCAACCTCCGATTTCATTGGGGGATGGAGTAAACTCACATCTCTGAGTAGAGTTTCGAACCAGGGCCTGTTAGTTTGAAGCCAGGCCTGATTATTATTCAATTCCTTGTCTAGTTGCGCAATCGCAGCACCAGTGAATAGGAAGTAAGACTATAGTGTCAAGGGTTAGTAATAGATACCGATGTAATGTAATAACATATAGTTCATACCCAATGGAAGTGGTGATCATTATAGTAACCGTTCCCAAAATCCGACATAGCATCACCGTTGGTGAACATCGCACCTGAAATAACCCCTCTCCAAGTAACTTGAGCACGGAAATATAGTTGTTAGTCACGAACACTTCATATATTACGAATGGGGTGGGCGTACGGTCATAAACCAACGGAAACTGTTGCTTGTTTGTCAAAAAGGGCTGAAAAGCTGATTTCAGCCTTTCTAATCCCCTTCTTGCTAAATCTTGTTGGCCGATACGTGCGGCTACAATAAGCAGCTGCGCGAACTTTTGAAAACCCTGTACGAATACAGTTAACTATGTACAATTCACGAGAAAAATTAGCGCATACCTTTCCACTAAAATACATACTGTTCAGGTATGTTTGTCCTCCCATGTCCTGCGCCAACTCTTGCTCTAGTATCGGTTTAATCACCGCAATCTGAGCAGCGGTGAACGGTGTTCCCCAAAAAAATCCAGTACCGGTTGGCATACTCGGCTCCACCAAGGTCCAACTATCCCCAATCAGTGCCTCTGAATTTCCCTTCGTTGGGCTGTTCAATTGCAACCCAGTTCTCATAGCAGTAACCTCGGAGTCAAGATGATGTTTCAACGCATATGTCAATAAACCATTTGCATTGTTTGACCCATAACGGGTCCACTTGAAATGGTATGTCCCAACAGTTCCTTCGGCTACTCCGGAGATCTCCATGCCTATGGGGAAGGCGCCTGCAGTGGAATCAATGACTCCTTCGAGACCAGCGTTCTGCGTACCGTCTTTGCTGAGCTTTGAGATCTGTAGAAATCCCGTGAAAGAAGACGATGCAGAGATTTCACTATTACTTCTCAAAGATAGGTTCAACCGGGTGCCAGTCTCACTATAGGCGTAGAGAAGCCAGATACTGTTATCTTCTTCGGTGATTCTCCATTTCTGAAGACCAGACCGCGGCGACTGAAGTTCCTCGAATTTTCTAAACAATACTCCCGTGGTGAGTTTGGGAGTAAGATCCTTATATCGTCCAGTGATGAAGCCCATGCCTTGGTATAAGGGCATTTGGAGCCTTTTGGTATCAAGGCCATACTGGGAGACATCTGCATGAAGATTAAGTTCAACAGAGACATGTGTTGGGTTACTCAGAGTTGTAGTAGATCTCGAGAAAGAGAATTCCTGAGCACCAAAGGTGACGGAATTAATTCCCAAGGCGTTGATGTAGAACCTGATGGGGTTATCATTTGGGTTGTCGCCAACTCCCTAATCTAATGTCAGCTGCTCGTTTTTGGCCATATTTCAAGAAATAACATACTCTTTTATCCTCGGTGGCATGAGAAATACTTGCCCCAAAGTTACTCGCCGTGGCGGGATCTCTGGGGACCCAGAGCATGTACGGAATGGTCCATACTCCCATATTCCTCTTTCCCAAAAACAAGTTCGAATAAAACCTTCAAAACACCAAGTCAACAACATAATTTACTAGTTAATTTTAAGGTATTCTAAGAGGCAGGGCATACTTATTTGTTGATACTGGGACATCTGCACCTACAGTATCAAACGAAACTCTTGGCAGTTTATTTTGAACCTTGGTAAACATTCCCAAGGGAGCTGCTGTTGATATTGGGCTATCAAAGAGCTGCGTACTGGCGACCGTGCATGGACAGAATGAAGACATAATGGGATTTCTGCAAAAACCGTCGGGTATACAGATGTCAATTGCCTGAGGAGCTCCGGACTTACTTCCTGAAGTACTCGTGAAAATCCAACTTTGTTGCCACTGAAATTCGATGCTCTGGCTATTGAATGCGGAGCGACGTAGCCCTCGATGTGCTACTGGTGCTGGTGCGCTGTTGACTGGTGGTGGAACGAGGGATATAAACCCTAAGAACCAAATAAAGGTTCGAAATACTTGTTGCATTGTCGTTAGTTTGGCTATTTCTTTCATAAAGCAATGGATTTAAATATAGAAAACAAAGAGAAAGTTGGATATCTGGGAATCAAAAAAGTGTTGTTTGATGCGGGAAAGGGGAGAGGTCAATGGCAAGTTTGCAATTCCTTAATTATTCAAACCGTGTCCTTTTAATGAAGTAAACGTATCTAATTAGAGCCGGAAGAACACTCATGACCTAAGGGTTAGATACATGTAGTTATGGAATGACGTGACCTTAAATATCCTTCGATATTTTTGTTGATTAGGTGTATGTACTTGAAGTATATGTCGAAACCAAGTTGCTACATATATATGTGCGTGTATGTGTGTAGGCCATGTGTGGGGATCGAGTGACAGAAGGTGCCAGGGAAATCGATTCGAGGTGATAAAAGCTTCCATGTCGAGGGCAATAAATAAAGAATCGAAACAAGTATTGTTGAGTTGGTAATCTCCTTAAGATTTCCCATAGCAGGACATTCCTCCGATAACTACTTAAGATGTAGTTCTCATTCCGAATATGTATGTCGTACAGAGACCCAAGATATCGGGAATGTCTCAAGAGGTTGGATCTCCATGCCAGGTGCACAGACGGGGCGCAGGAACAGCCGCAACAGGAAAAGCAGGAACAAAAAAAAAGAAAATACAGGGGCAAGTAAAATAAAGATAGATCAAGCGTAGCCAGCAAGTAATTAATGAGATAACTGTCATATCCTACCTCTAAAGGTTTCTAAATTTGTGTTGAAATATTGTTGATGTAACCTTTATGCGAATTAAAAGATACCCAGATTGTACGATTATTGCAAGTTTTATTCGAGCTGTTTGTTGAAATTCGAAGGCTAGAGCTTTAGGTCTAAAGATATAGTTGCTTGATACTAGGAGAATAGATAAGTGTTGACGGAATCTGCACAGCTGCTGACGTATTTATATCTGTCCTCTTGGATGTTGGGTTGTGGTGACGTGAAGTCAAATTAAAGAAGAACTACGCGCGTGCGCGGTATGGAATCAACATCCATGCATCAGCCTCACCTCATGCCGATCTCCCCCCACTTATTTTGACTAGATTGATCATTTTCATCCTTGGATATCTATCTAGCTTCTGAGATGCTTGACTGCAAGTGCGGGTGATCTTCAATGTGCAGATGCCATACTCGTGGTTTGGGGCCCTGTCTGCACTTACTGGTTATTCTTACGTACAGTGTAATCATCTACTATGTACTAGAATACACTTTTTCTTAATTCGTTGCGGTCTGATTGGTCGACACCGACATGGGTGTTTAGTAAGCATGACACATCAAAGTACTGAGCACTCGAGAGGAGGAGGACGGGGGCCGAAGGCCTCTCATAATTCTAGAGGGAGAATTAAACAGAGGAGGTGGAATGGGGGGGCCGAAGGCCCCCATCGAAGGCCTTCCATAATTATTTGATACCCATAATCCAATAACTCGCGGTCGCGAGTTGGCACACCCCTAGTATGTGCGTACAGTTCAGTCTATCTGTGAAAGCTGTTTCTCGGCTATGCCAGTGGGCGGGCCTTCCCCGTTGCCATCGAGCACATGCTTCCATTACACGTCTGGGACATCTCTAAACAGTGGTGGATATTAGAGGGAATTTAGCACATTTGGATGCTGGGTTTGCCATGGCACGATAAGGAAGCTGACGAACGTGGCTGCTGAACAGGAAACCGTGTCTCGTGTACCTGTACAAGATTTCACTAGTCTCGCGCCAGGGCTACATGGGGCCCTGGGGTAGGGGTTGAGGGTTAGGGGCCTATTTACCCTAATTGGGTATACTTTTGGAACTCTTAATATTTGACTACACTTGTGCTTGCAGCCTACCTGATATTGGGAAGACTGCACGTAATACATGTAGTTTATCCTTAATATAATGGCGAATACCTAACTAACATACACATTGTATATAAATATCTCTATATTTATTACATATAGAGATATACTAGTGGATGCCGCGTATATTAGTATATTTAGAGGACCTACATGTACATGTAGTAAAAGCCTTCGAAACTTGTACTTCCCCGCATCTCTTGAATCTCTGCGTGACCCTCAACTTAAGGTCGTTCTCAACTCTTATTACTTTATTAACCCTAGTATCATATTAACCGAAATCTTGTGTTGAGCCCACGAGTTAATTACCCGCTCAACCGATGGTAGGGATAACAATCAGCGGGCTTGTGGGACGTGAAGAGGGTGTCCAGATTTTGAAAGTATTGCAATAACCCAGTACTAGGGCAGACTGTCCAATGATTTCTCTGTTCCTCGAAATACTTCATAGCCAATCCCCTCGTATCCGTTAACCTTGTAGTATTATCCTCCAACTATTTACATGTGATAATTGCACCTTTCGGGTTCTGACAACAACTACTAAGCTAACTGCATCTGAAGACTCAACCCTAAGACCATGCCCCGCAAAAACACAATAGACATCACTTAAACGAAGGCTTCATCAGATGGCCGGTAAAGAAAGTTTCAACGAATACAAGGTTCATCTCATGAAGATGACCACAGAGGTCGAAACATTTCAAGACTCCCCCGGTGAAATGTCCCGAATAGGAACTATATCCGGGGCATGATCGATCACGAATAAAGCGGTCATCTTGAGAGTGAGACTTCAGTATATATTATACACTGATATAGACCTTCCCGTGATCCAAGTATATGGTTGAGTCAGTCGCAAGCTTGAAGCAGCAGATGCGACGGGAACATTTGTGTCTGATCTGATAGAGGTATGAAGGTTTTGTGATGATTTGAGATATATTTTCAAATATACAAGACGTTGGCTATACATAACGAATTGATATGAAGCCGTTAGTATTATGGCCAGCAATCTTCAGAACATGTCGACAGTTCGCTACGTTGTCATATGGGGGTTGCGAGTGATGGCTTATGCATTGATGCTGACGTTATGAGACTGCGTGTAGTTGCTATTTCTGGTACGCAAGCTAACTCATCAGCAAAGGAAGGTTTCTGAATGTTCATAGGATCAATTTACAGGGTACGAATATGGGAAGATATGCTGTATTGACCCTAAGGTTCTAAAATTCCATGCTTTCACCACATGATGAATATCCGGGGAAACTTGACATGATGTCTTATTGATCAAATGCTTAAAGGCCTCAACTCTAAAACAACTTCAATGCATGAAATATATCCTGAACTACACGTAGGTTCTACATACCTAGATCTCGTTATCGAATAGTAAGCCAATAACACCTTTACAGCCCCAAATCCTACTCAAACCTTTTAAAAGATAACTCATGATCATCATGATGCTGACTATTTAACTACAGGTGACGATATATGTCATGGCTGGTCTAGATCTATTGAAAACATCTCATATGATGAACTCAAAGAAATAGTTACCCTTACCTGATAAACCATGATGGATCATATTACCCTCCAAAGCCGTGTTTTATGGCAGGTCAGCTAGGAGATGTTTACGGAAGCAGGATTAGGTATATTAGTATGAAATATACTCCAAAATCCTAATAATATAGGCTCGGCGGCGCTTTATCGTCAATACGGACGAGGGGAAAGTTCCCCACGTAAGGTTTTCTTTCTTTATAATCGGAGATCAGTATAGACAGTAGATTAACATTCTTCTTCAGATATCTCATGACTATGCTTCCAGTATTTCGTATATATACCACTATTAAGCAATGATCAATAGGGTCGATCGGCTGAACCCTGGCATGAAGAAGTCCGTCGATACAGCTGAATCATGACATGCGCACCCCAGAGTTAGTTGCCGAACACTAAATCTCGAAACAGAATGATCAACTATAATGAAAATCTAAGGGATTTACTATGCCAAGACTCTGGAACGCTCAAGGATGGGGTAAAAAATCCCCTTAAACGCAAGCGACTGTGTGTTTGCCTACAAACAGGCTGGTGCTGATCTTTACATTGCGCACATATGTCCCCTCGACTATACCTGCTTGGAGCTAAAAATAGAAACTTGGAAGCTGAACATTACCACGTAATGCGGAACAAGCCGAGAGAAGGAATCCCACCTTCTTGACAGCTGCAGCTGTAACCTTCGAAGTCTGTAAACCTTAACCATAACTATTGAGAGTCATTAGCTGCATGTACTTTGTTTCTACGACCGAAGCACCTGGGTGATGACCATATGTATGATCAAATATTTCGATCCACGAGGGCATATTCTTTATGTTCTGGACGCAGAAGTAGGGAAGCTTTCATAATCTAAAGGAAGTAACGACTCACGGGTCGCGGACGAGCTTATGTGGACTTAACAAGGTTGGTCTGATGCGTTCCCAAAGTCGGAGGTGAGATTTACTTCTTCGTACGCAAATATTCTCAACAGCAACATCTCGTTGTCGTTGCCTTGTACGAGTGAAGAAACGAGCGGAGAGTAGAGAGATAATCTGCGAGTGATAAACTATGACGTCAACCCCGGCAGTCGAATGATACCTAGTTAAACCCGTGTAGACAGCATGCGGCCCCACCAAATTCATAGATCTCACCTCAACGCCCGAATCACAAACACATTGGCTCATTTTCTTCTCTCAGCCTGGAGTACGTGTATTCTAAGATGCATCGAGTGCTTGTGACCTATCGCGAGGCTTTCTTGTGGCGGCTTATTGCACTTTTGAGAGTCATTCCAATGTTAGTTTAAACTTCGAACATGACCGAAACTCTGCGAATTTGTAACATAAATGTTCCTCTGATCGGTCCATAAGAGAGCTTGAGTGAGTACAAGGGCTGAAAAGGACGCTTCACTTCAAGGTATATTTTATGGTGGACTTCGGACCGGACGACTGAGGCACCTACATGACGTGCACACCATGACGATCAATTCCTGCGTCTAGTCTCCTCCCAGCTTCAACATGCGGTGAGATGTAATAGAGAGAGATTTTGCATTCTTCGACCAGATATGAAGTGAGCATACAGGCTGCGAGACCTCCTATGCACAAATCACAGAGAATAGTAATGAGGCTTTGCTCTTTGCTTGCTCCTTTGCATCCGACTACCTATGCGTCGAGAACACCTAGAGCGAGTTGGTTAAATAGATTTATGCACCCAGTGACATTAGCGTTGCCTGATGGAATGCTTAAGGCGCTTAAGATATCCGAGATTTAGAAATCTGATCTACCTGCACTCTCGCGGTTCGAAAACCACGTTGTCGGATTCTGCAAAACCTCCTTAATAATTGAATGAGTTCGCCCCCATGGCGTATGCAATAAACATACATGTAGTTATAATTAGTCCGCCGAGAATATGACGAACCCAAGCCGGATATCTCTCAGAGGCGGTAATTGCAATATGAACTTGAGCACTATGTGCTTAGTAAATTGCGAATGGGATTGGGACCGGATACGGACCTTTTGAATGGCGCGCCGCCCGTGCGGCTGGACCGGGCGCTGCCCTAGGCCGGTCGGAACACCGTTCTTCTTCGCCATCAGATCGCCGACTGGGATCGGGGTTTCATTTTGTCGGACAACTGGATTCCACTGAATGTAGTGGATGGATGTATGTAAGCACTAACTAATGTATGTTTATATGTACGTAAGCCAGTACATATACTCATGTATCATCACTCGGCTGGCCGTCTGAGCGAATGTATGCCCGCAGAACAGCATGTGCCTACACACGTGGCTGCAGATGTATACCGCAGCCGACAAACATGTCCTTATTGCTCGATCCTAACCAAGACATATACAAGTGCATCATGTACGGTTATATCATTCTGGTGGTGCGGTTCGATCGATTCAAAATGCTATCATACTCCTACCCCACATCACCGCTTGTTTTACGCACATATCTGCCCTTCGCTTGGCCAGAAAACCAGGCTTCCAAACATGGAGACGATATCATGACGTAGGTAAACTTCCTTTCGCCAGATTGGATACTCTCTTGGTATTTATAGTTACAGCTACATAAACTGGTGGCAAACGTACATACCCCGCTACGATCATCAAGAGGAGGTAGGAGGAGTTTTCAGCCCTAGAAACATTGGGCTTACATGTGCTGTATTTCAAACCACCGCCATTCGCTCACTGCCCAGGTATCAAAAACCAATAGTGGACCAGTTACGAGCTTTCCACTCTACTCGAAATTTCACAGCGTTTGTGGACACGGCCGCTATTGCATGCCATACAAAAAAGGTGTCTTGGTGGTTTTTTGTGTGTATTCAATAGCGGTCGTGTTCACAAACGCTGTGAAATTTCGAGTCCTGGTATTTGCTACGGAGTCTATTGATCATTGACTGTCGCAACCACGGCCACCGTTAACAGACTTTTTCGTTGCTTCGAGTTCAATAAGAAGAAAAAAATAACAGTGAACGACAGTACCTGCGTTAGAACAGGATGCAGCATGATAACTACACACATATGATGACGGCAGATCCCGATGAGCATACGACAAAGTGGAAAACTTCAGTCCAGTGTACTCAAAGGCCTTCGCCAACCTCCGAATCAAACATCCATTTAGAGGAGAGAGGAGAGTGGTACTTTTACTAGGGCGAGGAAACTTGCTTATCCATACTACATAGTACTACTACGTTTTTATCCCCAATTCTCCAATATGGGAATGTTACACAAGATGGAGGGGTTTCTCACTTACCTATTATGTCGATCCGCGGTGAAAGATATCCAATCAATTACTACTATCATGGAGAGCGAAAAATTATAGAGAATACCTACCTAGACGGTCAACTGAGTTTTGAAATTACCACAAAAGGGAGGTATGAAGTATCACTGGCGATATCGGAGTGCCTACACGATGTAGGTACTCCCTTGAGCCGTGCCTCTCCAAATTTATTTCCTGGCTTGCATGCGGGTTTAATCTTTTAGGGAGGTAGATGGAGATGTTAAAGTAAAATCGAAGCGTCATACACTGAACTCTTACTTGAAATGATGGCCGCTATTAAACATAAACAGCATTCACGAACCAACCACCGCTGCGAGCAGATAACACACCAAGATTGGTCCTCTTGGCACCGGGCGTTTCTTCCGTATGGGGAAGGCAATAAAGTTGGCCGAGACACAACAGCCACCCAAGATAAAAATGATCATTGTTTTGTTTATTCCCTTGCTATCTACTCTATGTAGCTACCTGTATGTACCTACATGTAGGTACTAGTACCTAATCACCATCAGTTAACACCGATACCCGCGCTGGTAGTATTCGCCATCGGAATAATAACTAAACGACATATATCTAAGCATAAAACCTTATTTTCAACTATGCTTAAGGATGAGAGCGCCGACTGTAGACACGGGCACAATATCACGAGACAAGACCATGAGAACGCACGGGTTAGGAGGAAGGAAGACAGCGAGGACAAGGGGAGACGCACCATGCACCACCTAAGATCTTCATGCACAGCCAAGGGTTGCGGGATGATGATAGTAATAGCAGATATCGATATACATAGTAATGCATGGTTCATAGGTAACTCCATTTCTAGTCGGTGGAGTGGCAATACAGACAAGCTGTTCCCCACATAGAAGGTCGTGTTAATTGCACCAATCGATTGCTTTCATGGTCCGGTGCAATGCCATTCACAATTTCAGTATGCTTACTATTGTTGTATTTGTCCCAGGTTATGTCTCAAAGCACAGGCGATATCGTACCTACATACATGAGCACCTGCTGCGGTGCTCTGCTAGCCTTCGGTGCAGGAGCCTTTCCCGGAATACCTCTCCCGGGTATTGATACATATATAAGATAGCCCTTCCAGCTGAGCAATATTTCCGCTCTTCACCGTTGGGACTCTCTTTCTTCCACCTAGCACCGAGGAATTCTTTACCCATCACGATGAAGACTTTTGCAACCACAATTGGGTTTTTTGCCCTCGCTGTCTCTGCTGTGCCTTCCACTTATCGCCGTCCTGGTCTTGTACAGAGCAACCAATTGAGACGTGACCTCATGCGATCGGCACTCCTTGAGCATGCAAAGAAGCTGCAAGAGTTTGCAGAGGTGACTCCTGAGATTACTCGTGTCGCCGGCAGTCGCGGTCATAACTTGACCGTTGATTATATCTATGATACTTTGGTTAAGACTGGATACTATGATGTCGAGCTCCAGCCATTTACCTATGTGTTTTCGGAGGGCAATGTGACCATCTCAGCGGCCGGTACTTCGTATGAATCACAGTACTTCCAGTACGCTCCAGGTGGGACTGTTGAAGCTCCTCTGATCTCTGTCTCAAACTTTGGTTGCGACGCTGTGAGTACTTTATCCCACATCTCCACAGACTGTAGTGACTTATTAACCTCCAAAACATAGGCTGACTTCCCTACAACTGTTTCCGGAAACATCGCTCTTGTCTCCCGAGGAACCTGTGAATTCGGGTTGAAAGTAGCACTCGCAGGTGCTGCCGGAGCCAAGGGAATCATTATCTATAATAACGTCCTGGGTCCTGTAGGTGGTGGAACTCTCGGTCCTGATGAACGTCCCGAGGGGAAATATATCCCCGCCGGCTCGCTCTCTCAGGAAGACGCTCTCAGCTTGATATCTAAGCTCAACAATGGCACCTCAATCACCGCAAATCTAGATGTTGACGCCCTCATCGAGACCCGTTACACCAACAATGTGATCGCAACCTCCAAGTGCGGAGACCAATCCAACATTGTCTTCTCCGGCGGCCACACCGACTCAGTCCAAGCCGGCCCTGGCATCAACGATGACGGCTCCGGGTCCATGGGAATTCTGGAGATTGCGCTTCAACTGACAAAGTTCACTGTCAACAACGCCGTCCGCTTCGGCTTCTGGTCCGCTGAGGAGTTTGGTCTCCTTGGCTCCGAGCACTACATTACCACCGCCCCGGCCGAAGAGCTTGCCAAAATCTCGCTTTACCTTAACTTTGACATGATTGCCTCCCCCAACTTTGGATACTTTATCTATGACGGCGACGGTTCAGCTTTCAACACCACTGGCCCCGCAGGCTCTGACCACATTGAGCACCTGTTTGAGGACTATCTTGCCAGCGTCGGGATCAAGACCGCTCCTACAGAGTTCGACGGACGCTCCGACTACGGTCCTTTCCTGGAAGTCAACATCCCCAGCGGCGGTCTGTTTACCGGAGCCGAGGGCCTCAAGACCCCCGAAGAGGCGATCTGGTGGGGTGGTGAGGCAGGTGTCGCATATGATGTGAACTACCACGCTCCAGGAGACGATATCACCAACTTGAACATGGGCGCATGGATCCAGAACACGAAGGCGGCGGCGCATGCGATCGCGACATATGCGGTGTCGACGGAGGGAATCCCCAAGAGGACGGGGCAGCAGAAGAGGGGCGTCAAGTCGGATAAGCCAAAGGCAAGGTGCGGCGAGGACATTCCCATTGCAGTGATGTAAAGTGTAGATGCAGGTTTTTTTTTATTTTATATGATTGATGAGAAATGGTTTGGAATGTATATACCCGTCATGGACTTTCCGGCGATACGCTCGGGTGGGTTTAATGTAACAGGATGTATGAATGAAGCAATAAGATATTATGGGTTGTCAAAAATAATGGGACGCAACAGGCTTCATTGCAACGTAATAATCTCTCAACCACGACCGACCACAAAGAGACCACAAACAGGATAAGTGATAATTTGACAACCCGCAATACCTAATGGGACTTGAAAAACTTCTCGTCAACCTTCCTTCAGTGCGCATGGTTAACATGCGGCTTGTAGAGCAGCCATAAGGGGCCCAAAGTTAAAAACGAACTGGTGGTGTGTGTATGTGTCGTGTCGTGTCGTGGTCGACCGATCGAATTTTGGATGGTCGCTGGTGGAGTGGGCTTTAGCTAGCACCAATCTCACGTGAAAACAGCTAGGAGTAACCGGAAATCAGCGCGGGAAAACTAGTAGGACAAAGAAGGTTTGAATACCTCTCAGCTCGCGGCCGCAATAACGAGGCCGAAGGCGAGGTCGAGGTCATATATGTAGCCGCCCAACAAAATCACAGGATCCTGACCCTGTAGGCCATCGATCAGCTAAAGTAGACCGGCCCTCCATGTAGCTTCGTTTCAATACATGTAGCCTCGTTTCAATACATGTAGCTATATGTCGACTCCATATATGTTGATCATCAATACCATCTCTCGGGCCCAACGTAGCCACGACCACCGTTACCCCCGGCACCAAATCCAGTCTAGCAATATCACACTAATGGCAGAATCAATTGTAACCGGAAACAAATATCGAAGCTCCATGTATAGAGAGCACAAGAATGTGCTGTGGTTAGGCGGGTATATTGTACCCCTGGTCACCCACAGGGCTAGGGGTAGGCAGCTGATGTAGCAAATGAATGTTTGACAATCACCACCTATCACTCGCCGGGCGCCCCACCCCGCTAAACGGCTAAGGTCTAGTACACACCCCATCACTCGCCATGGAACTACTATACTAGCAAGACTCAAAGTCCTCGGGTCACGTGTAGGCTATTCTCTAGCTAGCATCATCATAGTGAGGACTAAGGTTGAGACTCACAGGACCCGGGGGCTTTGCGTCTTTGCTATGTAGTAGGGGATGTAATCAAATATTTAATACCCCCGCTTCTAATCTCCATTCTACATAGTGCGCACCCCTCCCCCGCGTTGTGTTGGCGCCGTCTTTGGCCCGGCCAATATTAATTGTTTGGGGGCCGTCTATCTAGTACACAGCTGATGACGCGTCTTACAAGGGCAGGAAGTAGCAGTATATACGCATTATCAGAACACCTATCATTCACCCCCGCGTACTTAATGCCGATGTACTTTCTATCGAATCTACATATCCTAACTCTGCGGGGACCCTCCCACCCGAAGCTCTATGAAATAAACAAAGAAAAATATCTGCATGCAGGTAGAGATAGTAACTGTTGAACTTGTTTGTACAAAAGAAAAAAGAACAAATCAAAAAAGGAACGCTTCCCCCCCCCTTTTTTTTAGCCGTAATAACGCCGTTTCCCGCTTGAAAATATCCCTTGACCCTCAAATACTCTACTTATCGGCCAATTCGTCCACCCTGATAGCGTCATCGTAGGCCGTAGGTACTCTGTAGACTTGATCCTCCCCATTGTAGAGCCTGTTCATCTCTAGCATGAGTCGCCAGACATACACAATCATGTCTTCACTAGAGCACAATTAGCCAGAGGCTCAGAAAAATAGTTGCAGATAGTTCTAGTAGTAGACTTACTTCCTCATATTCTTATCCGCCCAGTCCTTCCCGGCCTCCGCAATCGTCTTCGCCTCCTCTTCATGGGCCACAATCTCCGGCGCGCCCTCACCGCCTCCAAGAAAGTATCCCAATACATCGTACAGCTCATCCATCTTCGCACTGATGGGGACAAAATGGACCCACGGCACCATTCTCTCTGAGTACCACTCGTGGTAGATTGTGCTTTTTAGTGCTAGACTCTTTGACGCGATCAGTGCCCTCCATCTTGCGCTGTAGCCCCAGCCGTCAACGTCGATTACGTATTTCCATCTCCAGACCTCCTTCAAAGGCTTATGCTCGCCGAACTTGAAGAATGAGTTGAGGGCGTTGCATTCAAAGAAGTTACAGTTGTCCTTTGCGATTTCGACAAATGTGACGTTGGTAAATTGTTCGTCGTAGTCGGTCTTTGATATGTATTTTGCGAGCATATTGTTCTCTGCGTCTGCTCCAACAAGGGTGAAGTTTAGTTCTGTCCCTTCTGCTGGGGCGGGCATGGGCGGATTCGTCATTGTAACGAGTCTGTGACGGTGCATCTGGTATATACACTTAGAACCAATCGTATTAGGGTCACGTCAGGTGAAAGGGTGTTCTTACAGATCCAAATTCCTTGTCACCATAGCCGCCACCAGTGGGACTACCACGCCAGTATAATCCATTCTCCTTTTTATCCCAAGGCATATCATCCTCGGGGACATATTTATAGTCTGGGTTACCGCCATATTGGTAGCTTGTTGGGAAGAGAATATCGCTGTAAGCACTTGGAGCGCCGAATGAAAGCATTGGATAGAGACCTCGAGTGGTAAGGTGTGTCGTGCGGAATCCAGAATGATACTACAGCGATAAAACATTATTAGACCAATCATAAATATATCACTCGAACTATTCGAGTGATATCTTAAGAAAAAGAAGAAGGTGGCATACCTGAGTGAGCTCCGGATGATTGCAGACATCGATATCCTGTAACCACTCCAACCCCTCCAACTTCGCCATCTCCACTAGTTCCACCTCAACCTTCACACCATCCTCTTTGAGCTCCATATCATCCCATTCTTCATCTCCACTCTCCCCATCTTCCTTCTCTTCCATCTTTTTCGAAACTCTGAATGTTGGGTTTGCCTTCGCAAACGCACTGTCCTCCCCGCAAGCCTTCGCAATACTCCTGATCAGGCTCATCTCCCCAAAACCATGCGCCTCCCACACCTCCTTCGAGAACTCATATCCCTCTAACCCCTCCGCCTCTTTGCCTCCTTTCAGTACCATACTATTCAAATCACCCCCCAACACTCTGCTCTCCGCAAGCTCATTAATCACCACATCAAACTCCTTCCACCTCCGCTTCGCCAGAAGCTTCTCAACCGGCCTCAGCATCGAGATCAGTCCCTCCGTTCTCTCAGTCCTCGCCCCAGTTTTAAGTACCATCTCATACTTAAACTCATTCCCATCTCCACTGACGCGCAGCAGATTTACATCATTCGGTATGCGGTTCAGTATTGCCGTTCTCCGCCTGACCTCCTCCGGACCTAGCTTCCGGAAGGGAACGAGGGATTTCATCATCTCGTCAAATTCATCGATGAGTACTACATTTTGCGATTGTGCGTAGTTGAACCAGTCGTCAAATCCATCTGGGGGCGCCATGGAGTACCGGCGGCGGTATTCTTGTACTGCTTCTTCGAGTGTTTTGGATTGGCGGGACAGCATTGAGTTCCATTCTTCTTGTCCGGCTTTCATAAGGTCTGGGATGGTATGCTTAACATGATTCCCTCCATAGATATTGGTAAAGTTGAAGTCATTAAGATCGATATTCAGGTGTAATGTGAACTTGTGGAAATATACGACATAATAGAGGGTGAGTGAAAATGTGAAGATCGCAAAAAACGCAAGAAATCGAGTATGGAATGATATCTGTGGCCAGCCAGTACTGGAGCGGCTTTCCGGAAGGCCTAATCGGCGTCTACTAAATGTGTGTAGAGATATCATGCTGGCTGCCTTTGACCCTCCTCCTTGGAAAGAGCGATGGAGGGGACATCACATATCTATATGAGTGAAATATCTCCCCTGAAAAAGGAGAAACAATCACTACTGAATTAGTAAACTCTATGGTCTTCATGAACTTGCAAAGGCTCGTAACAGTCGCATGCAACACGTAATTGGAGGGCCTGCACTAGTTAACGGTGTTAGCAAGGGTTTATGGCTTTACGGGACGGGAGATGGACAAGGGGATACGTACGCCATGCCTTCGCTTTTTACTAAAGTCGGAAGTAATTACGACTGACGTGCCGGGATATCCATTTAGAATAACATGGTGGCCGCACCACTACTCCATACAAGTAGGATTGATAGACTAGCACATTACCGTGTACTTGGCTTATATAATGGGACATTTCAGCTTACAAGTACAAGCACAAGCCCGTACCCGCATCCTTTTCCTTCCCATCTTTTTCTCATTTCTCCATGTATTTCTATGGATAGATTTAAATTATACTGCCCTTGACGGCAATAGTTGGATAGAGCCCTCTTGGTGCCACCCACCCCAGGTTAGACATAGGACCGGATCGACGCCCTAATAGGGGCTATCAGATCACCTAAGTGGTATATTATGGCCTATATATGTTTCTCTATACTTCTTCATATAAACGCTTTTCTTTCCTTGCAAGTCAAGAATTAACGGGTGTGCTTTGTTGGTCGTACGTTCCGTGCATAGTTCCCATTTATAGCTGACAGCCACAGAAGCACATAGCACTCGATTTCGTGATTTGATTCAAAAGTTCCGTGAAATGATCCAGTGAGGAGGGGGGCAAAACTTTGTTCTAGTGTCTTCCCACTCTGAGCACTAATCGTGCATCAAGTCATTGATCGTTGAAGATTTCCTGGTCTACCTAAATGTGGTATCCGCATGCAAGCTTTTCCCCGAGTCCCGATCGTGGTATCGTTCCAACCCCCACGATAGAGATAGAGTCTCGGCAGCACTTGATCCGTTAACGCAAATCCTTGCTATCAGCACTTGGCAGGGGTAAATATTCAAAATCACGTGGTCGCTAATCACCAGTGAGTTAGGGAGGCTGTAGCTGAAACCCGGCCGGAGATTTGAGAGAGCCGCACTTCCCACAGGGACGATTGTTGAAACCGAAGTGTAGAAATTCTAGCTCTAGCTAGGGCCACATTCGAGAGAAAAATTTCATGATGGAGGCTATGCTTGTCTCAACTACTAACGGAACTTTCAAATGCTTATATTTTCTAGACCTAAGCAAGCCGCACGGTTGAGCGAGTAGGAAAGCCTGTAGGCGTTATAGCTGGGCACATTTGCGAGCCGATATACCAGGGACGTTGGATATTTGAGTCACTCTGGATCACTCGGTGGAGATGAAATTCGAAAATCCTTAGTAACGGTACTGCGAGGGGCTGTGTTTTCTCGTGAGAGACTCTGATTAGCTCGGCCTCAAAGCGAAGAGAAAGAAGTGTCCCGGCGGAAGTTTTTTTAAAGCTCAGTGGGGCATAGAGTGCGGATATCCATCCGTTGGGTTACGTCCGTGAGAAAAACCGGCCCAGAAGTTTGTGAGTACGAGTGCTTAAATATAGTTCAGAACCCAGGTAGGGTTTAGCGAGTGCCAACACGGTAGCCGACACGATTAAGTTTACCAGATAAGTTTCAGCAGCTCCTATGCGTATGCGTAGAAACTATCACGTCCCAAATAGGATCTGCACCTCGGATGGAGTGATACCCTGTGACTGACCGCGTTGAACACGAATACCTGGCACCAGGTTCACCGAGAACTCAGATACGGTACCCAGCGTCTGCACTTAACCAGTCTTAGTTAGCATCTTATTTTTGTGCGCGACGCGCACCTACATAAATATCATATCATGGGTACGAGGAGGAGGTGATTATCAATACCCGCCGATTGTACTAATTATCAAACTCTCACTATGGTGCGAGAGGTCTTAGAGGGCGACCTTATCACCCCTATTCACACCAGTTCAGTACCGCAGCCCCTACAGCCATAAATTCGAGTTAGAGGTGAGGCTCCTCAATGTTTGCTTCCCGTTGCCAACGAAGGAATTGACTGAAGTGGTGTGTACAGGGTTGACGGGGCCGCCCTCTACTCCCTCTTGCACCATAGCTATTTTGAGGTAACATGTGCTTCTAGATGTTTGAAACTGATCTGAAGAACATTATCAGGAGTACTTGATGTATTGTCGGTCGCACAGAGTGCTTTCACGGGCATCTATAGCCTATTCTAATGGGCACAGTACAAGTTAAGTATACTTGTTGGCCGGCGACCCACAATTATCTGGGGACTTTAAGGGCGTCATCCGCGTTTAGGTACGTACCTGCATAATGTTTGATAAATAGTGGGGCGCGCTTGGGGTTAAGCTGGGATTTTCGGTAAATGGGCGTTTTCATATATTTAAATTTACATCTTGTACTACATCAATATCGCCTACAAGCGCTCCAACAGAATCCTTCTCACAGATCAACAGTGGATAACTAAATCTCTTCGGTATATCTGTATTACTACATGTAAGTAGGATAATAGTAGTCTACTAATGCGACTATCGAGAGCATTAGTATGTACCAGTAGTTGCATTTTACAAGTATATCCTAATTAATTTGAATAAAATCACCTCTTGATCGTCAATTCTCACTACATTAGACGATACGTTTCTCTCCTACTCGTCACTCATGTACTTCTTAGTACCAGGCACTATAACCCCTCGCTTCGTTGTCCGTTAAGTATCGTCGACTAACGATTGCCGCCACGACCACTTATAGATTCTAGGGGCTCAAAGTAACAAATATTTTGAGAGAAGTTGATAGCAGGAGAATTGAATAGAAGTACTTTGAATTATACCCAGTAGATATCTCCGCATCCTTCCCGCGGCAGTAGAAGTGTCTACATTGGAGACTATCAATACTGCTGACACAAATCTATCTCCTGCACCTGGACGCCTCATAAGGTACCCAGGAACCAGTGCTGCAGGTGTATCCATAAAGGGAGTTCCGTACTACTCTATCTCAATTGGAGCTTTCCCTTTCTCGGACCTTCAAATGCCGTAAATATCTTCCGTCATGGCCAACATTGACCGCATGATGACTTTCCGGTCAAATTCTTTAGGCCAACTAGACCATCTCAGGCTAAATTCTAACGATTAAAAAGCAAGTAGTAACATGCTGTATTAAGCAGAGTATATATTACTTTCAAAATGATAGCTCATTATTCGACTCGGCGGCTATGCGGCATGTCGCCTTCGGCAGCTGGCGCTTAAGGTTGCTTTTCTCACGTCTTTGCCCCCATTATCGCTGATTTATTGATTCCATAATGTTTTGAACTGACAGAAACGTCGCGGATGAAAACAGAATCCGTGATGTCCAAATCCCTACGATAAGACTTGTATTTGCTTGATGAATTTATACTACCACAATCCGATACCGCCGGTGTAGATACCTTTGAATTCTGTCGGTTTGTTCGCCTAGAAACATATGAAGTGTAAATCGATATCACTCTCATAGGGGAGTGGTTTTCAAAACTAAAGATGTAGTCAGCACCGGTGCCTTAACATGAACCTTCTAATAATCATTCCCCTGTAACCCCTTAGCCCGAATAGGATGCTCCCAACTATTCCACCTACCAATTCGTTAAAAAACGAGGCTGAGCATCCCGAATCAATGACTACAGGCCTATTAGCGCCCAGCGATTCCCCAGCTAAGATTCCTTGGCAACCTCACTGCGCGTTTCGGGCGTTTCATAGATATCATTTGGTTAGTTAATCCTAGCCCTAACAACCTTAAATGATTTTGAGCCCGAGTAGAATCGCTGTACCCATTAGCGCTACATGCAGCGGGGAAAGTGTTGTTGAGTTTAAGCTTGTCGGTCCTTAACTCTGCCGCCTAGCTGGGATTTCGACCCCTTTCGTCGGGCCTCTCATGGGTTCAGCTTCTTCCTGAGAATGTATATAGAGATGATAATCCGCGGGAAAAGATGAAGTTTAGTTCTAAGAGATCAGTAGGACGCTCACTCTTTCCCCTGCGCAGTGGTTGATTCACGCCTTCTCTTCTTTGACGACAATACACTTTTGGTAATATTATTTCGATATACGATATCAAGTATATTCTCTCAATATCTCCCGAAAGATATTCAAGCCTGGAGCTTTACTATATATTTTATCAGCGATACGGTTATATATACCACTTTGCTTTATGCCAGACTTCACCATGAAGTTCATTACTATCATTTCCCTGGTCCTGTTCACCACTCTCACGTCCGCCGCCGCAATCCGGAGAGGCCCAGTTTCCGTAGTAGATGTCACATCTCTGGTCCCTAGGTCCAGCACTACTAGCAATGTCCTCAAACCCATTAATCTCGACGCCTTCAAATCCGCCATAGGCATCTCCGTACGAGACACTGTCGACTTCTCGCGCCTCGACCCTGCCTCCCAAGCCGAGCTAATGTTCGGCTCGCCAGGTAATAATGGGAGTAGTGTTCTCCTTGCAAATATGACCCTCTATGCGCCAGACGGGCAGCAGATCGTCATGATGGAGAGTTTCGAAGGCCTTACATCTGCGGTGGACTGCAAAGGTGACGATGGAACTATGTCCTTGACTTTCACGTCGAAGGAGGCGTTTGATGCTGCGGTTGATAAGTGGAGCTTTATCAATGAGGATGAGGATGGTAGCTTCTTGCTTATTGCGAACCATGATGGGTGTGGGGATGCGGATCAAAGACAGGCTTATACGTACGTATATACCAGTACAAAAATCTTAGGGCTAAGAGTGACTGATATTTCATATGACGACTAGTATTTCGAAGATCGATAATGAGGAGGCAAGTTTGATGACCATCCTCACGGCCAAGGTTACTCCGTGGTCTGAAATCGCTGGGACCTTTGATTTGGACTTTGGAAGTGCTACCGTGTCACCAGGAGCTGCTAGGCGTTTGATGACGCGTGGCTTTAGTGACTTTATGGATGGAGTCGTGAATGGCGTGAAAGATGTTGTTGATGGTGTTGGGGACGCTATCACAGGTGGCGGTGATGACGGGAGTGATGGTTTAATCGGCGTTGTTGATGATATTTTGGAGGATATCGGAAATGGGGATGTAGTGTTTGATGTATCTTCCGGTACTCCAGGGGAACGATTCAACGTCCTTACGGATCCTACCAAGTAAGTTATCCGCCACAAACCCTTCACAAGAACCTCTACTCACATCTCAACAGCCCCACAAATCCCGCTCTAGTCCTCGACTGCCTCGATTGCTACATCACAGGCAAATTCAAGCTCGTCGGCAAGGTCTCTGTCGAGCAGTTCAATGTGAAAGCACTCATCATTGATGCCAGCCCGCAAGACTTCAACACCACAATGAAACTCAATGCCGCAATCGCTGCCTCTGTCGCTGCCCCCACCAGTTTAAATCTTACCAAAGAGATTGTTAGCTTCCCCGTTCCCGCCGCCGGGATCGTCATCCCGGGTATCTTCGAGCTCGGCACGGTAATGACCTACGAAGTCGCGGTAGAGTCTAGCATTGCTGGCACTGCAAACTTCACCTTTGGGCTACAGAGCACGGTCCCAAACGGCGCAAACATCGTTGTCGATCTCGCCAACATTGATTCCAGCACCGCAACTGGGTTCGAGGCCGCAACATTTGACCCTATCTTTGAATTTGGAAGCGGATCGGTGACGACGAGCGTTATGGCCATATCACGTCCCAAGCTGACCTTTGGCGTCGAAGTTGTTGGTGTCGGAAAGCTGGAGGTTGGATTGAATCTTGGACTGCCTAAAGTTGGCGTTGATTTGACAACGAAATACAATGAGACTGGGGCCTGTGATGGTTCGTCGTCAAAGACGGGTTTTGGAGTTGAGTCCAAGATTTTGTTGGATCTGGAGGTGAGCTTAAATGGGAAGTTTGGCCCTGGCTCGATCATTGACGCTGGGACGCTTTATACTGTTAGTTTATTGGTAAGAGTTACTACTATCCGGAGATAATTAGTGCGACAATTACTAATATGGAATATAGAAGTACGAGAAGTCGATCTTCGAAAAGTGCTTTCCATTTGATATTCCGGGCCTCAATAGCACAGCAACCAGCTAGTTTAACGCCAAGAGTGGGTTAAGATTTTATTGTTCTGGAGAACCGAATAAGATTATGAGATTTATGTTAGCCATTGTAGTATTTAAATTATGATTTTTTATGTGTCTATTGATTAAAGAAAACGAGTGATAATCCATGAATAAAAAGTCTTTAGTGGTGCATGTTCACAGCAGGTCACTCGAAGTGCGGCTCGCAACGGTTAAGGGAATTTCGTAACCCTAGTCTGTTCTTTACTAAAATCCATAGTAACAAGCACTAGTCTTTCGAATTTCACCGAAGTACACACACTTGAGTATATAGAAAGCTCTTATATTAAGGGATTGCAGTAATGAATGCTCGCCGGTACCAGTGCTCGCGCGCAACGTCTTAAAATAAGTTGTCCTAGTGAGTGATAGATGGCTTCCCTGGCCACCCGAACACCCCCCTCACCCGAACAGTTGAGTATGATTGGTACACACACCGGTTGCAACGAAGATCCTTTCTTTTTGACGTTGACTGTTCGGGTGAGGGGGGTGTTCGGGTGGCTAGGGAAGCCATCTATATGTAGATCGTTATCCCTTGCTTCGTACTACCCAGACTGAAGACTCCTATGGTAAACCTTACCTAGCGCGAATTATGTTCGCTGAGTCGTAAAGACAGATAAGTGCATTCTACACGAACCAACCATCCTAAAGTTGTTGCTATAGGGCACGCAGTACGGCTTATACCGGATTATCTGCATGTTGCGAGTAGAGTATGTACTCTGTTACAGGCCTTATGTTGTGCGAGAACCTTGACCATAATTTAACGGGTGCACCGCCGATAAAACGTCGTCCATTGGGAGGCGAATCACGGGAACCGCCACCACGGCTCGCTATTGAGAAGATTAAAAAGTTAAGAGTATGTAGGTACAGTCTTTTACCGTCTCTTGACGAATACTGCCAGTTGACGAACAGGGGACTTTGGGCCAATAGAAATTAAAAGGACCGGAGATCTCGTTGCTTGGCTGTTTCTTTCCATACTTGGAATCCCTGGCAGTATTCGTAAAAGACTGTACTATAACTATTGGACCCGACCCGAGGAATGAAGCGGTGAGGTTACACCTAACGTACAACCTAACGTACAACCTAACTCCATGGTAGAGTATGTATTTGTTCTCTTAAACCGAGGCTTTATTAACCAGATCTACGCATATTTTATTTGTAGGCGATCGAGCTAGTCGTACCTGCAATTATTATGTACGTATCCCTAATTTGTCATAGCACTGGGTTACGGAATATGCCATCAAACATGCCCGTGATGCCAGCAGGAACATTCTGCTGAAGCTAAACCGTCGGAAACAACTTTCGCTTCGACATCATCAAGCCGCAAGTGGCAACCTTCCTGATAAATTGAAGGTTGCTCCCTTGCCTCTGACTTCAATTTTATACAATACTTGATAGGTACGACTATGATCTACGAGCTTCGTTTTTTGATCCTCAACCCTTGGTCTCGGCATATACTCCAAGACGAGGAGGCTGGGCGCATTTGACACATGAAAATCATGCATAAAATGGCTTTAGCCAATTAGGCTTCGGTCAACACTAGTACTAGTAAGTTAAGAGATATTAAAAATTCAGCCCCAACTAGCATATGCCCGAGAAAAGTCTTTTAGTCGCGCCGGCTGAACTCACGGAAATTTTAAGTCGAGCAGATAAAATTCTGCTTTGTGCATTGGGAAGGGTGGGGCGCAGAACCTTCTAGTTCCAAATGCTTGCACTTTAGGAAGAACCATTTTGATGACGCCTAGATCATCTTGGGCAGAACAGGCATCAAAAAACAATCACGCCCTCGGCAATCTAACCAGAAAATCAGATCTCCAAAGGAATACGGGAACCAAGAACCCCCCACACAAACACGCACGGGCTTGCGATTACTTATCGATGGTAATCCTTATCAAGTTTAAAGTTAAGCCCCAAGTATCTTCTCCAGCACAAATCGGGGCAATGGCGCATAAACACGTCCAAGAATAATAGCCTAGATTCCCAATTTCTATAAGTCTAATGTCTATCAGTCTTTATCAGTCTTCAGCATACGGCGTTGCATAACGGCATCTGGTCTGTTGTTGAACAAGCAGGAAGAGGCGTCTTCTTTCAGCTCAGAATTCGGCATCAAGTTCGATTATGGCCGGTCCGGTTGTTACTTCAACTGAGATAGTCGTTCCGGGGAGCAGGGATTAGACTGCGTGAACCACTGTATCAATAGGTACTAGTATACATCTTGGTCTTTGTCTTCAGCTGATCAGCTCAAGGTTATGATAATGCACCACGCCGATACCCATTTAGGAGTTGGCGGTTATATTGCAAGACATGGGTAGGTACATACTTACATGTAGTTGTAACCGAATTCTGAAAACTGATGAGCACTGTACTGCATGGTGTCTTTGAGATCGTAGAGAAACATCTGAGTTGGAAATGTTTCATGATCTCATTAATACAAGTATCCAAGTTGAGATATATTACAACACCCTCTTAAACCAATACGTGTATTCTTGTTTTTTGATACATTTCTAAATCAGTAATAGCGTATTAGTTGCCGTACTTCAATGTCGTTATAATTGCATGCTGTATGATGATAGGACCATAATGTTGGTTTAGTTACCTGAGACTCACTTTGAGATCCACTCGGTATTCCCGCCATCGACTCTGTCGATCTGCCTCGGGATAATATGCATGTCATGGAAGGCTAGCCTTAGGTTTTACCTACGCCTCTTGATCTACAATTGCAACCAATTTGGCTTACGCCCTTCATGACACTCCCTCGTGAGACCACCACACCCAAACTTTTGTTTCACCACTATGCGATACACTCAATCACAATGCTATATCCCCACAATCCTCATGAGTCTAGATCAAGCATGAAGCTTCTATATAAACCCCAGACCCGCCATCCAAATTATATCTCCATCCTTCTGAGCTGACAGGCAAAGATGTCGAGACTCGTGGGAACCTACCTCACTGCTCTCTTCGAGCAAGCAGCCTCCATCCCAACCCAAAAGCTAGTATTATACTCTACCCTACTAGGAATAAATTCCCATCTAGGATACTTTATCCACGGCGACCATGATCACCTCTCTGGGTCGTTTTTCATAGGCTTCTTCTTCTTCCCATCCCTCATATTTGGCGTGTTCCACAAACATCTTGGTATAGCCACAGTCGAGGCACTGACCCTCACTGCAACGATATGGACCAGCTTTCTGGCCGGCCTCACAGCTAGTATCATCACCTACCGCCTCTTGTTCCACCCGCTGCGGAAGTTCCCCGGGCCGTTTGGTGCCAAAGTGACCAAATGGTGGAGCGTGGTGAATGCTGCAAAGACGCTACAGAACCATGAGCTCGGTCTGGATTTGCATGCAAAGTATGGTGATTTTGTAAGGACCGGTAAGTGGACCTATACAATCCATTTCTAATTTTCTTTAATTCTAACGTGAATACTCTAGGCCCCAACGAACTCTCCATCAACTGCGAAGCCATCGTCCCCATTGTCGTCAAACTCGCCAAAGGCCCCTGGTACAACCTTGGAAAGCCCAAGCCCTCCACGCAGCTAACACGGGACCGTGACGTGCACCGAGCCAACCGCCGTCTCTGGGACAAAGCCTTCACCTCAGACGCCGTGATGCAGTATCTCCCCAAGCTGATCATCCGCTCCACGGAGCTCCTCGACATCATTGCGGCCCAGAACCCCGTCAACATCTCTGACTACTTCAACTACTACATGTGGGACAGCATGGGGGATGCCACCTTCAGCAAGTCGTTCAACATGCTGCCGACACACGGGAAGGAGAATGATTACATGCGTATCACAAAGAATGCGACCACGGGCTTGGCAATCTTCGGGCATGTGCCGTACCTGCCGCATATCTTGGATCTGATACCGGGCACGAATAGGGACTATAAGGGTTTTTTGAGGTGGTGTGACGAGTTGGTGAATGAGAGGAGGGCGGTAGGTTTTTTTTGAGTCAATGATTTTGGGACGGGATATGTGGGGCTAATATTTGGTGCAGAGGAACCCTGAGAAAAAGGATGTTTTTTCGTGGCTGTTGACGGCGGATGCTAAGACGATGGCTGGAATTGGTATGGCTAATGAAGCTCGACTTGCAATTTTGGCTGGAAGGTATATTTAACCCTCATAGTCTCTAGCAAGTAGGCTGTTACTAATTTTGATTAATCCAGTGACACGACGGCTACAACACTCACAAACATATGTTTCCATCTTGCCGACAACCAGGACCAGCTCAAGATACTCCGGGAAGAGATTGATGCTCTCTACTCATCCTACCAAGATGACGAGGACAGAATATTCAAGGACCTCGCCATGGGCAAGTGCGACAACACAGACCATCTCGAAGGCGTAATCAGCGAAGTATTGCGATTGCACCCAGTATTGCCTTCAAGCCCGCAAAGGATGGCACCTCCAGAAGGCATAATGATCAATGACACATTTGTGCCCGGAAACACCGCCATCTACGCCCCCATGCACACAATCTTTAGAGGTATTTTTTCCAAAAAAATCTCGAATATAAATGATTAAAGTCCCATATGACTAACCAAAAGGAATGCTTTAGATCCTCGAAACTTTGAGAGACCAAAGGAGTTTCTTCCGGAGAGATGGTACAAGACATCAAAGTATCCACTGACACGTGATCAGAAAGTTTTTATCCCCTTCTGGACTGGTAATTTCTAACCCCCTGGGTCCCTTGACTAGCATATTGGAAAGCATCAACTAAGCATGAAAAAAAAAAATAGGGACATGGAGTTGTGCCGGCAAGTCTCTGGCGAACATGCACCTGCGGATTGTCATTACGAGGATTGTGCGGCGATTTTCGATACAGCTGGCGCCTGGTATGAATGAGGAGAAGCTGAACAAATATGCTCAGGACTTGTTCATTCTGTACATGGGGGATGTCAACCTAATCTTGAAGGAACGGAATATGTGATGCGCAGGTACTAATCTAACTGTTTTGATTTGTTTTTGTTTATTCATGTAACGCACCATGTAGCTATGAGTATAATGGGGTACTAGAATTGAACCATATTACCAAGGAGGACTGAGTTCCTCAAGTCCTGCTGCCTAGCTAGGCGGTAGTAGTTGTAGTAGTCTGGCTGTTGAGATCCAGTAGCTCTTCCATGCCCTCGTTCAAGTGACCTTTGTACTCGCCCGAGGTCTTCAGCTCCTTGTGTCTATTAAACGCATGAGGCAGCCCAGGCCATCTACCAAAAAAGACTATTAGCAATCTTCACCCTCTCAATCACAGAAAATCACCCGCCCCCGCAGCAACACCGGCCAGCACTCACATTCTCAGCTCAGGACTCTTTGGATCCTCCCTCCTCAGCCCCTTCCAATACGCCACGCCATCATCCCTCAGCAGGTCCGCGCCCGCCACAAACACCACCGCCCTCGGCAACCCCTTCAGCTCCTTCGGATCAAACAGCGGCGAGAAGTCCACATCCCTCGGGTCCGGGCTGCCATACACCTGCTCCAGCACGCCCAGCTTCCCCTTCGCCAGCACCGGGTCATTCACATTATCGCTGTACGCCTCAAACTTTGACAGCGTTGCCACGAAGCCTCCGTGGTCCCGCGTCGAGCACAACCATGGGTACACTAGCAGCTGCCCCGCCACTTTGACTCCGGCCTCCGGGGTGTCGCGGGCGCGCCGGGAGACAACGCAGGCGAGGTTGCCGCCGGAGGAGACGCCGCCGACGTAGAAGGCGCTATGTGGGATTGTGGTAGTAGCCCAGCGCGCGGCGGCCCAGGCGTCGTCGGGGCCGGCCGGGAATGGGTGCTCGGGTGCGAGCCGGTAGCTGGCGGAGATGATGGTGATGTGCGAGTGGTGGCTGATGTGGCGGAGGGCTTCGTCGTCGGCGAGTTGGCTGCCGATGGCGAAGCCGCCGCCGTGGAACCAGAGCATGGCGGGGAGCGGGGTGGCGGTGGCGGTGGGGGCAGTGGAGGCGGAGGTGGGGGTGGGGGCGGGGGTGTAGATGCGCGCGGGGAGGGGGGCGCCGGTGGCGCTGGGGTAGGTTGTGTCGGTTACTTGGACGGTTGTTTCAGCTGCATGATGGAAGTGTCAGTATTTCCTGTAAGATATAGGTAGGTGGGGGAGGGGGGTCTTTTTTGGTACAGAATGAGAAGTAGGAGGTAGGTCTGTAAATGTGGATTTATACACACCCATATACTCTGGATTCGAGGCAAGATAGAGCTCCAGCTGTCTATTTCTCTCCATACGCGCCTCGACAATACCGCCGCCGCCGCCTGCCGCTTCTGGCTTCGCCGTCTTGATGAACTATTCTCCCCCCCGCATACCACGAGTATCTTAGCACTCCAACAATTTACACATAGAAATGTGGGGTAAACAAAGCTCTGAAGCTAAGAACATGGAGAAGCGATCATTGACTGCCGCTAACTGGACTAACCTCAATCCATTCCGCGCTTGGCTTACTAGTAGTAGAGATGTCGTCGGGGAGGCCGTAGAGGATCGTCATTTTTTGGAGAATATGTGGAGGGGCGGTTATTGTTTGTTCAAGATACAAGCCCGTATACAGCTTCTACGTTGTATCTTGGTTCTTGGTTCTTGGTATCTACAATGGGTACGTGTGTTTATATAGAGCTACTTTCCCCCCTGCCCCGACCCCGACCCCGACCCCGACCCCACTACCAAGAAAAGTTATATCATTAGTTAAGCTCCGACCCCCGGCCAACCCCCGCTAGCGCCGCGATGCCGAGGCGGCCGAGGCACCCCAGCCAGCGGGGTTGCCGTTGCTACATAGCTGGGAGCACGTCTGCTAATCCCCGACGTTCTTATTTTCGGAGTTCTGCATATAGTACCATAGCAACCAGGCCGAAAGACTAACGTATAATCCAAAGAAGTCGGTAATTACGGTTTAGACCCTAGGAGGTATGTTCTCTCATCTTTCAGCCCTCTAGTTACGGAGTTTAGAATCGTTTCATGCTTCTATCCCTCATCTACAAAATTTAAATCACAGCCTTTTGTGACCACATCCTGAAACCCTAACCCTGGGCTTAAGCTGGGTATGTAGATAAAGCATCAATTGGGTCTAACCTCGGCGGGGCATGTAGGTACCAGCTCGCAAGCCCTGATTGGTCGGAGTGGGTAGGTAGGGTGGGTTGCCTCGGAAGGATGCGAGTGTTGAGCCGGCCGGCGCTGCATGTTTATGCAGGCCAGTTTTGATTTCCTGGGTGTGAGGTGATGATGTGAACGTACTCTAGCTAGCTAGAGAAACATTCCTGCGGGAATGGCGAGATACCTAGCTGTGCAGTGGTGTCGATGAGGAGAGACTCAAGGAGGGTTTCTTTGCAAAAGTGAAGTGGGAGAGGTACTTCAGAATGGACATACCTGATGTGGTGAAAGAGAGAGCTTAATCCATACTCTGCCAGTCAGCCAGTCAGCCAGCGAGAGTATCTACCTTGCTTAGCTACTCTTGGCCACTCAGATTCACCACCACCGCCAAGCTAGCAGCACCCAGACAGACCGAGCTCGCCAACGTGTCAACGCCTCTCGTACTGTCGCCTCTCCTCTCTCTCCTCTCCTCTCCTCATGATCACTTCTCCTCACTTCACTTCTCCTCACTCACTCGCTGTCATTGCAAGCGCCGCCGCCGCAGAACACGGGAACGGTCGATGATCAGTCAGTCAGTCACTCTAATTAGTCAGAGCGCTAGGCCCAGAGCGAGCGAGGGAGTGAGCTAGTGGTTCGCAGCGCAGCTAGCCACCGGCCGAGTGATGATTCGTGATCGCCCTAGACCACAAGGCAGGAGAGACACACGCCGGTAAACGTACGGACGGACGGGCGGGTACGGTAGAGACATGTTGATGTGGGCCGCAGAACAAGCAAGGCTTTTTTTTTATTTTTTTTATTTTGAATTTTGCAAACTAAAAAAGTGCAGTTCCCGGGCCCTAGGGAATTAGATCTCCCGGGCCCGTTAGAATTGCCGGAGCACGCGCGCGCGCGCGCGCGGGGGAGGTTTAAGGATAAGAAGCAAAAAGGTCTGAAAAGAGCTAGCTAAAAGCTAGTAGTGAATGAGGGAGTGGGAGTGCACTGGGGCCCGGAGGACCATGGATGGAGGAATGAGTGCTCTTGGATTGCAATTGCCTCACTGTGCAGCGCCGCAGTCCTGGCGTGATTGCGAATGTACCTGACTAGCCTTCAGGTAGAGTAGTACTAGAGTACCTACATAGGTAGAGGAACTACTCTTGACACCCGCGAGAGTCAAGAACATGTCTCGGGGGAAGAAGGGGGGTTTATCATTGCATCAAGTATCCCAGCCGGCGATCAGAAAACCGTTACCTTCAAAACCTCCTTAAGCTTCTCAAGGCTCTCTCTCTCTCTCTCTTCTCTTGCACTCCCGGATCCCTCAGTCAGTTCAATTACATACAGACGTTAATTCTCAGGCACACGAAAAAAAAAAGTCAACCTTAGGCAACTCAGACATAAGTATGCAATCAGAGTTTAAACAAACGGAAGAAAAAAATAATAAAAAGAACCCTTAATTCTGTCTAAGACCCAAAGTGCAGAAACCAGAAACTCAGGGGTAAGAAGAGCAAAACCCCACTCGGTAGCCGTGCCAGTAATCCATCGCCGTTCGATGATCTGGGTTAGGGTTGTAAAAAAAGTAGCAGACCCTCAGGGTCCATCAGCACTAGTTACAACCTACATGTATGGCTCCACTCGTATGGCCCCACTCGTATGGCTCTCCCCCATCGCTGCGGCTTAGCGAACGGCGCCTCAGTTTGAGAATATGTATGCCCCCCGTGCTGGAGAGAGCGACATGCCTACACTCTCGTCCAGAATCGACCTTTACGGCGCTTCCCACGTGTGCCCTCAGTTGGGGCCAGCATGACAAGGAGAGGACAGGGTGATGAGGGGTAGGTATAGAGGGTAGAGTCTATGGTTCTCAGTCTGTGTAGCTAGGTATTGTAGGTACTGTACCGGTACAGTGTAGACCCTGCTGGACCTGGTAGAGTCAACCCATGCCCAGGAGTACTATACATGGTCCCATATGTACTCTACATGCTGTCCGGGATACGGGATATATCGATAATAATAAGCATCATCATCATCATCATCATCATCCTCGTCCTGAGACAGCAGTTGAGTGGTGCGTGGGTGCGGCTCAACGTTCTGCCTTTTCTTCTTCTTTGCTTTTTACCCCTGTCCGCCTGCCTTAGTGACAGTTCATACTCTTAGCAGACAGACAATAGCGCTATGTAGCTAAGCTACATGCATGTACCTATCTCTCTCTAGGTAACGAGAATTGAATTGTTCACGATCAGACATCATCCCTCGTATCGTTCGTTCGTACTCAGAAACCCTCCCTCAATCAACTCCTCCCTGCATATACGGCCGGTGGATGTTATAGGTATATGCGATGTGGTCAAACACTACTCGTCGGTTCCTGCTCAGAATTTTTTCTATCTGCAGCAGCACACCAGCTTCACCCACCCCACCCCAACCCCCATGCACGCAGCGCACCGTCCTTGTTTCCCAGGACAGGAACGCAACGCAGGTACACGTATGTTTTGACAGCCTCTGGTTGGGCCGTTGCGGGGTAGCTAGCTACCACTACAGGCTACCAGGGGGGGGGGGGGGGACCGCCCGTGCTACATATCATATGTTTCTCATGGATTCATGAACCTTTTAATTGAACGGTTTATTTTACGTTGTTTGGATGTTACCGTTTGGGGTCCGGGGAGATTTTAACTGCTCGCCACTTGAATAATTGAAACATGGGTGGTGCAATGTTTCCTTTAGGGGGGGGGGGGGGTGTTACGGTGCCTAATACAGACAGACACACACAATTGCATTGCAAGACTGTGAGGGTTAATTGTGAATAGTACATGCCCTCGACTCACTCTGGTACCATCATTATCAAAGCTGACTACATGTACATATGGTACATCAGTATACTATACTCTGCCTAGCTATAATTCAATGGTATAGAGCAGCTCTGTTATATCCTGAAACCACGCCAGCAACAACACCACACGCACGTCCGCATTGTTTTTCCAATCTGCTCACGGGCCGGCCCGTGTCATTAGACGAAGATCATTGAGTTATCTTCATGACGACTAGAGTCGGTGTATATTAATAACCTGCGGTGTTTTTTTGAAGGTGTGTGAGGAGAAGCGGTGAAACTTGTACCTATCACCCCAAAGCTCCCCCCATTGATATAAGGTGCATGTCCTTAGCTGCTTCCCACAACCCTCTCAGTACAGCTCGTTGGCATCTGGAGTACTAGCTACTTCTACACCTAGAGCTTTCGAGTGCGGTATTGTACTTTTATTTTTCCTTTCTTTCTTTTCTCTTTCCTTCTTTATTCTTATATTATATACAGAGCTGGGTATGTACTTGGAACCTTCTCCCCCCTTGTGGCCTTTTTATGCTAGGTTGAGTGCGCTTATAAAAAACTAATGCTGCTCTCTGTGTGAAGACTCTTTTTGTAGTTCTTGTATTTTCAATTCCCTTCAGGCTTCAATTTCAATTGTAGAAAACACATACACAATAATTTTTAGGTATACAAAGCAATTATGGTAAGATTTCCCTGGATTCCTTGCAATTCCCCCTGCGTATGGGCATCGCGTTTCATAGCTATCTATAGCTATAGCTATAGCTATAGCTGTTTCTATCTCAATTGAATTATACGAATATGCTAACTCACTCCCTCCACAGGCACAACCACGGGATGCAGAAGAACAGCGAATAAATAGGGTACATATCTCCAATTCCCTCCTTCTCCACCTCTAACAATTACACCAATTGACTCTCTGAACCCACTCCAGCTCTTTGGTTCCTACCTCTACATCTTCCCCTCCCTCCTTATCTTCACCGGCATAGTCCGCACGCTCTACACCGCCTACCGCAGCCACCACCTCCCGCGCACCGACCCCGAATCGCGCACCCCCAACCGCCGCGTCTACCCCCCCAGCGCGCTCTCCAACCGCTTCTCGCGCTACATAAAGTACCCCGCGCTCTTTGGCAACCGCCACTCGCAGCCCATCGGCTGGTACACCTTCCCGACAAGGCTCGAGGCCCTGCTCGTCGGCATATACTGGTTTATCAATATATCATTCCTGTTTGTCAAGCACGGCAACGCCGACAACGGTATCGATGGCTCAAAGATCCTGGCGGACCGCGCGGGAGTGCTCTCGCTGTGGAATATGCCGATCTTCTTCCTGCTGGCGGGGAGGAACGACTTTTTGGTGTGGCTGACGGGGTGGTCGTATGGAACGTTTCATGTGTTTCATAAGTGGGTTGCGAGGGTGTCGGCACTGATGGGGATGGTTCACTCGGTGGCGTATGCGGTGTATATGTATCAGAGTAGGTTTTTTCTCTTCTTTTTCCTGATTGGGTGTGGTGTGGTGGGGGGGAGGAGAGTGATTGTGTATGATGCTGACTGGGCGGGTGATAGTTGGTGATGAGGCGCGAAGATGGAATCCGGCGTATTGGTGGAATGGTGTTTCGGTATGTGGATTTGAGTGCTTTTTTCACTTTTTGATAGTTATTGATGTCGATTGCAGGCTATGATAGTGATGGGATTGATTCTCGTGTTGGCTATATTTCCGTTCCGGAAGAAGGCCTACGAGTTTTTCCTCATAACGCATATCATTGGCGTGATGGTATTTCTGATATTTCTCTACCAGTAAGTCACTTATATGCACAGAACAAGATATACCATATTTCCTGCAATATTAACATTACCACCCCCGCACAGCCATCTAAAGCTCTCCGCAACACGCATGTACAACCCATGGCTCTGGGCCTGCATTGCCATGTGGGCCTTCGACCGCTTCACCCGCCTCCTCCGCATCCTCATCCTCAACTACGGCGCCTTCTCGCGCAACCCGCAGAACCACCACATGGCCCGCGCAAAGTTCGTCAAGGGCACCGACGTTATCCAGCTCACCGTCTACCCCTCCGCCGAGGACGTGAACTACTTCCCGGGCGCCCACTACTTTGTCTTCCTGACCGGTACCTGGCGCTTCTGGGAATCGCACCCATTCACTGCCGCGGCGTGGCGCCCGAGCGGACCAATGATGCCCGCCTATAACGCGGCCGACATCCACAAGATCAAGCGCAGCTTATCGGGCTCACTGAAGAACTCGTTGAAGGAACCAAGACTGCCGCCGAGGGTGCGCACAGCGGATTTGAAGAAGGAGATGGGACACCTGACGACCGTAAAGGAGTTGGGTCCGTTCGAGGAGGTTGGGGAGCTCAAGGAGCTCACGGCGCCAAAGGCAAAGCGCCAGGAAAAGGCTATTTACATTGTCAAACGGCCCGGCCAAGGAGTCATCATCATGGCCGATAACGTGAAGCCGCAGACGCCCGCACCCCCGGAGCGGAAGAAGAGTGCCAAGCGCTCTGCCTCGCAGCGGAGTAAGAGCGGTTCTAGGAAGCCTCACCGTAGCGGCTCTAAGAACTCGCGGGATGGATCCAAGATCTCCCGTGACGGTTCTAAGCTCTCGCGTGATGGCTCCAAGAGCTCTCGTGACGGCTCTAAGATCTCGCGCGATGGCTCCAGGCGCTCCCGTAAGGGTTCAGAAGGCGGCACCGACCGCAGCTCCGAGAGCGAGAAGTCCAGCGAAAGCGGCAAATTCTCGCAGAGCGAGACGCTCGCTATGAGCGGCGGCCATGGCAGCGGCGGCGGGTGCGGCGGCGGTACTGCGGATGGCAGCCACCGCGGAGGAGGAGGGCAGTCGGAGAGATCCGACGAAGACTTCCCGGAGGAGGAGAAGACGGTGTTTGGCAGCGAGAGCGAGAAGACGACTGCAAAGGTGACGGTCACGTCGTCGCAGTTCGAGGACGAGGAAGAGGAGGAGGACGACTACCGGATGGTGATACGCCAGGGCGTGCCCAGCACCCATGCCAGTACGGTGCGGAGGGGCAAGCAGCGCCCGAAGCTGACCTTCTTCATCAAGCCGCGCAAGGGCATGACGGCCACGCTCGCGGAGCGCATCCGCGAGCACGAGCGCCAGAACGAGATTCAGGGGTTTGCGAGGGGCCGTGAGCTGGAGATCAAGTGCCTGATCGAGGGTGCATATGGTGTTAACCACCCGCTGCACCTGTACGAGACAGTAGTGCTGATCGCCGGCGGTGTCGGCATCACGACGATTTTGCCGTATCTGTGCGACTACATGGAGCGCGCGCGCGGGTCGGAGCGGCGGACGATGACACAGCGGTTGGTGTTCCTGTGGACGGCGAAGGAGGAGGAGCTGGTGGAGAATCTGGTCGCGAAGCGGTTCCCGAGAGGGTGCTTGACGAGACGGGATATCAGCATGCAGCTCTATGTCACAAAGACGAAGCAGGGGCAGAAGGAGTTCTTGCCGGGCGTGAAGTATAAGAGGCCGGATATCGGCGAGATACTGAGGGCGGAGCAGGCGAGGCTGGTGGGGAAGATGTCGATCCTGTCGTGTGGGCCGTCGGTGCTGGTGGATATCGTGAGGACAGCGGTGGTGGACTGTCTGGATAAGGATAGGAAGCATATCGAGTACTTTGAGGAGAGTTACTGATTGGGGCCGGCGTGAATCGATGGGTTTGATTCGGGTTTGTACAGCATCATGTTTGATGGGATTATTTGGGGTTTTTTTATTTTTTATTTTTTATTTTTTATTATCATTTACCACCATCACTACTACATACTGTAGGTTTATTTTGTGGTTTCATTTGTTCTACCTTCGACTTCCTCAATCACCACTTTTGAAAAACAGTTATACTTAACACTGTTTTTCTTCTATATCATAAAGCTAGATACCTCTTATAAATGTCTAGCTATGGGTCTATTCCCATTGGGCAGTTACTTTTAGCTACATGCAGCTACGTAGTTGAACGTTAAGAGTTAAATAATTTACACCGTCCACAAATCATTAAGTACCAAACTAAAGCATCCTACTGGCCATCACATGCTGTGTCCCCAAAAACCAACGAATGAAAAAAAATTCCCAGCTGCTCGCATGGCAAAATTAAAGCTAGATAAGCGATGGTTGTGCTTATCTTGGGAATATCTACTCTAATAACGTCGGCAGCTGTGCACGTGTGGTACGTTTGAGTGTTTACCGATTGGGAGGGGACGGCGGCGAATGGGAGCGGGAGGTACACGTATTTGGTCGGCCCTGTGTCACACCAGTGACGGTACTGGTGAAAGGGAGGAAAAGAAAGTGGTGATATATCTAGGTAAGACGAGAGTGTAATATGTATGCAGAGGACATATCATGATGCAGAGTCTAAGTCTCAGAGCCCTTTTCCTTTCTCTTTCTTTCCATTTCATCCCACTCCTATCAACTACCAATGACATCACAGCATCTACATGTATGTACACTACATCCACCTGACGAACACACATTCGATTCCTCCCTTCTTCTCCTCCTCGGCCTCATACTCCTCCGGTCCTCCGGCCCTACGTCTCAAACACCCCAAACCCTTCCTCCACAAGGAGAAACACGTTCATCCCGTTTTAGACCTGCGACAACCGCTCCCATCCACCAATCGCCGCACGTCGCGCGGGCGCCAGTGAAACTTTTATCGCCCCCTCTCATCGCAAGGTCGACGCAGGGTCCTTGTTTGACCCTGAAACTAACCCGAACCATAGCCCCCCCCCCCCCCCCCAAACCTCCGACCTCATCTCGAGAGCATGGGGGTCTTTGGCGTGGGCGTGGGCCAGTCGGAGAGGAGGGGGGTGTCTCGGGGGTGCTGGGGGGTGACGTTGCGGAAGGATGCAGTGTGATCATGGGCGATCACTCGGCTGTGTGTGGGGTTGGGGTTGTTATTGGTGGTTTGGGTTTGAAATGTTAGAGAGCTGGAACGACTATTGGGCCTAGTCTGCATGTAGAAGCGGCGTAAAGTCTCTCCGATTATGGCAGTGATGTGCCTAAGTGGTAATAGAGTTATTTAATATACTACTAACCGGCCCGCCGTCTTTTGAAGTCGTCTAGGTACGTAGAGGTCTGGAACCAAATCGACGGCTTATCTGTACCCAGCAATTCCAAATATCTTCTGCCAGATATATTGGTTTTCTGATTATTGATCCCCAGATGGATCCGAGAGTAAGCACGTCTTTATCAACAGAGGTGAGGTGCATACGGCATCTTGCGGCCCTTGCAGAAATGCCGGTCTTGGCGCTCCGGCGGATATCCGGATGAGAGTGTTGGGGTAAGATAGGTATTCCAAATCCATCTCCGGCGAGAGAGGGAAACCCACGTAAATGATAAAGCGAGATTCCGGATTAAATGTTTCCTTGGGAGTTTCTTTCAAACTCACTATGACTACATCTATCCATGTAGGAGCTCTTTGTGAAGCTGTGCATGTGGCAGGACTAGCCTCCTTGCGCGATGCGGCTTGAGATCCTTATGTTCTTGAGGCATAATACACAAACACGGACATCGACATAGAGGCTGACGGAAATGATAACTCTATAAATCTTGTGATAATTTTGTCCGGGGTTATTTTGTTAATAATGAGGCCCGGTTGGCAGAGCCTCGAGGCCTAGAAACTATTCGCTAGATGTGTTATAATAGAACAGGAATTTTTATTATTTAGCTGCCGTTCTAACATGGTTGATATCGTGACCTATAAATAGTACGTAACGCACCTTGATGGACCTGTCAAACAAACGCACTCTTCTCCGCGCGCATCCATCTGCCATTGCTCCTGGATGAGAAGTCAGAGAGTACAGCAGCCTGTATGTAGTACATGGGAATAGCATTGCAAGTCTTGTTTACAATTGCCAAAGATTGCGACCGCCCCAATTTCCGCGGGCCCCGCCTGAATGGGAAGTGGCTCAAGATCTCAATTCCAAATACTTTGAACCCGTGAGGGTGCTTTGCTTCCCCCCTGCCTGCTTACATGACATCATTAACTTGTTGCGGGGTGGGTGGTGGGATGGGATGGGTTTCCCCGCCATGCTTTCAATTGCTTGGGGCTGGCTTTATTTCTACCTCATCTTTCCACCTTGCGTTCCGTCTCTTCTCTTACAACCATCCACATTAACAACTCCAATTCCATCCTTCAACTAAATCTACCAATTCACATCAATCATCATGGTTTCCGTTGGCAGCACTGTCCCCGCCCCTCCTAAGTCTCTCTGGGAGAAATCTGACGGCAATACTGTTTCTTTCCCTACCTCCGGAAAGTACATCATTCTTGGTGTTCCCGGAGCTTTCACTCGTTTGTCTCTCCCATCTCTGGTATCTGTTTTTCCCATCATGATCAACTCACTGAGACAATTCGGCTGCAATTGTAGCTCCCTGTTCTTCCCAGATCCCTGGATACCTCTCCAATTACAATAGGTTTGTTGCAAAGGGTGTTAGCGACATCTACGTTGTTGCTGTGAACGACATTGTGAGTATCCTAATAAATATCCCATCTACCAGCTTTTATCTGAGTCAATATAACTGACAAACTCATTCCACAGTTCGTTGTCAACGCTTGGAAGGAGAAGCTTGGAAAGAACTCTAACGTCCATTTCGTCGCTGACTGCACCGGTAAGCCTAATGAATAACCAGTCTTTGGAAATATTTAACTGACATGTAAAAATATAGGTGAGTTCATCAAGTCTCTCGGACTTGACTTTGACGCCACTGGTCTTCTTGGGAACAGCCGTTCCAAGCGCTTCGCTGCCGTCGTTGAGGACGGAAAGGTTAAGAACCTTTATGTTGAGGATGAAGCCCCGGAAATCACTGTCACCGCCGCGGACAAGGTTCTTGCCAGCTTGTAGGAATATGCGTTTGGGAACAAAAAAAAAAGAACGGTAGATATTAATTGAAATAATGAATTGATTTGTGATTTGGTCGTGTTCGTTCTTTGTTCCTCCCCAGTAATTGATATTTGAGCTTGATTGAAGGCTTTAACGACATGGTGCCTTGTACAGATAAAGTAAAGCTTTGGTGCAGAACTAGCCATATATTTATGAAATGGCTGTTCAAAGCGGTATCCTGGAATGATCGAGCAGGTTTACGGACAAATTGCATCTAGCGAATTGGAGTTTATTAATTGTAATGCTGTATGGTCGATAGACTAAAACATTTTATATCAAATCAAACGCCCCCAAGCTCCTTCTCTACCGCATCTGCCATTTCCCCTAATGTATTAAACCTCCACTCCCATGCCCCTACTTTCACGAACTCATCATCCTCCGATCCGATCGTTGCATCCTTCCTACTAATCCAGGCACTTCTCAGCTTCATGATCTCCGCTGGAATATGATCATGATGCAGGCTCTGAGCTGTATGCAGAATCTCATCTTTCTCTACACCAAACCTCTCTTTGACCTCTTTGAGCAAATACTCAAAGTTGTTCAAGTCCGGCTTATAGCTACCAATATCCTGAGCTGTCAAGATAGCATCGAAGATACCTTCACCACCCAACTCAGGCAGCGAAGTTGCAAAAGAGTCACGGTCGACATTACTCAAGACCACCAGCTTGAAGTGCTTCTTGAGTCTCTTCAACGCGTCTACCGTATCAGGGAACGCCTTCCAGTTCTTGATGGACGCTGAAAATTCATCCGCCTCTTCCTGTGATGGTGGGGGCTGAGAGAGGGTAGATGCAATCTGCTGGTATACGGTGGAGAGGACTTCCGAATACTTCATCTCGGGGGTTTCCTTCTGCTGAGCACCCTCGAGAGTGTTGTAGAGGTTGATGAATTCCTCACGGGAGAGGGTGTTTGTGGTGGGGGAGTAATGAGTGAGGAGGGGTTGAGCGGCAGCGTAGAGTCCGCTCTCCCAATCAATGAGAGTACCGTAGACATCGAACGAGAGCAGCTTGAAGGGCTTGAAAGAGGTAGTGTTATCGTTATCAGTGGTCGGTGCAGACATTGTGAGATTTTGATATCGATGGCTTTAGATACGGATTGATTGTGGATGGCCGGTATCTTTGTATCGTGATAACGTGCACACGATAGAGGGCCCTGACGCAGGACTTATAAAGTTTCCCTGCTAGCTAGCAGTACTAGCATACCACATGGTACCCAGGCCAGATTAAAAGTGGGGTAGAATACAGCATCTGTCCAAGTTTCTGGCCGTTTCTGCAGGGACCGGCGAGCACCAAGCAAAGTGGATGGATGAAAAGTGTGCATACGTGAGTCAGTTAAACAAGGCAGCTAGGCAGACAGGCAGACAGGCATCATACATCAGTGACAGAGATCCGCGCTATATTACAGCTTGCTAATTTTCCGGCCCCTGATATCGCGATTACGATGAGCTTAGTGTCGACCACATATTCTTCTTTTTGTGAAACGGAGCTGGACTGTTTGGACTATTTGAACTATTTGTATCTTATCCCTCGCGCGCGGTACCTGGATGTGAAGCCGGGTTTCAGCCCAGCGCAACCAACCAATAGCATCCGAATGCGGGTTGTAGATAAATAATCCTCGTCCGAGCGGCCCCCCAAATTTAGCCTCATCAATTAATAGTAGAGCAGGCTAGTACATGATGTAGTTACTCTACTTTAAATACCCGAGAAAGGGAGCAAACATGCATATCTCCAGATCTTTCAAGATACACGCGAGCCAGCAGCCAACCAGGAGCCCCCATTCACAACTTTCCAAGATCTTGGAAGCTGGAATGCTAAGACTAATTGCATGATGATCTCGGGAGGCGAACGGGAGGCGACAGGGCAAACAGAAATGCGCCTGGAGAGAGATTCGCGGCTGGTTGTCGACATCGTTAAATAACCTTTGCCTCCCCCGAATATTCACCATATAGATACTTTATAGAACCTTAATCCCCTCTTCATATACACACATTCATCATAAAACACAGTGCATATATACACAATGCTTCCTTCATCACTGCTATTAACACTCCTCATGCTCCTCCCAAGCATCTCGCACGCCCAAACCACCTCCCCCAAACGAGGACTAACATACCTGACCCCCGAGCACCCCAACGATGACAAAGCTCTACTTTCCGCTGATAGCTCCCTCACTTGGTACTACAGCTACAAATCGCTCCCCGATGCTGCCGTCACAGGCCTCGAGTTTGTGCCAATGCTCTGGGGCGACCATGACAACACATTCGTCGCCGAGGTGACCTCGCAGCTGCCAAACGTCAAGTACGTACTTGGCTTCAACGAGCCAGACATGTCGCTGGACGTTGGTGGAACTGCAATCTCACCAGAGAGAGCGGCGTTCTTGTGGAAGCGCGATATACAGCCACTGAAAGGGCAGGTGAAGCTGGGCGCGCCGGCGGTCAGTAGTGCGGAGTGGGGAATGCCGTGGTTAAAGAGGTTCGTATCCATTCTAGATGGTGAATCCATTGTTTTGATTTTTTTAGTAGGATTGGACTAACGGAGTTGTGATTGGCTGTAGCTTTTTTGACGCCTGTGACGGGTGCTCGTTTGATTTTATACCGATCCATTGGTATGGCAACTTTGAAGGGCTTGCCTCCCATCTTGGGCACTACCATGTTACCTTCCCAGACCAAAAGCTGTGGATCACAGAGTTGGGCTATGCCCACGTCGACCTGTTTGTCCCCCCTACTCCTTCCATTTGGCGGGAATATGCCTAGACTAACACTCAAAATCAAAGGCAAGCAACTGAGGACTTCTTCAACACAACAATAAACTACCTCGATAGCCTCGACTATGTCGAGCGCTATAGCTGGTTCGGCGCATTCAGAGCTGACGTCAGCAATGTTGGCCCCAACGGCGCAATGCTGAGTGCCGATGGTGAGCTGACGAATATCGGGTTGTGGTATCTGGGTCTTGAAGGGTCGGGGGCGAGTTCTGGCGCAGCTGCTGTGCTGGTGAAGAAGATGGTTCTTTTGGGGGCGATGGGATTTGCGGTGGGGTGGGGAATACTTTGTTAGGACTTTTCTTTTTGCTGTTGTGTTTAGGGGGCCTGTTGCTTATATTGTTTCTTATGGCGTTTATCATTGGGCATGGGCGTTAACTTGTGGCATTTTACTTGGAGGATACAACTGTGGATAGTTGTTTAGCTAGCTAGTTATACCATACGAGAAGTAATTTGTGTTTAGAAGACATTGGTCGGTTGGGTTGTGGCTTTGGGGTCACGACCTATCACTCGTTGAGAATGGCTAGTCGAGTTGAATGGTGGAGGTGATTGATTGATTGATTGATTGATATATTCGAATGGTAGAGCGCCCTAATAATAGGATAAATTCGTCCTATAGATTATAGATGGCCTTATATTGGAAATTTACTACCATTCAAGGCCCTTAGAACGCAAAGGCTTTTAGAGGCATAAACTACTAGTAGCTTGGCAGTTTTTGGCCGGCTTGTAACAAGAGAGTAAATTAGACTCTTTCCAGCCTCGGGCTCAAATCACAGTGGAGACATTAACCGGGAGAGTGTAAACCCCAAAATTGCTTGAGCCCTAACTTATGCATGTAAACGTAGCTACATATAGTATGGGTTCACCTTTCCACTTCATCCATGCTTGTTTTGTCGACAGCGGTCCAGAGGTATACAATGCTAATGGTGTCCATACTTTAGTTGTAGTTATGATAGATACATTTACTTTCAATCCGGTTAATGTTGCTTAACGATAATTGATTGAGTGTTGGGAATTAAACAAAAAAACAAGATTGAGTGTTGGAGTGGCTATATAACTTTAACCCTAACCCTAGAGCGAGCTCCACCAACTTTGACTCGAGACAACATTTCCCTACTCTTTCCCCTCGATTACTCAGATATTCTGAATTCAGTCCCCAAGGAAGTGATTAACGTGTCTACATAGCTACCGTCTCGAGAGAGTCGGAAGGACACTGTAATCTTAATTTGGCATGAGGCGCTAAGGCGATAACCGATGAGTGATCGACATGACAAAATCTGCCTAGATTTTTTCTCGGCCCCCGCCATCAACATCTCTCTACGTACCTAGAGCGTTTGTTTGCAACTGCAATTGAAATTCTTCGCGATCGAATAAATAACCCTAATCACCATCAAAATGCGCCCCTCATTCGCAGCACCCCTCCGTTCTCTCCTCCGCCCCTCCTCCGGGCTTCTTGCCACCCCAATCTTGCGAGCACCTCTTCAATTCCGCCCCCAATTGCAACGCTCCGTGGGCCCAACTCGATCAATCCAGTATGCTACAGGCAACAAGATCCGTGAACAGCCCCGTCTCCGTCTCGGAACCGAGGCTCCTAACTTCACTGCCGAGACTACTCATGGCAAGATTAACTTCCACGAGTAAGCCCCTAGCCTGTCCATTGCTGTCACCCCCCAAGGAACAGTGGTTTCTAAATGTGGCATATATAGGTTCATTGGAGACAGCTGGGCAATTCTCTTTTCTCACCCCGCCGATTTCACTCCTGTTTGCACCACCGAGCTTGGAGCATTTGCCAAGCTCCAGCCCGAGTTCACAAAGCGCGGTGTAAAGCTCATTGGTCTCTCAGCCAACGGACTCGAGAGCCATCACCAGTGGATTAAGGACATTGATGAAGTCACCGGTAGTGAATTCACCGGGAAGCAGGGCTTCCCCATCATCGCTGATGAGAGCAGGGAGGTTGCATGGTTGTATGACATGGTTGACTCTCAAGATTTGAAGAACATCGACGAGAAGGGAATTGCGTTTACCATTAGAAGCGTCTTCGTCATTGACCCAAAGAAGAAGATTAGACTGATGATGATGTACCCGGCTTCAACTGGAAGAAACTCGGCAGAGGTTTTGAGGGTTGTTGATTCTTTGCAGACTGCGGATAAGAACGGCGTTACCACCCCTATTGATTGGACGTGAGTTTTAGGGATCCACTCTGGTTTTGTCTTGGGAATTGATCGATTGACTGGTGAATAGTGTTGGACAAGATGTGATTGTACCGCCAAGTGTTTCTACTGAAGATGCTAAGGCGAAGTTTGGAGAGGACAATGTCAGAGTATTGAAGCCGTAAGTATTCTTAAATCTTCATTTTTCATTTTATATGTATTTTTTTTAATTTACTAAAACATCCGTGTACCTACATGTAGTTACCTGAGATTCACTACTCTTAAGAAGTAGAGACCACCGTAAATATAAATAGATTATCTGGTAATAGAACCAATTTGGCTTTATTTACCCTCTCTAGCGAAATTTCGTGCATAAGTGATGTCTAAATTATACCCCCAAAATTATTTACCATAGAAAGAAAACTTTTTCTATGCATGGATATTTTCATTACAACCAAAAGCGGAAAGACTCGGAAGCCAGGTAAAATCTTCGGCTACCGGTTATAACTTCCTTCACATCCCTAGCTACAGGATGATATATTGCTAAACCGTCTACAGCCCTGTAACGTTATGTGCTAGTTATATAGGTAATCGATTTACAGATTCAGGGTCTCACTCCTCATCTAACTTCGAGGGTACAATACTCACCTTTAAGGGTGCTCGTGCAGGAACTAGTTAGCACAACTTTCTGTATTTTGGCTTTTGTGGTTAAAGCCAAAGGGCCAAAGGGCCAAAGGTTGGATAAAGGGCTATCTTTTCGTATGTAAATTGATTTGACGGGCAGCGACTTTCAGGAGCTCTGGTAGATACCACTAGTTCATTCTTGTGCATGATATTTTGCCAAATTCTTTCTGTTGGGTGTACATGTACGGCTGGGAGAAGGTGGTATGTAAACAGAACATGATCATGATATTCCACTAGATATATGTAGATAAATGTACTCGCAAAAGGTTAAAGAATTCTAGACCTTCAAAACTACACGTAGGTTTAGAAACTGCATTTTTCAAATAAATCGTAGTAACTTAATAGGGTTTTGGCTAGAATTAGTTTATTGAGATGACGTATATAGAGCGCTAGTATGCATGACTAAAAGTGCACACGTTGTTTTTTATTTCAACACCAATCTAACCCCCGCTCTCAGTCATGGACACTCACATTCCACTGCTTGCTCTTATCAGCCGATGTTAATTTCTAATCCTCTTTTATAATTACCTCATGATCCTACTCGCTCGTCTTCGCCAAGAATACGCACCTAGCTTATAAATTCAGGGATTTGACCAACTGAACTTTCGCTCTCGCGGTCAGGTGAACGTTCTTGGCGAAGACGCACGAGTACATTCGAGGTGCAGATATTTGAAGGATGGTATTTACTTTTGAGTATATGTACATGTAGGTATGTGTTCTCCAATCCATGAGCTCAAACATCTGAATGTGATAGTAACCACACTATTAGGGCATGGCTGTTGAACGCAATGGCACTCTTCTGGGTTCGCTAGGTGAGAAGAATCCTACACGTACGCGTCGGGCTCACGCAGATAAAATAAAATAATGAAAAATTGTTTGTAGGGGTTTCGCACTAAGTGATCACTACATGTAACTATGCCAGCCGTTAGGTTCCTCAAGCTTGGCTTGCGATCACCCCATACTCACACCACGGATGTATAGGATTGATATTGATTTTTATATCGTCAATCTAATATAATACCATGGGTATTTTTGGTGAGACGAGTTCCTTTACGGAAGAATTGTCTATATTTCTTTCGGCTTCCTGTCCTTAGAAGCCGCCATCTCATACCACTCTAGCGAGTGATAAAACGTGATCAGTATCATGACGCGAGCAGCGGGTGTTGTTCTATACAGTACCGTATCTACCCATTGTATAACAAGCACTACCCTAATATTATTCTAGGCAAAAGCCGAACCCTTTCATTGGAGAAAACTTGCAGCATTTGATAACGGGTCGCACACCCTAGCGCCGTTCCAGGAAGGACCAATGACATGCAGCACACGGTCGGTTGCCAAGCAAACAAAATATCAGGCAGACTCAATATTTACTCGGTTATAGAATGATTTACTGCAAGGAGGTGAATCGGAGCAAGGGAAGTCGGAAAGACCTCCGGGGTTGAAATACTATCTCTGCAGGTATGATAAAATGTTTCTCTAGAGGACTACATATTGGTTTTAGGGCGAGGGAGTTTCGCACGCCATACAATTGGGCCTCAGTTCGTGCGTCGGAAATCACCTTTTCTTTTACCTTAGGGACATTCATTCCGTACAAGAGGCTATATTTGATATAGACCAGTAACAGAGAGCTGAGTATTTGGTGCACTTCACAGGATAGAAAGTTCCATGCGATTATGCGCTATCGAATGGAATTTGAAGTGGACCTGCAGGAAGAAAATCGATGTTGTTCGCTACAGAAGTCAACAACGTTGTACAAAATAAGTTATTGCCGATTATCATTTCGGAGAACCGGTAAATAGATCTGGAGCTAAATGGCAGGGTCTAGGTCGGAAATTTAATCGCTTGAAATACGTACATACGTGCCTCCCGCTTTCATCTAGACAGAGGAAATAGGACGACCAAAGCTCAACTGCCACCAGCAAATTTCACCTATTTGCATGGGTCAATCGAAACACTGTGCCTTGTCGGGTGAAATCGGTCCGGTATCTCTAGCTCTAAACCTAATATTCTACTTAAGACACCTGCGCTCTGATACCCCCATATATCTACCCCCGGAACCCCCGGAAGAGAGAATCAGACTTCATAATGCGAGGACTCGATTGAAAATACTTATGAGAGACATCCTTTAAAGCTTTGTCATCAGGGGGCCCAATGATTCCCAGATACAAAATCAAAGTCTAACAGGCCCATACTCTATTCAGCAGATTTCAAAATGCAAGTCGATAATCCAGGCAACGATATATCTCCATTATGAAACAATTTCGACAACTCATGAAAGAAAGCAATATCATTCTTGTGGTACCTCAGCAAACAATTTCCCTTAGGGTCCACCGACTACACACATTGGAAGAAAATGCAGAATGATATAGAATGAGATATTGAAAATATTCTAGCGTCATTCGAGAGTACAGCTATTCTTCCTACAGAATAGAGAGATCACAAAAAGACAGCAAGGAATTCAGATACAGGGGAATTGTGGAAAAATATACTTTCATCTGGTGGGCAGAAATGCAACAGACTGAACAACTAAATCAAGAAAACAATGGATGGAAACGCCTATGAAAAGAACTCCACAAAATGAAAATCACCTGTCGAAATGGCCGCTCTGAAGCCACGCATACACATCCTCAACTTCGAGATTCTGATGGTATAATTGTTTTGTTGGGTAACCGATTGCCGGGTCAGGAGGATTTCCTGCGACGCTGTAATGGTTTGAGAAATAGCTGGGAACCTCAAATTGCCCATTGATAGCAATTGTTGATACCTCATGGTTGGTGGGATATGGAGTTTGTGGTGAGACAGGAGCTGGAGGAGTGTTATCTCTCGCACAAATCATTCTTTCAACAATGACACTAAGCTCCGAGGCAGTCTTTGCGCTTGCAGCTGCCGCCTCGTTACCTCTTTCGCCAAATCCAGAAAGGAGGGTGATAACAAAATGAATGTCTTCTTCATCATTACTCGGCGTGCTACAAGCACCAGTAGCACAAGTGCATTCTTGCATCTCTTGGCCAAAGAGACGACTCAGCAGAAGTACAATGGCTGCGTTGAAGAGGTAATGATAGTCCGTAAAAGAGTGATGAGATATCCACCCAGAAGACTGAAGTTGCCTTCCCAAGGCTATATTCCGACGAGCGGCGTTTGAACAGATGATAACGTGCTGTTCAATATGTGGTGGCATCTGAGGAATGTTTCCTGAAGACACACAAAAAGCTGCTGTTCGTTGTTTGGCTGCTAATAAGAGGGAAGGTCTAGTTGTCAAGATATGCAACTTCACTAACATTAGCCAAGGTATCACCAAAGCCAACCTCCTAGATGGATATAATTACCTGATTGTATAGGAAGTGCAAAAGAAGGACGGAGCGTCCACGAGCAACCCCGTTAATAAGTTTTAATTCGGGTGGAAGACTTTCTTCCCAGGACCGAAGGTCATTGTGGATATTTTCAATTACTCCGACAACATCACCAATCTCCCTCCCAAAACCGCTTGTTGTTTTACGGACGCGGTAGACCTCTGAAATGGTTAGAGTTTTGCGCAGGTACTAGAACGTATTCATAACTTACTGTTGACGACGTCGCCCATTATTTTGCTAAGACGCACATGGGCGGACAGACCGGCACCTGAGGGTAATGCATCTCCCTTGATCACAATAAGTTACACCCCAACTCATAACTTTTATAACCTTTTTGACATGGTACTCACAATTTCTGAGGGCAGATCAACGTCGATATCCTCATCGGAAAGCATAACCGGCCTACCCATGTAGCAGCTAAAGATCCTGTAATATTATGCACAGTTTTAGAAAAGTACTCCATGATGATCGGTAAAGGGTCGTACCTGTCTAAGATGTAAATGTTCCAGAATTCACGTTTCTTTTCTTCATACTGCACTAACTTCCGAAGTTGATCTTCTGGACTAGATGCTGATGAAAATTGCAGTCCAGGGCCGTTATAACGCCCTATCCCTCCAGAAACCCATTCGCCTTTCCTCCATGTCCGGTGCAGTCCATGGGATACGGCCATTCTGACGGCAAGGCCAATATACATGTAGGCTGCATCTCTTCTATTTGCTGATAGAAGGTAATAGGACATTAGAGTGATTATGCGGAGAGAAGGCAAAGAAGCCTCCTCTACTGGATTAACAAGAAGAAGTTTTGCGCGAGCAAAAAATGTCATTCCGGGGAGTGTATTTGCACTATTATGTGCATAATGGGGAGCTGAATTCTCGCGCGTGTGATGGTATGCCTGATCTATATGAGTGTGAGGGGATATTGGTTCTGATCCAGCTACGAAATGACGCCAATGTGCTGAAATACCAGCTAATTCGTCCTCAACAGTAGAACTTGTACCGGTTGTTGCCATTACTTGGCAACTGAGGGCGAGTATCATGTTTATCACGCAAAGAGAGGTATAGTCCACAGGCGAGACCGTACCGTTGAGCGGAGGGCCATAGTTTGTAACTTCGTACAGCGCCTCGATTTCCAGGTAAATCTTTGATGGGTTAAACCAATGAAATATACCGCCACCATCTACAGGCTGGGTAGATGTGCCACAAGCACATAGCTTGAGGAAGCTATCTAGATGCCTCAAAACAATTGTCTTTTGAGGTAGTGTATATGGATCCGTGACGGGTAAGGATAATGGTAGGCTATCATGGGTGTAGTAGGAAGATGCTGCTGAAGTGAACGACAATGCAGGGTCGACTGGAACGCTATGACTAGGTATGTACGACATGTTCCGAGGTATGTGGGGATATGACGATCTAATAAAATCTCGAATCTTGTCTATAAACGTTGCTCCAGCCGAATCTCCAATGAAACCTGTTAATGCCATCAGCTTCAATCGTTGGTGTTCCATCCGTAATATCAAACTTACTTGAATATCCCTCTGAACAGCTCGAAAATCTGTTTGATTCGTCCCCAGCCTCAAGATCGTCGCCTGAAATAGCTCGGTTTCTGGAGCCAAAAGATCCGTTCTCTGGCCAAACTGCCGCCCCAGGGGAAGTTGGAGATGGTTCTCCACTGCTTGAAGTAATACTACCGTTTTGACTCGGAAAGCTGATGCCAAAACGACCTACAATATCTTCGCGTATAGCTTGATCTGGTACTGCCTCACAAAGAGCCTTCTCTAGCGCATATATCCGGGCTTGAAGTTTGTCTACAAAAAGCTCCGGTACCACAATCTTTGCAGAGGCAGGTGGGTAATTGCATGTGATGTTTGCAAGATAACATTGTCGACATGGTTGCTCCCCGGTGCCTATATCATATATTGTTAGTCCTCAAGTAACTGATGAATATGAAGGACTGGCTCATGGGTAAAAGGAAATTAGTGACGAATAATGGACTTACATCGGATTTTCCGTGTCTTACAGTGGTCGCATCTACATACACAGATACAATCTCCTGTCAATCATTTTGGTTTTCTCATTAACTCTCGGAGGGCAGGGAGACAAACGCTACAGCAATCCTCTTCCTATCTTCATCACGAACTTTCGGTCGCTGACGGTTAGAGCTTGCTCGCCTTCGAGGCTGAAACTGAATCTCGGGTTGTTCGGACATTGAAGATAGTGATTTAATTTAATATGAGGTTAGATCAAGAGATAATTTCCTCACTGTTTATGGTGTATTGATTGGAACACAGGTAGTTGAAGTTTGAACAAAGTATGGAAAGTACGGAGATATATATCGAACCTTGGTTGAACCTTCATATAAGATTTACGACCCCTAGAACTGCCGTGAATTTTGGCTCGGGAGTTATCTTCTAATTGAAGCTTGCGGCAGCAGATGCTGATCTCCAGCGGATGATCTGGACCTGGATGTTTTGATTGATTCAAATCATGCACAAAGATCTCGATTTTGATTTCTTCACCTCTATTGTGCCTAGATTATTTGGATAATCTCTCGTACCTCCCGTATATGGGCGGCATTTTTCTATACTGGATCAGCAATCATCTGTAGGTATTGGCGCATATTAGCACTGTCGGCATGGTATCGAATAGGCATGGCCGTTTGAAAGGCCTCATTACAAAGTCTGCCTAGCTATCATCAAGAAATTCCAGCTCACCGGAGTTACAACCTACCGTGTTTATCCTTTAGCAGCCAGAATCAGAAGAATAGGAGGACACTATGAAAATTTAATATTACCCCTTTCATTTCCTTCGTTAAATCAATTGATCAAGTTAGGTCTTCTAGGCATTAGGTGCAATTACCACGTTTTTTGTGTGTACTACTAAGTTAATGGATGGTTGAGAAAAGGCAATCCGGCATCGAGATCGTACAGGATCTGGGGAGGGCTATCCAAGGGCATGATTGCTTCAAGACTATCAAAGCCATTTACAGGAACAAATGCATATTGCGTCAATTGATCAAGGGTCACCACGTGGAATACCCGTCCCCCCAGCATCTGTGGGGATACACGGGTCAAAGTTCAGGGTACCCGAACGATTGTCAAGGTCATAGGCCCTGAGAGTTTTTATGCGTTAACAACCCCACAGTTTTAAAAATTAAATGGCAGAGCCCATCGGCGGAACTACTCCTGGCGCAAAATCCACTACCATATTTCGATTGGTCTAGAGGTAGATAGCTATATGTGCGTACATCTCTACGGCACGCACTCGATCCGATAGCACTGGTAAGTTAGAGGAAGCTAGGGCCTTTCAAGCCTCCGATCCACCAAACTTGGATACAAAGTCCCAGCACCACGTCCAGGAATCTCTTGCCGCACAATGTTTCTACTCAAAATCATGATCAACTTAATAGGCCAAAATCTCAAATCGGTTGTATTCACATACATTACAAAACATTAAAGTCTAATGGTATTTGAGTAGAGCTGGCCTGATGTAGGAGTCCTTCTAAACTTTCCCGACATCGGCAGAGTACACAAGGGGGGGGGTTAGGTTTGATCACCTCGGAAGGTAGAATCCCCAATCACTCATAGCTGCTTAGCTATGTACTGTACTGTACGCCCTCCATGGCACAAACGACACGAAGCTGTCCGGCAGTTTTGGACAGATATCAGTTACAAAATTCTTATACGTAATAATCTCTTAGACGCCCAATCTCCCACTGAGAGATTATAAATTCTAATATCCTAGCCGGATTCTACGTACCAGTTTGGATAATGCTCACCGCCAACCAAAATTACATGTATCTATACGCAGGAGTTACCCTAGGTTGATAGACTCTGCCAAGACAAGGCGAGATAGTACGAATTTGCCCTAAACCAAAGATGTAACCTATAACTCTGGGCCTCATCATGGATATGATCAACCTTTCATGGTTTGTGGTTCGCACGCCTTGTGTGACAGGTTTCGGCTCAGGCAGACAAACACATTGACAGATAAAGTCTTGGATCTAGTAATCAGTATATATTCTTAGATATTAACTGTCAAAGTGTAGGGGATATATTAATTTGGGATCTTCATTCAAAGTAAACATGGAAATGGGTCTGGCCCGGCCGCAGATTTTAAACATTGAAGACCCTCATTATGCACCTCCCATTTCGGAAGCGAAACCGGCACCCGCAACCGTTACTAGAACATTTTACACTCGTCTTTTCTTATATGGGATGAACGCGTATGTCTTGAGTGTGGTGCCGATCGAATCTTGGCATTTTAAAACTCGGTCTTAGTAACGGAAAAATCAAGGCCCCGGAGGTCTATGTTCGGATTAAATATAATCAGTTCTGCGGTGAAGACAATAAATAGTGATACAAACAGCTCCCGTTTTGACTTCTGTGTTAGATACAGGCTAAACTCCATTGATTTGTACTCTCTTGACTCAATTAATTAGGCTAGGCATGCAAGAAGAGTCCATTATCGTTATATAGTTGCAAATCGTTCAAAATAACATCCCGCGGCGATGGGACGCCAGGCTCTGGGACGCCAGGCTCTGCACTCTAATTGATTGTAACTTAACATATATGTCAGTATTATCGATTTACTGGGAGCCTGAGATCTTCAAACTACTGCTAATCTCAGCGAACAGTCCGCCAGTAAGTGGTTATACGTTATTCTCTACAAGCACATTCGTCCTTCTGCTCCAGTTTGACACCATCTTACAAAAATATGATGCCTTTTGCTTCCCTTCGGCTTACTTTCCTCAGGCCCCAAGGCTACTCTTCTCATAAATCCCCGGGCCCTGTCTCTGCATAATTCCCTCTGAGATTCCCGCTCTAAAGGTGCTAACAGCCACAAAAAAAAAAGAAAACAGTTAAGCATTTAGCAATTCCAATCAGATGTCAGCGCATCATGTTTGCATATAAAGAATGCATGAGTATCTAGAGGAAAATAAAGCTTCCCATCCAATCTGGACAATTGCCCGACCATTATGTGCTGGTCAAATAGGACACCTACGTGGTAAAAGATTGAACAATTCGAGAGCGGTGACGACGAGAATTGTGACAGCACAGGCCTGGTACCCATGCAAACATGACATGCACAGACGAATATATCATGTACTTGAACAAGGAACAGTCATCGGAATACCAAGATACTGGTACGCGAGTGATAGCCTATGATGCCGAGGCCCTAAGTCGCTGCTTTGTGATTCGCCTTGTGGATGCCTGTCTACCAGGAAGGTCAGGACGTTTCGCTCCTTTTATTTTATTTTCAACTTTGTTTGGTCGCCCCGCATTCTGATACTTGGCGGTGGTATTGCCCCTGCCCAGAGAATCTCCTCGAAAGAGCTCGCAAAAGCACCCCATCACACTGGAGAAGCTGTAACGTCAAGCCTCCTAGATACCTGGGTATAACGACATGTTGATAGCAGACAAGCTTTGAGGTCAGCCCTTTCGGAGCATCTCCCGTCTGTCCTGTGACACAAAGAGACTGGGGGTGTTTGCATGTCAAGAGCAAGGGGATACGTATCCCATGGACAAAAGACCCTACGTATTGGCTCGTAGCAGAAGTTATGTCCGCAGATTTTGCCGGATATTTTTCCGCATGTCAACTATTAGTTGACACATGCAGCGGTAAGCCTTTTGAGTACACGCCATGCGTCAAGTGCCGATTGCGGAGCGATGGCGATCTACGTACCTCTCGGCACAATCATCCGAATAGTGATCATTCTGGGGGTACTACGTTTACAAGTGAAACGGCGGGGTGATCCTCCCTGTGAAGCCACCATGTGAACTACCACGCAGCTACTATATTCACTGTTTACACCCAGTCAGCACACATAGGCAGCGGTGAACCGTGTACCGGATACCGTATCTCCATGTGAGGAAGCAAAATAGAGTCAAAAATTGCAAAGAGAGCTAGCTCACGAAATTCAAGGCCCTGCATATGGATGATCTTCACTCAGGGCTTTAAATCCTCACCACGAAATTGGGATATACTGAGAGTAGATCTCTACACTTTAACCATAATCCACTGATCAGCGGAGCGCCTCTTGGAAAGATTTTGGTGCAAATGTACATATATTTGGAGGTTCTTTCTATCAAATTTTCGGTTCTATTGCATGTACAGTACCCATGTATACATGTATGTGTGTGTATAGTCAGATTAATGAACCACCAGCTCAGAATCCATGAAGCTTTATCAACAGTGCACATTATATTACCCGCGGAATGTACCATTAATCAGTCTAATTCTATGTATCTCCTCTCCATATTTCTAGCTCGGTGAGACTTTGTGGTAAACATATCCCACTCATATGAAGTTATGTACGAACTGCAGATAGATGCCTAGGCCTTACATGGATGCGTATGTTATATATGTGGTTTGTTTCTATATAATATAATCTCTCTTCACGCTAGACTAAATTTATAAAGTACGCAGCTAATAATGCGATATATCACTTGGCACGACGTCACTTGGTAGTCTCGCTTCTACTGACGTCTACTCCAGTCGTTTTCGAAACCTTTGGCTTTTGTAGAGGGGATAGGTTATAATTAATCCGGGTGGTGTTGCGATGTCAAAGGGTTGGGGTTGCTTATATTAATTAAAGTACTAGCAAATTCCCGTCTTGGTATATCTTGGTATTAATTCCAAGAGCTGCAGGTTGGATCTTTGAAAATTAAAAAAAAAAAAAAAAGTTACACTACAGCGAGATCCGTCAGGGAAGCCGGATGCAAGCGGATCTGGAAAGGTTGAGTCCAACTGTTTCATTCGCTGTACCTCTAAAAGCAAATTTTACTTGCAGAATTTGTATCTCCCATGGCCATTAATACCACATACAATAAAATCGATTATTCTAGGTATATGCCAGTGAGATTTCTGACTCGAGCCACTCCTCGGAGAACTTTGACAAATAGACCCATATACGCATCAACTATTTGATATCGGTTCTTATTGGTAAATATCAGGTGGTTTTTGGGGCGGACTGGGTTTGCATACCCCAAAATCCGGTACTTCATGCAGCTCTTTGATGGCTATATGCATTCCCAGTCCGTTCCAAAAACACCAACTATTTTTACGAGCGATGTAAAACGCCTACTACATGTATACATGTCACATATGACGTACACAGGAGACAGTGGGGTCCATCAATGCCAATAAAAACAAGCTTTTAATATGCTCAGGTCGGTGAGAGCGTACATGCATGAGAATTGGACACTAGAATTGCGTGCGATCTCTCTATCTTAGTCTTCGGATTGATGCATGTCCCCGAAACTCCACTGTCTCTAGATCTCTTCATAGATACTCTTAATAACCCCGCGATTCATGGCGGGGTCCATAGTTGTATGACCCGTGTCATTCATGAAAGCTCTGTATGAATAATACCCTCAGTGATTACATTTTACAATATCCCTTGCTTTTACGTACTGCGCAGGTGATAACAGTCTTTGGCCTGTGTGTTGATTTGTCAATATGAAAGCTATAGTTAAACCTGTTGAGTTACCATCCGTGTAAAGTATGATATTAAATGATTATATAATCCCTATTCTATCCAGGGAGGGTTGTGCCCTAGGGTCCCAGGCCTTACAATTGATGTTAAATTATCCCTTACAGTTAATATTAAGTTCTTATGTAACTGAGGTAATTTTTCATATTCCTAATAGGGTTCTAGCTCGGAATCTTTCGGTGATAACCACCTTAGAAAGCCTTGTTTTTTTCTAGCAATCGATTTGCTTTACTGTACCGACGTGTTTGGTGAGTATACTTAAAGATGCATGTATGTACATGTGTATTTGGTCGTTAGTCGGGGCCACATGTATTTGATTGTTTTGAAGTACTGTTAGAGAGCTAGAGGTCTTCTGAGCGAAGATAGTGGTGTCCAATAGCTAAATACAGTATATGATACATGAAGAGTCGAAGCTCTGGGTTTCCCTAAATGTTTATGACGAACGATTGAGTGTGGAGCCTGAGTTTACAGCTTCTAAGGTCCGCCAATAAATTTTCTCGGGGATAACAAACATAGTTGGGCTGCGGGGCCGACATCGATACCGGTGATGCTTGGAGTATATATCCCGCTGCGATCTTCTATCATCAGTTCGGTTGCGAATGTCCTACTTGTCAAGGGACGATCAGAAAACAAAGCTTGTCGCAAGAGGGTTAGATAAATGTGGTACCTCACCAGGAACGGAATTTGGATCTCCGGTGTTAATTTATTATTATATACCCCACTCCGAGGAAAGCGCAAATAATTGACCAAATAGTAGGCACCAGCGATATAGTTCATAAAAACCCCGGACACTAAGAAGTTCAGGGACCGACCAAAACTAACTATAGATCAACAAAATCATACGATTCCTATCATACAATCTTCACTCGCCCAGTGATCTTTGATGATCTCAACTTTATATTTTAGTTATTCTAACCATATTTATTGCGTTTATGACACCTGCAGTACCAACTCCCCACCTCATCGAATGCTTAAGTACATGTAGCCGTGTATCCCTGTAGACTTTAGAACTCTGTATCATAAAAACACTCAGACACACAACGCCTTGAACAAAGAAAATATAAGGGTATCCAAACCCATCCAATGATTGTTTATACTGCGACCCAAAGGCCTTTTAATAATGTCTAAAATGGAGAAATTGGGGGAGTTTTTCACAGACATAATCAGCTTCATCCCTTGTAATCTCAACAGCCAGCGGTCTTTCTGCATTATGCCGGTCCTTGACAATTTCGACCGTGTAGATCATTTGCTTCGTGTCCGAACCGTCACCAAGTGCAAATATTTCTAGTTGCTTAGGATTGAACCCTTTACTAGTAATTGCCGGATAATCATCGAATTCGCCAATTCCAAATGAAGCACCCCACTCGTCTGTGTTTGGTGGCCGAGAATATGACTTTATACAAGCAGTAATGAAGTTCAGTGCATAACCGTTGGCCCAATGTGGAAGATCAAGTTCATCATTGAAATTAATACGGCAGTTAAGAGCGCGAAGAGAGGAAGGCAGAAGTGCATGCAGTGCTCGGATCTATGATATATTAGACAATTTAGCCCAGCCAAAGGATAGTATTCAAGGGATTTTACCTCCGCTTCGGTACCGTAGTGTTCTGGAGAAAAAGCCAACTCTTCTAAACGGTCGAGTTTCTTCAACGATCGTAGATGGTCTTTACTTGGTGCAACAGCTGTATTGGTGGTTTGAAATCGGCCATCAAGAATCAACGTTTCCAGGGAATTTTTGTGAGATATGATAGAATCGATAAACTCGTTGCTGAAACCGGCGTCCATCTCTTTGAAGAACACATGGAGGTGTTTCAACGTTCCCTGAAGGCTTGACAAAAACTCAGGAATGTCTTCTGGAGTGGATGTGACCAGTTCAAACATGGTAAGCTTAGTCTTCTTATCCGAGGTTACTATCGCTCTAAGAAGCTCTTTATCGTTTTCACACGATATCAATACAAGACTCGTCAGGTGGTCCAGACTGATGTATGAGTTGAGTGTTTGAGGTATCTCGGCAATCGGGAAATAGGCCAGTCGTACGTATGACGGTTTATGCTTTGTGTCCGGCAACATCAGGATATCTGGAATAAGAAGATTCTGACGATCCTGAAGCACCACCGATGACTCTATTTCTAGACGTAATGAATTGATTTTTGAACATTTCTCGAGTAGCTTATTGACCTGAATAAGATGGGAAGCTGTTCGGATATTTCCAACATGGAGAGTGGACAGCGCGGCACAGTCACCAATATTTAGAAGCGTTCGATAATCTGGGTTGAAGAGGGGCATGAAAATTCGAACATCTTCAATTTTTGTCTGATACCTTCGGAGATGTTCCAAGATCATGGAATGTGGCGATGCATCGGGGTACCACCTATTTGAAGTGATTTAACAAAGTGGTTTATACAAAAGTAAACACAATATTAAAGGTTTACTTACAGAAATCCTTGAAGTTGGTCTCGTGGTATTTTTCTTAGAACGTCTCGAAGAAGCAAACACATGCCATACATGTGTTCGGTAGCTGAGTTGGTTCGTTCGTAGTCTTCGACGATTTCCCGCTTAAATTCGCCGTAGATATTGATCTTTCTACAATGGACTAGATTGCGTTGCTCGGGGATTATAAGGCAATGTAACAATCGTGGTGTAAACATTGTCCCCTGTGTTACTCTTAGCTCTATATTTTTATACAACCTCGGTGCGGCCAGCGATTTCATCTTTTTGGATGTAAGACAAAGAGAGGCTAAGTCGCTCGGACGACGAATCTATAGACATCTAGGTATTAATTTCGAATGCGCCATAAATCTTTACGATTATAGACGTACCTCCTGCAAAATCCTGTCGGAGATCTCTCGCGGCATATCATCGATGTTCTTTCTTGTGGAACCCCCGGTTTTCGATGCCTTGTTCGTGTCATTCTGTTCCCCCATCGCCGAAACCTCTTTTTTCTCGGCAGTGGTCGGGAAGACTTCGGTTTGCGCTGCAAGAGGGTTCGGTGCGTCTGAAAGGACTTGCGTTACCGAAGATACAATGTCTTCTGTATTCCTTCGGCCATTCATTGACACGTCGCCTGGCTCTCCATCTTGAGGTAAGGGCGCAATGAGTTCGGGACCAGAGGCTCTATCAGTCGTATCTTCAAGGCCTGCTTGAATTTCGCTGCTAGGTATCAATACAAATTCACTCCTTGAGAGACTAGGATAAGTATCAGTTGTGGCTTCTTGCTTTATTTCTTCAGGAACAATTTCGACTGGGGGTTTTCCGATTTCTCCAACATGTTCAGACATAGTATACCGCAGGTGTTGGGAATGGGGTCGTAAGATGTAGAATGGCGAGGGGAGTTTACGTATAAATATTGAACAAAGATCGGATTAAGTGTTGAATGAATCAAATGGAGACGTTACCCACAGATGAGCTCATGAATGATGTAGGTATCGGTAACGGTGGTGATGATGCTCAGCCTCAGAGCTTCCGTTGTCTACTGCTAAAGGCTTTGACTTTCGTGGCCTTGACCGGGCTGTTTGGTCAATCCCTGCTGCACGATGCACACATGACATCTAAGATCTGGATATCGACCTCCACATATTCGGATGCCCGCTTATCCCTTTTGGTGGTCAAGTAGCCAGCTTTTGAAGGGGCCAAAAGTGAACCGTGTACCTGAAAAACACTTAAAATTACCTACACTATCTCCAGTTCTCAATACACCAGCGAGATACTGATTTATGGCTTTATCCAGTGAAGATGAAAAGTTAGCTAGTACTTTATCAAGACGAGGTTGATGGGATATCGATCCTTGCTTGAATGGAATATTTGTACCGTACACAGTGACCGAATGAGACTAGTGAACGAGACTAGAACGCAATAGTATGTGTTTAAAGACACCAATGACTATATAAGCTAACTACATTTTATATGGCGCATAAGGCAAGTTTTTCCCCCAGCTAGCCGCTTTCACTCTTAAGACTAATTCCACTTGTAGATTACTCAAAATAATATGGCACATAAATACAGGTAGCTCGAAAACATGGGATCAATCGGATCATTAGGGCGCCATATAGAAAAGATACAAATGGTTAATCAGAGTGATAGAGTACTTCCGACGTATTCTAGTCGCACATAATTCTCGCTAGTGCCAGGTCCACGTTACTTTTGAAAAATGCCCACATAGATGATGTATGTATCATGTACTCGTATACGTAGCTTCATAGCGTTTCCGAACACGACCAATATTGCATCACATACAAAAAGGTGGATTTGGCGCTTTTTTGTATGGTATGCAATAGCAGTCGTGTCCGGAACGTCATGAATTTACGAGTACAATACATGCATGCATACATACATGTACTTAAGGAAATTCGGAATTCATAGGTTGCCCTGTCCCTAAATATACGCATGAAGCTCCGACCAGGGCAACGAATATCTATTGTATTTGGTATGCCTTATGCATGGTGCATTAAAAATCACTATCTCTGCTGGGCATACTTCTTCTCCTCATGGATCTATACAACTTGGAAAACGTGTGGCTGGCTGATCTTTTTGAGAAAGGTTTAGTGTCGATCTTTTTACCACTTGCGGTTTACCATGTCAGACGTTCAAAGCGATTTTCTTTACTTTCCAATTCAGATACACCAGATACAAGATGGAATCTCAGACCTCATTTTTTATTTCAACCTCTTATTTATTGCCTTTATGTTCATCTCTTGCCAGGTACAGTATCTAATTAAAAGGGGCATATATCAAGGAAGGCAGATCCCGCTGCTTCTCGATCTCAGAATCGACACATCGATGGCTTTATGCGCGTGTTGACCACGAAAAATGAAATATTCCATGCATGTAAGTGCATCCGGTAGCTCTCATTGGCTTCAAATATATATACGGACCCCTGTATCACTTCTTCCCACAAAGCCTCCGACTTTAAAGGTCTTCTTCGCCTATGGGTGTCTTGACGATCTCGTCATTCTGAGATCGACATATATATGTTTTTTATATTAAGCTATAAATTTTCAGATCAGGTATTCCGATGGTTGATACGTATGCACATTGCAACTCTACACACATAAGTATATGTACTGATATACATGTACATGGCATGGATTCGTGTTAAACCCTGCCTCATAGATAAGGGCATATATATACATGCTTTCTGGGGGATTTCACAGATAAGTGGTTCATAAATCTATCGGGGATCTTCAATCTCATAATAACACCCTGATAAACTTAACTATTGGTGTGTCCGATCCACTTTGTGTGAGCTTTTGACCCGTGTATTAGTATATCCTCCTTGCATCTACACGTTCATGCGGGGACCTGCAGCCTTGGCTACTTACATAGATGTAGACACAAGCTTTTTCTTCCGAACCCCGGAAATCTTTGAGAGAAAATCGAATCATTGATTAGTAAAGCCCATTATATATCACTAAGTGTTTTTCACCAATATCCGGGGAGCCAGGATGAAATGCCATACCCCATACCTGCATATATGATGAGGAATTCAAACAGTCCAACTTATAAGTTCGAGATCACCTTTAAAAAGACCCTGATTGGTTGGAATCAAATTCCATATGCCGTTTACGCAATTGCAAGTGTTTCCCGGTACTAGCTAATGCGCTGTAATTGAATCGTTGAATTACTTTCCCACCTTCCTCATATGTTGCGTTGGAGTCAGTATCACATTTTTGAGCTATATGCTTATACTTGCAGTAAATATAAATCGTGATTATAAGTCCATATGTCTCTAATGAGGCTAAACGGGGTTTGTTGATGGAATTCAAAGTACAGTCGAAACGTTCCTATCACAAATCCCAGATCCTAAACCCTGCGTATGCAGCATTTTAGTTCTGTAAATCTTTAGAAATTCCAGACACCACCTTTAATAAAAAGTTAATATAGTTAAAGTGCTTGTTTCCACACCATGAGATCGAATTGAAATGAGGAGTGGGTGATTGGGGGATAAATTACGAAGGGCGAAAACGTTCCTGCAAGGCTACTTGCATTCGATCAAAACCGACATATGTCTAAACTGGCTGTGATTTGTTTCACTAGGGCCTAAATCTCCGGAGATTTGTCTTTCAGCTGCGAGTTCTATGCGACCGTGACCTACCTAGGGAATCGGCTGTCTCAGACATCCACGCAATCGTATGGTTGCCTAACTACAACTCCCTCGGTGCTTCCCTACAAATCAGAGCAGGAGTCAGTGTTCATCATATGAAGTCTCTCGACCACTTGAACTGGATTTGAAGCGACATGGGGACATGGGGAGTAAGTAGTACATGCAAATTGATTAGGTTCATATGGCCAATTTAACATCGGGCGCTGAAGACATTCCTTCAGATGGAGATGTAGTAAATGTTAAGTACATATACGTAAGATATAGACTCTAGATATAGATCTCCTCACAAGAAAGAATATAAAAGATGCATGTAGCTAGACCTAACCTTCCGAAGTACACGTGTAAGTTTGGCCGTCGTGTGGCTTCGGGTAAATTTCAATGGACAAGTGCCCGACTGCGCTTCGACGTTACCCGCAAAGATCATCAACTAGAGTGAAACGAAACAAAACAAAAGCAATTATCTGAAGAGGTCTTGTCTCAAAAGATTATACGCCTCAACAGCCATTTGGCATCAACCACTATCTAGTATGTATGTGCTGATGGCTGATCATTTTCGGGGATGATCATGGTCGATGTACTTCACACAGCCCCACACCAACCTGGATACCGAAGACATTCCAAGATATTGATATGAGTTAATCAACATCAGTTTACCCCTTCTACATTAATATTCGGGTCTACTTTATATAAGCAATCTACGGCCTATTATAGTCGCAAAAGCTCCAGTATTTTTGATCACGATATATCACTCGGATGGCAGTACTGTCAACGTTAAGGATTTATAGATTGTCATTTTTAAAAAACTATTTGTTGTCCCTGCAACAAGCAACAATACCACGAGGAAAATTACTACCACAAATAAACTCTCAACACATTCCTCTAAGATTATCCTCATCTCCCCAAAAAGGGATCAGAAGAAGTCTTCTAGCAAGTCGCCTTGTTCCCACCACCGTCAATGCAAGTCACGCCATCGAATCCAGTGCTGAGCTTCTCGCTCTCACAGTCACCCTGGGCCTTGTCGCATCCCTCATAGACCTGGCACATCTTGGCCGGGGCGGCACCACAGGTGTTGCTGATAGTGACGGTGTCTAGAAAAAGTACAATTCAAGAATTAGTAAAAGAAATCTCCTTCGGATTATTCCTGAATGGATCAGACTAACCTCCATAGTTAGAGTTGGCACCACCAATGACGGTACCGCCGGTGGCAACGACACCATCCACGATGAGTTTGCGAGGGCCACCATTGCCACTGCAGTTTCCGCAGCTTCTCCAGAGCTTTCCGAAGTCCGAGACAAAGAAGTCCTTGACGACAACGGTACCCTTTCCGTTCATCTGAATGACCTTGTCGGAAGCACCCTTGGCACCACCACCGGTAACGTAAGAAGTACCAGATGATTGCAAGATAGTCAAAGCATCCTCACAGACATCTTCCCACCAAACGTTCTGTCCTCGCGATCTCAGTCAGTATAAAATCTTGGAAAAAGCAGATACTCGAGAAGCCATACCTGAATGGTGCAAGGACCATTGCAGTGTACACCCTCGTACTGATCAGAGCCAATGATGGCGTTCTTCAAGGTGGCACCGCTCTCAAGGATGAAGACAGCGCCGATTGAACCACCGTCGGCCTCGGAGCAGGGGCTAAGACCACGGCCAAAACGTTTCATACCACCATCGTAGGTACCGGTGACGGACATGGGCGCGGAGAGGGTGGTCGCACCAGCCGCGGTAGGGAAGGTAGTTGTAGCGGCGCCAGAGACGAGGGGAATGATCGCTCCCGCGGCGAGGGCAGTGAAAGTGCGAAGTTGCATTGTGAGTGTTTTGTAATAAAATGAACGTAAAGCCGTTTTCTTCAGGTTGGAGGCAATGAATGTGATGCTGATTTTGATGGTGAAGTGAAGAGGATGAAGAATGGATTTGGGGTGGAGATGAAGGTGCCCTTATATCTGTTTTCAAAAGCTCTCAAGGAACTTGTTTAGAGTATCTTTACGGCACCCAAAATGGATTTCAATATAATCTATCCTTGACACCACGAGGAAGTAGCCAAAGTGCACGGTTCGGATTCCGTTCGAAAGCTCGGTGCTGGACTAACTATTACTCCACAAGTTGAGTTCGTTCGTCAATCTCTCCGCGAGTGAGCCGATGCAAAAAAATGCTGACAGATTAAGCTCAGGGCCCCTGCAGTATCAGATTCGATACCTTTTCTGGCAATAATCTTGTCCACCCTCTTGAATGCCAAAAATCTTGAAACAATTGGCTACCGGTAAACTGCCCCCGTTTCTCCGGGTTTACAGCGGTCTGCACCAAATAGAGCTTCCATCCAATCAGCAGCAGGTACTACTTTGGGTGTCTAGAGTAACAATTTATCCCCACAATTTATCTCGGAATTTCAGGGTGGTGGTTGAGTGGTTTTCAGGAACCTTTGTGATTGGTTGAACAGACGACAGTTGTGTTGATCATTTCTCTCTCCAGGTCCAACGGGGAAGACAACAGTACTGAAATCAGCAGGAGGTCTACATATTATTCTTGGCGCCAAGCTTGATGCTGCATTTGAGGAGGTCAACCCGGAACACAAGGGGTTCTAAGCCGCTCTGTGGGTACTTCTCGGGCGAACAAGCTCTGAACTGGCTCCCCAAAACAACAATGATGCTTCCCCATCTCCAGTTCTCGGGTGGAAAGGGCCCGGAAGATCCAGAACATCTACATTTTGTTGCGGATCATCCGAGAATTGGGCGACGTCAGTAACGGAGGGCCTCCGTTGCCAAGAAAACTAATTACACTCGAATAGAGTGAAGGTCCCATCGGGGGGGTAACAAAACTTAGGCAACAACATCTCAGGCATGGAGTCCGATGTTCTAGAGATATCATACGAGAGCGGTAAAGTTGATACTATTTAGACAAGCTAGAACATACACGTACTTGTGTACATGTAGATAGACTACGATTCAGTGAACGTGCCTTGGTTTGTTCAAAAGCTCAACTGATATGGTATACCGGTAGTATAGAAGTCGTAGTGCAGAGGCTCAATCCACGTACTGGGTTATTGCAGATTAGGTACATGTATATCTGGTTCTTGGCAGGGTTCAACAAGCAGGCATGATCAAGTCACCCACCCTAGTACCTGTATAAAGTTGGGAACACGTAGTTTATAAAGATAAAACCCTATATTTAAGCTTGGCAAGGGGTTCAAGCATTTCCTTCGCGAAGAGTTCCTGGACATCACTAATCGTCTTCAGCTCGGAATAACAACGATTGGATATCCTTTGTTTCTAGGGCTCCTAGCAGTAACGATCCGAGACCGAATAGGAATAGAGTGAGGCATATTCCCCACTCTAGAGTACCAGCTTTATGACTAAGTGCAGAATGTAGGTATTGGGCTAGGAGGATGTTGTGTAAACCACAAAGTAGACCGCAGAAACGTCGATCACACGATTCTAACATAATAGACCGAGAACCGAAACGTCAACTTTGCTTTTTGCAAGTATTGAGTTGAAATCGTCAAGAGCAAGAAGCTTCGACGGCCCGACATACTCTGGCGGCGGAATTGGCTTTGTGGTGTACAGTGCATGCGACCGCAAAGTACCTGTGCTGCATGCATGTATGTTCAACTTCCTGTTCACAAGGTGACTTAAACAGAACTGAGACGAAAGGCCGTTGATGCCAAGATATTGATATATACCAGAGTAGACATTCCCCTTCGAGTACCTGCAGTTCTTCCCGGCCTTTGGCATCTGCACACGCCAAACCCGTGACAACAGCTGTTGCGACGCTCCTACATGGGTATCCCTTCTCATTATTATAATGATAGTCATTTCGATCGGTATTCGAAGCTTAAAGGCATTTGAATGATCTAGGGCTGGGGGCGGGGAAAGAACCCCGAACAATTATTTTTCTTGGCAATAATCCGTATAGATTATAGTGCTGTTTCAAGCCCGGCCGGACACGTATACGCATGACATGCCCGCGCGCGCTGGTATATAGCGCTCAAAAGTACTCATCCTTCGGCGTCTGAGAACCTTCTAGGAAGCGGTAACTAGCCCCCGGATGCCAAGAATCGGCAGTCGCTGGTGGGAAGCTGTTTCATGGGTTCTCACTCGAGGACATTGCGGTAGTTCTTCTACGGATCGACAGCATAGATATACGTATGCTGTTAAAATTAAGCGGAGCTGGATTAGATGGATGAGTTTCTTGATGAAATCAAAGGGTTAATAAATATACGAGGTGCGAGAAAGTGTTCCTCGATTAGATGTCAACCAGATTCGGAGGACTCGAGGCGAATTACCACGAGGAAGCTCATGATCAGTTCATTTTATCATGTTGTTGATTTTCGCGGAAAGAGTCATAAGACCTGTCAAAGCAAACATTCACCGCATTATGGATCTCCACAGAATAACATTATTCCATAGGGAGGTTTGAGCCGGCCAAAACATTGAGATGCAAAAAAACTGAAGGAATCTCCCAATCTAATGATATTGGATGTTATAGCCAATAGTTACCTCTCTTATTAGATAAGAGCTAGGGCTAGAACTCTTCACTTTAAATGAATAGGGGGAGAGTATCATACCACCAAGCTCCACTCAAACCAAAATTATATGGCACTCTACTGAAGGTTCCACATTTACTGCACTTGTGTCGTTTTTCGCATATGTATTATGCTTTCCCATAGTGTAATTCACCCGAAAAATTATATGAGCGGATTGCATTGGTAGAAAAACAAACAATTCTCCATCTAAGCGTCCTCCTCGCTCAACCACTCCTCCAACCGCTTCTCAACAGTTTTCCATCCCAATGCCTTTCCTCTGCTTGCCCTCGCTCTTGCATTGCTCCCAAACACGGCTGGAAAGAAGGGATGCAACTCCACCACCTTCTCCGCCGGCCAAACCTCCATCTTATCACTGCTAAGCACTCCACTTGCTGCCAGTTTCTTTGTTTGCAGACTGACGTGGTCCGCTACTGAAATCTCATCGTCGCTCACACCAAAGTAGTATCCTTCCGCATCCCACTGAGCTGCACCACCATTGGGCTTCAGGGCCTCCCCGACGATAATGGTGTAGAGGCGTGCTAGGTCTTGAATGTGGACTGTGGAGTTGGTGTTGATACCGGCACCTATCTTGAAGCCGACACCCGCGGCGACGAGGGCGTCTTTGAAGAATGTGGTGGTGAGTTTATCGGGGCCGGTGCCGAAGCCGTAGATTTTACCGGGGGAGATTATAGCGGTGTGGACTGAAGGTGGGGCGCGGCGAGAACTATCTTGGGGGGGTGTCAATTACTCCTTACCCTTCTCCATCACCCACTACTATTGTATACATGTAGTTACCTTCTCAACAGGCCTGTGAATCGCTGTTTCAGGAAGCGATGTTAGCTGCTTGAGGTCCTTGATGTCGTCCCATATCTTTTCGCTCAAGACGTTTCCACTTGGCTCATCGAACAGAAGGGCGGTGCCGCTGGTGTGGATGAAATATCCGCCTCCACGCTTCTCAAGACCGCGAATAACTGCGTGGGCGTAGCCTGGTTCGTCACAAATTGCGGTGTCTAAAGAGATTAGGATACACTTAGGTATAGGAGGTAACTAGCTAGTACTCACGAATCACAATGTCAGCATTCGCTGCCTGAGTTTCCAAAAGCTCCACGGAATCAAGGTCACCGATCACAGTAGTTATATTTGGGAATGCGCTAGTGATCTTGGATGCCTTCTCGGGGCTTCGGGCGAGAGCAGTGATCTAGAGGGTTGGGTAGGGAGGACTGTCCCGCCGACGAAACCGGTTGCTCCGAGGCTGCATGCATGGATGGGATTAATGGGTTTGAAGAAATATGTAATATGCGTATTGATGCTGCGCTGAACTTACAAGAATACTTTGGGCATTTTTTGTATTAGTTGTTCGTACTGCTAATTTGGAACTGTAATTGGATAAAACGTGTGTAGGTGGAGTTAATTAATTAAGTAGTGCTCTTTAGTGACAAATATTACATGTGCTCCCTCAGCTCAGCTAGCTACGTACAGCCTTTTATATATGCACCTTCTTCAGTATATCACGACATCGATATCGATTCTGAAGCCATAGCTTCCGCACAGGGTAGTCTTGCCAGTAACACGTGCACACGGGATTCCGCGATCAACTCGGATATTGCGATACCTCGACGATCCACAACACCGGAACTCCTGTGATGATTGCCAGTTAGTACAGCAACGGTATACCGGTGCTCCACTGTGTATCGGAACTCCGAAGCTTTGAAACCGGCGATATTAGGTTTAAAATTACAAATACGTAGATCATTGACCAATTCGTAACACCCGAGTCAGCCTTCGTGATTGAATACCAAGATGCAATTAATGAATTAAACAAAAAAAAGATTGAATACCAAGCCAACCCTAACCCTTGGCATAGCTTTTATTTTTTGGCATTGCGACAGAAAGTCTTAACTTTGAAGGTTTTCTGATGATTACTATCCAAAAACCTCCAAGTCGTCAGGAGTTTGTGTTGTGTTGTGTAGAGGATAGGCTGGTGGAGGTTGGACTATGATTCGGCCACGTGTGGGGGGGGGGGGGGGGGGGGGGGGGGGGTTTGCGGGCACCAGTTGGAGAGTGTCGATGGTCGCGGGTTGGAGCTGATAACCAAGAGATTCTTCGATTATGCTTGCCAATGGGCGTGTGTGTGGGTTGTGGGTACGTGGGAAGGAGAGGAGACTGCGTGGTTTGGTGGCCAGCCGACGGGTGAGTCATGGGGTATCACTCGCTTTGTGAGGCTGGGTGATTGAGACTACATGTATCTATCAAGACGGTGTTTAGATGTGGGGAACTTGTTAAGCGACTCGATCAGAGTTTTATCAGGCCCATTCTCAGTTCTTAAGATATCGCTGTTCGCGGTATGTAGCTTATCCCTTGTTCCCACCACCACCACCACCCTCAGCGCGCTCGCAGAACCAACACTCTGGAATACGAAGTGTAACACCAGCTTGGTAGCACACCCACACCCAGCCCTAACCCTCGGTGTTTTTAGTCCCGACTGCGAGCCGGGCTTTTAAGCAGCTCGGCTAAAACAGCTTATCACCTAGCGCTGGGGGGCAATTACCCTCTTTCTTTCTCTCGGACTTGAGTCCATCCATCCCTCGACAACACAGTAATCCAAGACCACGTATATTGATTGCTTTTCGGAGGAAGAAAAGAAAAGAAAAAAAAATATGGACGCAAAGGAAGGTGAGTCTGAACATTTTATTGTTTGTGGGGTGGGATTGGGATTGGGATTGACTGGTGTGCTACATGTAGTCGCGAAACATAACTCCCGCGAGTCGTGCTGGGTTATTATCAATAATGTGGTTTACGACGTCACATGTATGATAGCTTCCAACCCCCCACGATATATCAAATATATCGCCGATAGAGAAGCTTTGTTCGCTTGCAGCAATTGACCCTCTCCAGACTTTCTAGACTCCCACCCCGGCGGTTCAAAGATCATTCTAAAGCTTGCCGGCCAAGACGCAACCTCCGAATACGACCCCATCCACCCCCCCGGGACGCTCGAAGAGAACCTCACCCCCTCCCAAATCCTCGGCCCCATCGACCCCTCCACCCTCTCCTCCCCCTCCTCCTCCACAACCCCCAAATCCACAATCCCCACGCCGCCAATACCACCACTCGAAGAGCAGCTCAACATCGACGACTTCGCCCACACCGCCGAGCGCATCCTGCCACCAAAGTCATGGGCATACTACTCCTCGGCCTCCGACGACCTCATCACAAAGCACCACAACAACACAGCCTACAAGCAGATCCTCCTGCGCCCGCGCATCTTCCGCGACGTAAAGGACGTCGACACAACCACGACGATATGCGGGTCGCCGAGCAGCCTGCCGATCTTTGTGGCCCCGGCGGCAATGGCGCGGCTGGCGCACCCGACGGGTGAGGCTGGGATCGCGGAGGCGTGTGGTGCGCAGGGCGTGATTCAGTGTGTGTCGAACAATGCGTCGCTGCGGCCGGAGCAGATTGTTGCTGCGCGGAAAAGCACGGGCCAGCCGTTGTGGTTCCAGCTGTATGTGCAGATCGAGCGCAGTAAGAGCGAGGCGCTATTACAGCGCATCAACACACTGGGCTTCACGGCGATAGTGTTGACGCTCGATGCCCCCACGCCGGGCAAGCGGGAGGCCGACGAGCGCGTCAAGTTTGGCGGGGAGAGCGCGGTGTCGGGGACGTCGGGCGAGGGCGGGGGTGTGAAGTCTGCGACGGCGGTGAAGAGTGAGGGTCTGGGTCGCGCGCTGTTTGCAGGGACGTCGCCGAGTCTGACGTGGGAGGATCTAAAGTGGTTAAGATCGCAGACGCATCTTCCCATCATATTGAAGGGGCTGCAGACGCATGAGGATGCGGCGATTGCGGCGAGCAGGGAGTGTAGGGAGCTGGGGGTTACCGGGATCATTCTTTCGAACCATGGTGGGCGCGGGGCGGATACGGCACCGCCGCCGGTGTATACGCTTTTGGAGATACGGAGACATGTTCCCGAGGTGCTGAGGAGGTTGGAGGTGTATGTGGATGGCGGGATCCGCAGGGGGACGGATGTGGTGAAGGCGCTGTGTTTGGGTGCTACGGCGGTCGGGATTGGTAGGCCGGCGCTGTTTGGGTTGTCGGGGTACGGGCCAGAGGGGGTGGAGAGGGTGTTGACTATCCTGAGGGAAGAGGTGGAGACTGCGATGAGGTTGCTGGGGGTTAACAGGATTGACGAACTGGGGATGCAGCACGTAAGTCTTCCCAGGCTAGGAGCCCTTTTGATGGAGATTGTCGCTGACTAGTTTGTGCACAGATTAATGCGAGGGCGCTGGAGGGATTGATTTATATGCCCGAGCCGGACAACGGTTTCGTGAGGGCAAAGCTGTAGATAGTTGGAGGGAGACTTTAGGACCTGTTGAATGGATTGAATGGAGCTGGCTTTCCCTTTCTGGCTTGGAAGGAAAGAAGGTTATCTGGAATAAGAAATGGTTAGGGCTTTAAATAGATATTTTCAATATTGAAGAGCAAGAGAGCGTTGTGCAGAATGTGTTAAAACACGTTTCAATCGCTACGTTTTTAGTTTCAAGAAGCTATAAAGCTAAGCTGCGGCACCCATTGGATCCAGCCATCATCACTCATCACTCACATCCTATCTATATCCGAACATTCAGAGCTATCATAGACCCTCCAGGCCCCAGACAGCGGGACCTCGATGATCCACAGCCTGGAAGTAAAGGCATGTAAAGAGAGTGATGTGATCTCGGATGAGGATCTTCGGGCACTTCTATTAGCATCACGGCAAGCCGGCTACTACATGAACGTAAGTAGAGTAGCGCTTTGGAGTTAAAGCAAACAGTCTTTAACAAAGTGGAAGATTGTCCGTGATGTTCACTAACCCCGTGTGGGATGGTTGGCTGTCTGGCTAGCGATCGAGGGTTAGGGTCAGTCATTGACCACCTCCAAACAAGGCCGCCAGTCCACCTTATGTAGACAGTCCCTGAATTGAACTCAGACCCTGATCTCTCAAGGTATCATCTACTCTACCCCAGATAAAGAAGCAAAACACCTATATCTCATCTAATTATCCTGCCGGAGAAGTGGGAAAATCGACAAGCGAGACCTGACGATTTGAGATCCCCATGGCCATGGCCAGGGACGCGGGGGGAGACAACTGAAGCTAAGCTTTCGGGCTGATGGGAAAAAAACAAGGCGAACCAAGAAATAAGAAAAAGAAAAAAAAAAATTCAGTGAAGGGTCGCGATCGGAATACGGCATATATGCAGGCTGTCGTCGTGGTGATGAATCCGCCGTCTTCCCTTCCCTTCCCCGTACATAAACCTCCTGCATTGCATGCTGGCTTCTCGGCTCTGGTCCGCAGCAGCAGCCAGCAGTAAAAGTAAAAACAGGGAAACACAAATCCACAAGCCAGCGAGCGGATGTGGCTTATGTGCACTGGGCAGCAGCAAGCAAAGTGACTGGGGGGGAAGAAGAGAGAGAGCGTCATAGGTGTTCTGGAAGGAGAATTCTGGAAAACACTTTTCTTTCCCTGCCGCGGATCGATCAGCAGGATGTGACGTCGTTTCTGTGGGCGAGGGCGAGACAGGGGTCGTGGTTGGCTGCAGAGACAGGAGAGACAGGAGACTGTACAGGGAAACGAGCAGAAGGAGGAGGAGGAGGAAAGCGGTATGTGCAGCGAGCAGAGTGTGTAATAGTGGAGAGCGGTAATGGTGGGCGAGTGAGGGAGGCTGCATGGTATCGCAGAGATGTGGCAGCAGACCTCGTCATTCATCATATTCATCATATTCACCAGCCATCACTCAGCCTCCCCATCCACCACCACCACCACCACCACCACCACCACCACCACCACCACCACCACCACTCACCCTTCCCACCCTTCCCACCCATCCGCCCCCCACACATCCCACGTATGAGTCTCTCGCTCTCTGCTGTGCCAGGTTCGATCCTTCACAAGGCAGACGTCATCTGCCCAGGGCAGTGGGGATATAGGTAGCCTTCCCTCCCTCCCTCTGTCTTCATTTTCATTCACCCCCAATATCCAATACTCACTGTCAGATATATCCCCACAAGTCACTCAAGATCACCCATCATCTTGCCCTTGCAGCTTCTTCGACCGCAGTTTCGAGCATCAATAACAATAAGAATATAAAAAAAAAAAACAGAAAAAAAACCCTTTTAACGATTTTCTAAACAACATCCGCAAAGATGCCTGTTATCCTCGAAGATGATATGCTCATCCCGCCCTCAATGAGGCGCAAGAGATACTACAGCACAAATACAGAAACAATCATCTCCGCAGCTTCCCCCAGCTCATCAACAACTATCGAGCTCCCCTCCCACCGGGCCATGAGCCCGCCCCGAGACCCGGTAATCATCCATGAAGACCATTATGTGCCCGTCTATGAAGACTCTGTCCGCGAGTATATCTACACAACTTCAAACGGCCCTGGCCGATCATCCAACTACCGAAGAGGAGGTGCAGAGCTAGATGTTGGTCTAAATATTGGGGGCCTTAGAGGAGCACATTATGTCCGTGCCAGGAGCGTTGGTCCGCCAGCGTACGAGGGCTATGATTCTTACGATGATGAATACTATCTCGAGGACGGAATCCGACATGGTAGCACTAGGAGACGCCATGGGTCTCCTGGGAGATCAAGCATCGGGTCACCGGGAAGACACAGCCACCACCGCCTCGTCGATGCCAGTGCCGGAATGGTGGGTGCGCACGAGGTGATCAGGCACAGGAGGAACCGATCCCACTCCCAGTACCGCTCATCCTCGCACCACAGGTCGTCCTCCCGTGGCACCGAGCACTCCCACCGCGCGCGACACCTCGCCGAGTCCGGTTTGGCCGCCGCAGGATTAAAGCATGCCGTCAATCACCACCGCCAACGCTCCCACTCGCGCTCCCACTCGCGCGGCCGCCGCGGCTCCGAGAACGCAATCTACTCTGGCGAAGAGCATCACCCCGGCTGGTATGACGACAACCATCGCGACCATCGCCGCGCCCGGCACCTCGCTGAAGCCGGCCTAGGCGTCGCCGCCGCTGGCGCCGCAAAGGAACTCTACGACCACCGCAAACGCACCCACCGCCGCTCCTCCTCGGCATCATCAATCTCCTCAGCCAACGCCAACATCGGCCACGAAACCCACAACGGCCGCAATGTCGCTGCCGCCGCCCTGGGCGCCACCGCTGCAGGCCTTGCAACCCACAAGATGCGCCACCACAAAGAGCACCGCTCATCTTCCGTCTCAAGTTACTCCTCAGACGACGAGCGCCACTCGAAGCACCGCGGACGCAAGGTCGCCGGCGTAGCACTCGGTGCTGCGGCAGCTGGAATGGCAGGTAAGGCACTCCACGACCATTATTATCGCCGTGGCTCCCGTTCTCGTTCTCGTTCGTCCTCCTCGTCCTCGTCGTCGTCGGATGAGGACCACCACCGCCGCCACAGACGCTCCAAGAAGATTCCTGCCGCGGCGTTGGGGACTGCAGCTGCGATCGCAGCGAAGCGGCACCACGACCACCGGAAGGAGAGCCGTTCACGTTCCCGCTCGCGCTCAAGATCGCGCTCGAGCGAGCGCCGCCGACGCATGTCTGGGCCACAGAAGGCGGGATACATGATGACGGGCGGGCTGATGGAGAAGCACCACCGCAAGAAGGAGCATGAGCGTCGGGCGTCGAGCGTCGATGCGCATCACGAGCACCGGCACCGCAGGGCGTCGGAGGGCAATGGGAGCCATAGGCCGAGACGGGGGAGCATGGCGGGGTTGGGCGGCATCATGAGTAATGTGATGGGCGGGGCGAGGGGGAATGGGAATGGGAATGGGAATGGGAATGGGAATGAGCAGCATCCGCCGCCGCCGCATAGGGGTATTGGAGAGAAGGTGGCGTATAAGCTGGGAGAGGTTGTTGCGGAGGAGATTGCGGGGAGGAGGGGCGCGAGGAGATGAATGCCCTGATATCTTTTTTTATGTATCATGACTTATGACTCTTATTTTTTCCAGTGTTTTTTGGAAAAGATGAATTGTTTTTCCCTTTTGTTTGTTGAAGCTCTTACCTTAATGTGAGCTACGCTGTAATTTTTCTCTTCTTTCTTTCTTCACTATCTCGGTTTATATATAAAGTGGGGTGTGGTGTTTAGCGGGAAGTATTTATATTTAACGACTGTGTTTTTGGTTCTTGTAATAGCAAAGCTGTGTATACAGCGCGAAATTTGAGGATTGTGAATTCTTTCTATCTAATGTTTCCCTTACCTGTGGCTTTGGTGTTTTTGTGCGTAGTTTTGAGGATTTGCGAATTGAAGTCTGGTTAGTATCACCTATGTGTTTGTGTGCTTTGGCTACGGCGAAATAAACGCCCAGAGTGGGACGCTGGACAATCCCCCCCGCGGGTGGCACCCAGCACCCCCAACCTTCCCACAATACACCATCTCGACCCACAAATGCGATACCAAACCAGCACCTGACGCGGCTCATCCGGTGAATACAAAACCCAATATGACACACATGGATACTCATCCACTACACTATAATCTCACCTAAGACAGTACAACCCATCACGTGGCATCGGCGAGTGATAATCTGTGCTTAGGGGCCAGACGCCATTTTATTTTACTTTATTTGGAATGCAGTTCATTATATGGCGTATGGATGTGGATGGATGTTGGAGGTCTGTTGATGTGGGCTGGAAGGGACGCGCAGAAAAATTAGAGTAGAGTGGAGTATGGAAGCCAAGATGCGGTGAGCGACCTTGGTAGTGTTGATGTTGATTCCTTACTGACATGACTACAGGGCGCATCTGAGGATATGATATGTTGCTTGATCTTCCACACACACACGTACACAGCTGGGATCACGCCCTCGGCCTTAGCTAGAGGTTTGCTGATCGGCCCGGATATATCGCCTCTGTAACGCGGGGGCAGATCGCTGGCCCCGTGCTTGGTGCCAACTTAAGCCCGAGATCCCATATATGGATCCTCTTGTCGGGACATGCTATAGCGATATATTAGCATGCAATATGCACACGGTGGCCGGGATCGGCATGATGTATGGCGGGCCGGGCCCATGCAGTGGTGCAGATAGCCGCCCAGATCCATCCAGCATAGATCAATCTGCTCACCCCCAAAAATCAAAACTCACGCCAACGCCGGAGAACGAAAGAGCTCATGATAAACTACATAGAAAGACGTGATTTATTGCAAAGGAACGGAGCGGCTGGAGTCAAGCTGACCACTTAAACTAAACCACAACAAAGACAGGTATCGTCCCACTGCTGGATCATGAATGGACCACATGTCCGCACCCTCAGCTGAACAGGTATCCGCTTGTCTAGCCGGCTAACTGCCATTGTTGTCGTTGTCCTTTATCGACATATCGACAAGAGCCACATCTGGGAAACACAAAAAAATCTCGCTTTCCAGGATCACAGAATCTCACTCGCTCTTTCGTGTCGGATTATTTATCTATTGATGCAATTGGCCGTGCCAAAAGATAACGCAACGTCATTCCAGGGGAGGGTAGGGTCAAGCTTAAATACCCATGAAACGCCTAGAACCCATGTTCTCTCCCGTCCCCCTGTCACGAATTAGAGTCAAGCATATTGATACGTTAGGAATCGCAGCAGGGTTCGCTGCTCGCCCATCAGTTCGTCCGATCCTCGGAGAGGAAAGCGGGGCATCAATTCTCCACGCAAAAAATAACGTGATGCCGACTTAGCCGTAACGACGCGGTCGGGGAAAACCGAAACCATATATAATTAGGGGCCTAGATTTGCAGCCAATTAGGGTTTTCATATTAGAAGTCAAAACTTGTGTAGTCATCATATATATGGATATCGTATGTATATGCTCATATCTTCAATACATAAATACAAAGGGCGTTTGATATCATTAATCACAGCCGCCGTAAACACAGATATAAAACCTCCCAGTCAACACAAAATAGACAGTAAGAGCTACTATAAGTATATACAGCGAACCAAAAGCCAAACAAAACGCCAATTTATCCTTCAACAGACAGACTTTAAATCTAGCTATCGATACGTAAGGATAAAAACAGAAACCAAGACGACCGCCCAAACCGAGGAAGGATATAAAGGAATAAAATAAAAATAAAAAACACGGTTTTTAAGCCCACTTCCCAAGCAACGCCATCAATGCAGCACCCAGAACCATGTACCCGAAAGCGCACAAGACCCTGCCCATGCTCTCATCTCTCAATGTCTTTCCAAACAAAAACTCGTGCGCCATCAACTCCACCAATCCCGTGTACAACAGAATACCCGCCGAGATGGCATCGAAAACACCATTCACAATAAGCGCGGTCTGAGTCTCTGGCTCAAAGGTGGTACGGAGACCCAACCCAACGGCGATGGCGATGGGTGTGCTGATTCCGTATCCAGCGCCCATGAGACATGGTGTCCATTTATTTGGGAAGGGAACGCTGGATAGACGCGATCCGAGGCCGAGACCTTCGAAGGTTTGGTGGAAGACGAGAACAATGTAGAGAGTTATAAACTCCTCCCCGGACACAGCAAGAGTGAGACCGATGAAGATGGAGTGGAAGATGACACCGAATTCGAGGATGAAGATGGATAGGAGTTGTGCAGCGTATTCCTTTCCTCGCATTTCCTTTTCTTCGGATGTATTGAGGGATTCGGGGTCGGCTTCGGCAATACGGTTTTCGGCATCACTAGACGTTTCTTTGGTTGCGGGGGGCCCGGCGAGCCCATGTTCATGGTCATGTCCGGCAGCGGAGAACTTTCCCAGGCGCAATGCAAGCAGCTCAACGAAAAAGAGAGAAAAGACAGATATCAGGGCAATTCCTTGTGCCCATGGATATTCTGTGATGGGGCCTGTGAGACAGCCATTGGTGAGAGCTTCGTTGGCGGGTGTCAACAGCTTTAGAAAGTTAGTATATGTTCTCGATCGATGAGAATAGCATTATCATCACTTACATGGATGAAAGCAGTCGCAATAATGACACCTGAACCGAAGTACCTTGTGAAGAAAAAAGCCCAATCGGGAACCTTTAATCCAGGATGCTGTTTAGCGATCACAGGAAAGAGAGCACCTATATCGAAGAAGTTCCAATCAGTTATGGGGGTTCCTGTAAGACTAATTCTTGTCCTCGATATGTGTTTACATACCGAAAGTTGATCCAACCAAGATCACAAATACCGCCGATATCCTCAAACCCATCCTTCCATCATACGCGTTCGCTCCTCCACATGCTGGTGCCACCTCTTCAACCTCCTCCTCTGCGGCTGGATCTGTTTCCGTCACTTGACGCAGAAGCAGATTCACGAATTCAACTGTGCTGCCGGACATATTTCTTCTTTAGGAAGCCGTTGACTTTTGCTGCGTTTTTTAGTTGACGTGTTTGACGTATGCAGAGAAAAGCTTGATTATTCTTGGGATGCTTTAGTTGTTCTTGGTGTTGTTCTTGGGCGTTCTTGGTGTTCTTGGTGTTCTTGGTTCCTGTAAATGTCAATAATTGGGGACCATCCAAAGAGGACAGCAGATATATATTACCTAAAACCTTGAAATATATATACCAGACCTCTCAATGAAAGAATGACAACTTGAACAATAGCAGAGAAATTATTTTTTCAAAGAACCTCGGGGCCAACTTATGAATCCGAATGGAAGACACTCGGGAAGGAGAGAGCAGCATTATCAACGATTTCTTTTTGAAAGGGGGGGGGGGGGGTCCTTTCAAGTGCTACGAGCGGGAAAAAAAAACAGTTTGCTGCCCCTAATCTTGGGTCGCTGGGCACCTTGGAAGATTGTGCGTGCTCTGCCATAAAGGGTGTGAGGGGGTGTATCCACCAAGGTGTTCACGACCAACTCAAAACTGCCCCTGTAGGCGCATTTTTTCGCTTACTTCTTTACCCCCATGACAGCCACAGCCAATCCTGTGCCGCTAGGTGCGACTCAACACCCAGCCTATTATTGGCTGCCCGGCTCATTTCTCGTTTTGGACAGGACCCCCCCCCAATCCTCTAGCTCCGATGATGGGATATAAATGGAGGGTTTTCCCTGTGAACAAAAAAGGTACCCATAGAGGTTCTCGTTGACGACGACTTCTGCTGGGGAATACGTGTTTTTAGCTTCCTTTCTGTATTTGTGATCTGCCTAGTTTTGGAGCGAACCCCCCCCTCTCTCTCTAGATCCATTGATATTATCGTGTCTGATATTACTCTATATTAACAATAGTTGTGTTCGTATTTTTGTATCTCTATCCTACATCGTTCTCCCCCCGATTCGATGGACTGGCGGGCCGTATCAAGTCTTGGTGGTACAGACACACTATCAAATCGAAGTACGCATGTATCAGCGTGCATCGGAGGGTGTATTCCTTCACCGTATCACATACCAGGAAGTCCGACACAAGGTGCATAGATTCACTTAAGATGATCGTTTAATACGCACCGGCACTGTCTTTAAAACATCTGTCGACATTTTTGCATCATGCCCCGCTGATAATGCTGTAAAAGGGTTGGGGTTGTAGGACACCGGTCCCACGACCACGGACGCAGAGAAAATCTCCTCATACTCCCCAGTTGACTTTGTTTTCAAATAGAAAAATCCTATAATTTAAGGAACAGGCGGTAGTATTAACTCGGAGATCGAACGCTCTGCTGCGATTGTAACACTAATCTCGATATCCCTCTTCCGTAACCAATCAACTAACCAAAACCCTATTCAATTGCATTCTATATCCACATAGTTATGTTGGGTATTTTTTTGCTGATATATATCCCTTTTTTCCTGCCCTGGTGATACGGTAATGTTCCACACAAAGTCTAAAACCCGCTTCTAGAACACAGTCACCCCATAAATTCTCCGAGTGATGCCTTGTGACCACCTCGATCATTTCCCTCAACTGAAACCCAGGGATGAGCTATAGCGCTAGCCAAAAGGACCCGGCCGTGAATACCCACAGCTGTTAATTGAAGATTTTCTCCAATTCTCATCGCGTGCTACCCATGCAGTTGCCTGTCAAAGGCTAGTACTCTAGACGCCCGAGCCAGTGTCCTTGATAATAACGTCGTTCATCAGCTCCTGCATGACGATCCTTCGTGTGTGCTGGAGTTTTCCGGGATGTGCAAGGCATAGTCTGCAAAAAAAAAACCGCCGTACGTGCGCATCAACGGGAAGCAGCAGATATACTCGTATTTCACTGACGTTTTTGAACTGGGCCATTATTGCATACACCCAAAATCATGAGCTTGGTGTATTTTTGTATGGCATGCAATATCAGTCGCGTCCACAAACGTCAGTACAAGGAGGCACTGCATAACCCATCCGTGGTTCAAGACGAACTGGGCACATAGTCTGCCAAGAATCAGCACCATAATGTAATGTGGGACGTCCAGATGAACGTATATATATAATAGTGCAATTTAGAGGGAGTTGGAAGAAAGGAGCTAGCATTGATACCGTCGTTCATGGGGGTATTGACGGACACTGGGTGTTGACGGACAGGGGCCTTTTGAGGGCAAAACTGGACTTGGCTGTCTCTCTTTTGACTTGTCCGTCAACACCCAGTGTCCGTCAATACCCCGTTGAACAACAGTACCTATATCAATTGAGAAGGTCATGTGGGCCAGAGATAACACTTGTTGGCAATACGTATGTAGCACCAACGGCAGAAAGCCTAGCATTTCACTCAAGGCCAAAGCAAATTTATCTATAGACCGCCTGATTACGCGAGTTGTCTGCTGTTATCTAGCCAAAGCTCCTACACCTTCTGGCACCTCAGGTAGCAATTGGTTATCCCGCGGCCGGGGCCAGATAAGTGATCATCATGTAGAGTAACGATCATACTTATTCAGAAGAAAAAATGTTGCCATATGATGGATCGATATATTGCATAATTTGGAGCTTGCTAATCGTAATTCTAGCAGGTTTTGCACAGCTTTCCGTCAAAAGTCAATTGCCCACTACACTAAAGTTACTGTCCTATAGCTAGAGTTTTATGAATTCGAATCATCTACAATCGGAATATATATTCCATTGACGTAAGGGTATTGCGCTTTGTCAATATCTATATTGGTATTTCGCGACGTTGTTATCACATATGGGCAACATTGGGGACCAAGTACTCCATCAAAGTTCAGAACCGCAAATGTCACACCGATACAGCAACAACCATACTCCTCCTTCATCATCGTTCCGGAAGCATTCCTCTGCTTTACACAAACTACATGCTCCTCGCAACTTGATCTCATGCTCAGGCAGCGCCACAACCACAGATCGGGGGGTTTTGTACGTGTGCACAGCAGTATCAGCTACGTAGCTGCTAAAGGTCTACTCTGAAAATGATCTGACAGGTTCGCGTGGCATCATTTCAGACTCGAGGCATCAAATTGCAAAGCTAGTACTGGCCCATGTTATTAACCGTATTACGTCTAAGGATTGAACGCCTTGCAAGACATTCTTGAAGGATAGCTGCGTGCAGGTTCAAGTCTTTTATTGATCTTCTGCCCAGCACCAAGACCTCAATAATGGAACTATACGCATCTCAACCGTTCAAGGCGAATTAACACTAAAGTAACAGTCCATGGAACCATTGCTAAGCCTCTCTTGCGCTACGTTGAAGAGCAGAGCTAGAGCTCTGCTGTAGGTACACTGCTGGCTAGTCCACCTTTGTCTGGTGGCACCTGCTAACGCGTGGTGATTGTCTATTCTCTTTTAGGGCTTTATTGCACATCAGTTACACTTATAATTCAGGTACCATGTCGGCACGGTTTTCCATCCATCTTTTTGTTCACGTGGAACGAATTTTCCTAGGTATAATACGCAGATCCGTACGACGTAGTACGTCGTGAGAAAACAATGCACAAGTACCTACATAATGTGGCTTAAAAAGGTCGTTAAGAGCCTACTTGGATCTTCGTACAGACAAAACCCTGGAATTTATGAGTGGTGGGAGCTACTCTATGCGCCGGTTAAACAAGACTTTCTTTTCAGGCTACACGTCCTCAAAGTTGGTCGTTTCGGCAGTTGGCATGTAATGGCCCCTCCGATGTCTCAAATCATTGTTACATTGAGATACATATGCGCAATGCTTGTAGGGAGTGGATTCTATGCAATGTCAGGTCCCGTGAAATATACCTGTCGTTTCCCGCAGCACGATGGCTATGAATTCGAAGCTTAGCTATGTGTAGCCTCTGAATGATACAGTATAATAATAATTCATTGAGGTATTCGCTATATAAACTTAGTAAATAACCTAACTTCCAGCTACGTATCCGCTCATAATCTCAATAAACACTAAAGCTTGCTCCAAAATTCTTTGTCTCTCGCGCATTCCCTCGCCATTTCAAACTGCTCATCTGTACTGCAAATTAAGACCTTAGGAGCCCTTGCACTCTCCTCACCAATATTCAAGACAATCCCATTCTCTTTCTCGATGTTCTCATTTGCCCTTTTATTCAATGAGAACCCCAAACACTGCACCCCATCCACGACTGCTTCTCTCAGCTCGAAAGACTTTTCACCAATCCCTCCAGCAAATACAAGGGCGTCAACCTTACCGCGAAGCTTTACAAAGTATGCACCAATGTAGTTATGAATACGGTCCACAAATAAATCGAAGACAAGTTCGCTATGTGGAGGAGGGGAATCTGACTTAAGTTTCGAGAAGTCGGTTGTACCGATGATTGATGACCAGCCAGACTTCTTATTTAGAATTTCTTCAGCCTGCCTGAAATTAGCAAATGAGGTATATTATAACTGAGGATATTAAATTACTTTACTGATCTGCATATCCTCAGTACCGCTGTGCGATATTCTACCAGCATTTGATGTATAGTGGAAGACTAGTGATGGATCCACGGTCCCGCTGCGTGTCGCACCAGGAAGTCCCTCAAGTGGTGTCAAGCCCATACTAACAAAAACTATTATTACATTTTTCTGTGCGGGGGATAATATGTAGGCTCAACTAAAACTGAAACTTACGAGTTATCCAGTGATTTTCCATTCCGAATGGCGCAGGCGGACGCGCCACTCCCAAGGTGGAGTGCGATAATTGAGGTTTCTTCAACAGACTTTTAGAGTTAGTTATGCTTCTTAATTTATGGTATTAATAAATTCTTACTTTCTTGAGATATTCCGCTACTTCGGTCACGATGAAACTGTAAGAAATGCCATGAAACCCATACTTTCGGATCTTGTTGCGGCGCGCATGCTCGAGATTTACTGGGTATGTCTTTATATGCTCGGGCATTGATAAAGTGTGGAAGCTGGTATCAAAGTAAGCAATGTTTGTTGTTTTCGGAAGTTGTTTGAGAGTTGTTTGAACGAGTGAAAGAGCAGGAGAATTGTGCCTATTATTTAATTTCAACAATAATTTAGTAGTGGCTTTCACTTCTGTCTATTGTCATATATATATTGATGGAGATTCTTACAGCGGGGCAAGATCAGTGAGTTCCTTTAGATAGTTTAAACTCTTCTCGTTTATAACAACTGGTCTTTCATAATCACCTCCATGTACAATTCTATGGCAAGCGAAAGTAATATCCTCTCCGCTATTTACTTGCTTCAAATCAGAGTCCTTGGAAAGGTATTCGAGGAAATGCTTGAAGGCATCATCTTGAGATTTCACATCCGGCAATTCCTTAGATTTGACGTTGCTAGACGTAGAAGAGTTTTCGGTATGAGTATATGAAAAAACTGCAGGCGGAGATGTCAAATTTGAAACTGATGATTGAAGGATAAGGCATGGGGCATTTCCTGTCTTCCGTTCCGAGTCGGGAGGGGTTGATGAGTAGAGAGACAGTTTTACACTGGATGAACCAGCGTTTATGGCGAGAATTAGCTTTGTGGTTGACATAGATGATACTTCCTGTAAAAATCTAATGGATGTTTAGTGAGATGATGGAAACTAAGAGCACGTTTATCTAGAAATGAAGAGTGTACTTGTACTTGCTATTTTGGAGATGTCGTCACTTGCATCTCTTATCGATAAGGAGGCTGGTGGTTGTTTTCTGAATGACGTATTATTAGGGCTAGGTTTATCTCGGATGTTATCCGAATTATTATTGTCACAGGACTAGAAGACGCCTACATTTGTTGCTTGAAACACAACGCTTTAAGAAATACCATTGTAACCTTTCATGCCTTTTGATGTTCTACCTAATGTACGTAAATTCAATTAACCTACATACATTCGGTGAGCTATTTATATTTTGGCTCCGACGCACACGTACCACTACATGTAGTATAAATTACATGTCCTCTTTTTTTTTTTTAAATCATGTAGTTTTAATTAATTCTAGGTACAAAACTCTGCATGCAGTCTTAGACTATGGCATAAAAATACCTCTCCCCGACTTAGAAACCAAATTCCACAACCCCAGATGAACAAAGGAAAACAATGAAAACAAGCAAAATGCAAACGAACTGACTGGTTGACTGCAAGGAAAACTGACGCTTTGGTGGCCCATGTCCAACATAAGAAATCTTCCTGCTGGTTTCAAATAACCTGTTGCCCCTTGAGGGTCTTTGGTGGGTGCGGAGTACCCTGATTTGGGTTGGGTTTTGCGGTGGCTAGGTGGTGGAGGGGGGGGAGCTGAGGGCACTTGATGTCTCAGATCCGGATAGGAGGGGGGAGATGTGTTCCTTTCTGGGGAAGTTCGTTTTGGTGGCGGTGATGAAGGCTCCTAGAGCTAGTGTGTTGGTGTGGTCACTCCAGATCTCCTCGAGGGTTTTGATTCCTGGGAGGAGTTGGGCGCGTTGGGTTGCTTTCGCTCGGCAGAGGAGGATGGCGTGCTCGGTGGTTTCAGGGGCTTCGCCGCATCTGTCGCACTTTTCAGAGAGGTGGAGGTTGAGCCAAGATTTGTGGCCTCTGAGGTAGTTTTTTTGGGCTCTCATTTGGTGGATTCGAGTAGCCGTAAATTTGTGTAGGTCCATGAAGGGTTCAGGGCTTGTGGTGAGGGGGAAAGTGTAGTAGGGGGTGTCGGAAAGTCTTGTGCCCAGTTATTCAACATCTGATCTTTGGCTTGTTTTGGGAGGAGTTTGTGGTCGGTTCCGCCTGCGATTGGGTAGCGGAGGAGGGAGCAGAGATGTTCGATAGGGAGGTAGGCCACACCTTTCGTTGCCGTTGAGTTCCATTTTTTGGGTGGGTTAGGGCGGCCGCGGAGGAGGCGTGTGTGGGAGGGGACCCTGTCGGGGGTCAGGGTGGGGAAGGAGGGGTGGCAGCGCCCTGTCACTGGGTTGTTGAGGGGGTGAGCGAGTAGGACGCGGATGGCGAACTTTGTTTTCAGGTAGTGGATGTAGTTGATGAGTGGGGGGCAGTGTAAATTACATGTCCTCTACGTATCTTATAAGTATATAGATATAACGATATGCAATGCGTTATTTAAAGGTTTTGATTGGCTAGGTTTGAGAAGTTGGCGATTAAGATTGCTTTTTTTTGAGTTGCTAACACTAGAGCCCCGTGAGAAACTCGGGAGTTTTAAACTGAATGTATGACAGACAGTTTTAAACTGGTTAAAAACTGGCTGTCGAAAACCTGGGTGTCATGGTCATAAACTCAACAGCCATTTTGGGAGTGGGCTAGGGTAATTTTAGGGCAAAAATTGGTATTTAGAAAAATTGGTATTTAGGGTGGGTTAGGGTAATTTGGGTGGTCAAAATTAGAAAATTGAGTCTGAGTTTATGACAGTTTTCAGTTAAAAACAGCAGTTTATGACAGTCCGAGTTTATGACGCAGTTGTAACGGGGGTGCTAGGATGATACACGACCGTGACTTCGATCTGACATAGAAAGGGTAAACGGGCAACGATGGATTCATTGGGCTCGTTCGATCGAAAGATGAAGTTTATTTTTGTTTGATCGTATTTGTAGTCTAAAAACTTAATAACTTTAAGGGGTCTCCTCGCATGTAAAGATTCCATGACTCCCCGAGTTCAAACTGGGGGCAACCGAGTACTTTTATCGAACTTCCGCCCCTTTTTTCCCGCTTTTCCTCTCTAGGCCGTCCGTTCCTCCCTAGTCCGGGGACACCGCGACTTTTTTCTATGAGGGGCGAGAGGAGTCGCTGCCACACCTCGGACGAACTTCCGCCCGAGTCAAATCACGCAATCTCTGCCAAGAGCTGGTCGGGACCCTAAGAACTAGTGGAAACAACCGACCAGATAGCAATTGCTTATTCAATTTGTTTTAGAGAAGATTTGGTGTTTTGTAAAGCAAGGTTTGCTTTTAGTAGCTTGGGTCGTACTCCTACTCCCCCTCAAAGTTGCACCGGACTGAAACAGGAGGGTTCCGGCGGTTCGACGCTCCGGGGGTTATTTTTGGGGTCTAAAACGTGTTTATTTTGCAGTGTTCCCTCAACTCCGCAATCCGTTCATTCAACCACCCCAAATGGACCGGAGCATCGTCAGGATCCTTTCTGACGTAGTAAAGCATATTTTCCGAGCATCGGTTGCTAAGTTATTACGCCTCAAAGGTTGACTTCCAAGGTAGGGTAACTTATGTTTGGGGTTACCCTTCTTTTTATTTGGCATGCTCATCCTTCTGCTCTAGTTTTGGTCCAGTCCCCTAGCTTGACTTGTAAGACTTCTTGCTTGCCAGGATCCCTACCCTCCATACCAATAGAGGTAGGGGCTCATCTGCCCTTGTCTTCAACCATCGAAGTGGAACAAGCGGTGATTGCCCTAGGGTCGTATGGCTTGACTGGTAGAACAGGTACTTTTGTAACAGCCCTACTGTGGCTCTGTTACACTACCCCCCTCTCCGGTAGACTCGTCCCGAGTCCAACCTAGGGTTTTTGGTATGGTACATTGTGCGCATAACAAGAAAATGTAGCTCTAATAACGATTCCATACTGACTTTATGTACCGGGGACAGCCTTTCCACGTATCGCTAGGATCCGGTAGAAAAGATGTGGCCGTGCAAGATGGAAAATCAGAAAATCGGATAGTTGGGCGAGAAGGATCCTGAGTACTTATATTCCAAAGGATTCCATTCTCTGCTCCTACCTCCTTACTAAGTTCTGGTGATTCCTTCAAGTGGAAGGGAAGCACTACCACCGCTACCCCGCTTCTCTCTAAGCGTTAGCGGGTGCTTCCTGTTCCAAAGGCAACCACCCTTAGTCAAAGCATTTGTAACACCTGCAGTCTTGGTTGTCGCACAACCGGGACCTGCATGAATGAGCTACCGCTCAGGCGTAAGCTTAATCATTGCTGTAGAGCTCTTTACTTATTGTAGACTTTCCCAGGCATCGTCCCTGCCACTACGGGCGGACTTATCATGCTCGGAGGATGTAGAGGATCGCCGAGCACTCAGAGCTTCACTCTGGCCGGCCTTCTAATCATTGGCGAGGCATAGACTCGTCAGTCATTGCTCCCATGAATAGATCCTCTTCCTAGCGCTCAGAATGTAGTTACTCTGACAGCTGGTAGCTAACCACACTGCCGGTACTTGCATGTCACTGTGCAACTGGCTTCTATCAATAACTCTCAGCATGTAACCGGGCCCTGTGTGTACTCATACACCAGACAGTTGAAATGGCTCCGTTACACTCTATTTTCCGCATCCATTTCTATTAACAAAGGAAAACCTCAAGTGAAAAAACGTGTATCCCAACAAAGGGAGACCCGTTTTCTCCACGCTTGTCCCAGAACACTCCGGTGCATCGGTTTCCTTCACTTTCCTGTATTGCTTCCCAGGGAAACAACGGGCATTCCGAACACTGTCAGACCGATGGGAAAAAAACGCCGTATTTTGAGGATTTCTAAAGTTTCACCCATGAGTCCCGTGATTTTCCGGGATACTTCGGATGGAACTTTCGGAGTGTCTCGTCTGCCGTTCCTTGCAACATTTTGTACGGTTCCCGGAAGTCTTCTGAGCGATAGCTCTCCCAGGTAATCCGATATTGCACGAACTTCTCCCCCACGATCAGCCTTGGACCTCATCCGGAGGTGGAATCGCTATAGCTCGTTGAGGGTCCTTTGACTCCCAATACGGTTCCAGCAGAAATATATGGAAGACATCATGAATGTTCCACTGAGAGGGTAGATTCAGCCTGTAGGACGTGACACCAAGTTTCCCGACAACCTCAAAGGGACCGATTTTAGTAATCTAGTTAATTTGATGATCGCTTGGTTAAGATGTTGTGTCGGTCCATCATCACCTCGTCCCTGACCTTCAGTTCTGGAGCACTCATATGTTTCTGATCATACCATTTCTTCCGCTGTGCTTGCGCCGCGCTGGGCGCGTCGAAGTTTTTGTAGTTTCCGTTTAGGTGAGGGCCAAGTGGAATCTGGTTGAAACCCATAGTTCGCGTAGAACGGCGATACTTTTGGTTGACTCTTGGGTGGCCGTGTTGTAGGCTTACTCGCAAATGGGAGTATTCTTGCCCCATCGTCCTGCTGATAGAAGCAATAGTTTCTGAGATATTGTTCTAGCGTTTGGTTGACTCTCTCAGTTTGTCGGTCAGTTTGAGGACGATCTCTTCCAAATCTAGAGTCCCGATCGGAGATAATTCCTCAGGAAATTCATGCAGTCGGCATATCTCCCGTAGGAAGGTTTGAGCAAGCTCTTGAATGGTTGCTTTGGTCTCCTGAGCGGAATGAATTGGGACATTTTGGCGAAAACGGTCAACGATAACCCAGATATGGGTATAGCCCTCAGATTCAGTCAGGCTCGCGATAAAGTCCATTGAAATGGAGCTCCAAGGCATAGAGGGGACTCTAAAGATTGCAACACCATTCTTGTGTGTTGAGGCTTAACGCGTTGACATATATCGGAACTCCGAACTATTCTTCCAATTGTTGTCCATCTTTAGCCAAAGGAGAGTGCCTGAAGGCGTTCTGCGTTTTGAATTGGTTC